ATATTAGTCTCTAGATACATCCTAATAGTTAAAAAACCGCGTCCTTTATAGTGTCTTAAATTTCCCTAGCCTCTTTAACCTTTGTAAATAATTTCTAAGCCTTAGGGCCATGGTGGTGCTAGTGTAGAGACTTCAAAAGTGTGTTAGTAAGGAGGTTTGGTATGCCAAGCAACTAGCGTCAATCTATCTTAATTTGATCACCCCTGTGCGTGTGACGTGGATCTGCATGCGCTGTGGAATGACGGCCAGTTGTTGGAGCACTCGATGCCAACAGGTACAGTATTGTTGTGTTGTTGCTTGGGGACGTTGGCGGTCCACTTTGGTCGGTGGCAGCCACGAGCGAGCGAAGGCATTTGTGCTTGTGGAACGAAGGCTGTCGATGCCACCGGGCTTTGTGGCTACAGAAACCACGTGGACAGCAGAGGTGGAAGAGCCAGCTTCATGCGTGGCGTGGAAGGCGTCTTCGTTGGAGGCGCTTGTCAGTGAGGGCGTTCACAGTTCTGCGATCTCATCGGCTGCGAAAAGCGGCGGGGAGGATTCGCATGCTACGGTCATGGAACCTCTCCAGATTGAGATTGCGAGGGGATTTGATTTGCATCAAGGGAAGGAAGGATGCAGGATCCATACGCGGGGCAGGCAATCGCCGTGCCTTCCGCATATACGATACGATATTGTGATATGATATAGCAAGGAGGGAAGGAGGAGCTTGCCATAGAGTTTGCGGGAGGCTCGGCTTCGGAAAGTGCGATCGATGCATTATTATACCAACATTGCCATCGTGACGGCACGAGAGAGCTGAGATGAAACGGGCCGCAGACAAGACGGCATCTGAATCGGATGTGGGAGGACGGGGCGAGATGGAATCGTGCGAAGATGGCGCTCCCGAGTGCAGCAGCGGCAGATGATGGATTGATGCCGTAGAGGGTCAAGAGGGTCCCTGCACAAGCCTTGGATCTTGACAGTGCCCGATGCTGCCCTGCTTCCTCGGCTTGCCGGATCACTGCTCTGCGAGTGGGGTGGTGCGAATACGATGGTTGTTCTCGGCGGCGAGGCGCGATAATAAGAAGAAAAGCCTGCTGAATCATGCAAGCTGTGTGGCAGGTGAACGGTAGCGACTCGAGTACCGCAGGCTTTGCGTAGACGGGACGGCTGAAGCAGCATTGAGATTTGAGAGGCAGAGCTTGTTGTATGTGTTTGGAAACAGCGCGTGAGCTATAGCGCGTGCGGCGCTGACAAATGGATGAGGGGCATGCGATGAACGATTCGGGCATCTTCTTGTTGGACGAATCGAGAAAACATGCGCAGTCGACGCATGCATGGGACACGAGGGGAGATAGTACGGTGTGCGCTGGTTATCATCATCATCGAGAGGTGAGGTGGAGCAAGAGGGTGGTGGTGGATGTGGTGACTCTGAGCGGCAGAAGAGCAGCGCAGGGCATGGATGGATCGGCACCGAGCGGTGGAGAGGTGCGTGCGTTTTGTGATGTCGACCGGGGTACTTTCCATCATATCATATCGTATCACATGCGGCCGGATGACGCGCCAGCGGCAGCGCCTGGCGTTTCTTGTACGCATCAGATTTCCTGCGCCGCGTTGCGTTGCAGCGACAATGGCGAGGCGTGCATGGTGCACAGGTGCACCGCATCCTGCAGCGCGAATCGCGTGCGAGGTGTGCGTGCCCGTGTCGGGCGGTAGCGCATGATATGATATTATCAGTGCAGCGCAGCGAAGCGCAGGAACGGGGCTGATGTCCGGGCGGCGACATGGACTCGGTGCTAGCCTGTGTCTGACTTCCTCCGTGCGAGACAGCAGCAGCAGCAGCAGCAGCAGCAGTGTACTGTCGCTGTAGTTCCATCATTTTCCGGAGGGTGTTCAACATCATACAACCGGGTTCCATTCATTAGCCGATATTGACCGCCCGGCATGTCGAGAAAGCTTCCTGGCCAATCGACGGGGAGGCGGGCGTGAACCGGCCAGCTGGAAGCTTCGCTCGGCTCGGCTGGCTGCGAGAGCAACCTAGATCGCAAACTTTGAGCCGGTCCTCGAAGCTCCCGCGGGCCACGGTGCACCGCCGTGTGAGTGACGCCTCGCACGCCTCCCACGCCTCACAACAAGCGCGGCCGGCTTAGCCTCACGCGCGCTGTCTCTCTTCCGACCGCACCGCACCGCAACGCACCAACCACCAACGCACTACCCCCCCCCCGGCCGCCAGACCGCCAGCTCCACACAGATGGATAACACACCCGTGCGTGACACTACTCACACTCTGTCCTCTTGAGAGATCCTCGACCCTGACCACGAGTACTGACCACCTCCCTGCCTTGCTTGCCCCGTGCCTGGACGCCGCGCTCCGACCTTAGCGCAGCCTGCACCAACCGGCCTGGATACTGGTAGGACAGCTATCGGCACTCGCTCGTAGCCTCCCTTCATCCTGGCCCACGGCCTGCCCGGCGATGCGCATCTGACGCTGTCCACACCACGGTTTGCCATCCTCCGCAAGAGCTTGTTCTGGTCAAGTCAGCTTTGCGCGACCCTCCACCCCCCTCCCCCCCCCCGTTGCGCCTGGCCACCGACGACGTAAGGCGTGAGGACGTAGCCCAGATCCAGCTCGGAGCCTCGTTCGCATGGCCTGCCTGCGTTATGGACTCTCGACTCTATCCCCAACACCACCACGACCCGAGACACCAGCCCCCTCCGCCGCCCCATCCCTCCCAGCAGCAGCCGCCTCCGCCGCCTCACCACCACCAGCAACAGCAACCGCAACCACAACAGCAGCAGCAGCAGCAGCAGCAGCAGCAGCAACCGCAACCGCAACAGCACTCGCAACACCATCGCCCCCCACCGCACTTCTCCCAGCAACAACCGCCGCCTCAGTACCCTTCTGCGCCGCCGCAGCATCACCCCCCTCCCCCGCCCTCACAACCTCCCCATCCAGGACAGCCCGCGTACCAAGGCCCGCCGACCGCTCTCCCTTCTGCTCAAGCGCGAGCACTCCCGCCCATCCAGCCCACAGCACATGCGCCGCCGCCTTCGTCTTCTGACCCGCAGAACCTTCCTCCATTCCGCGTGCCCTCGGCCGCGCCTTCCCACGACCAGCGTGACGGAGGCCCAGAATATCATTCGCAACAGTACAACCACAACCCACGCTCTGGTCATGCCACTCCGGCGCCCGTAAACAGGTCATATTCCCACGATTCAGCGCATCTACGCTCTCCTGCTACACCTGCTGGTCCTGGCCCGAGCCCATTCCCTCCCACCAGCTCTGGCCAGGACGGTGCGCCACCTGGTGGCCCTCCACCTCCTCCACCCCCTCACTCGATGGACCATGGGCAGCACGGGTATCCGCCTGTCAATGGCGTCCCACATCATGGTCTACCCCCACCACAGCATCACGAAACTCATCCACACCCCATGACACCCGTCGACCATTATCAACCATATCCGCCTGGTCAACCAATGTATAGTACTCCCAATTATGGGCCGGCCACCGGAAACATCTATGGCACTAAACGGAAACAAATGCGGGCTACTCAGGTTGGTACTCCACATGTTCGGCTTTGCATCAAGCTTTGGTTGACGTGTTTCAGGCATGCGAGCAATGCAGACAACGGAAACAGAAGTGCGACGAAGGTTCGCCTTGTTCGTTTTGCAAAGAAAACAGTCTGTCGTGTCAATATCGCGACACGCCACCCGCCAAGTACGTTGACATTCGCATGTTGCCTCGGGATACAATGGCTGATTTAGCTGCAGGACTGATAAGAATATGGAGAAACTTCTCAGTTACATGGAACAGCATTCACAGGGGCTTACTATGTTGACCGAGAAGATTGACCAATTCGAAGCGCGATTACGGAGTGTGGAACAGAACGCGGCTCAAAATGGTAACGCGGTAGCAGGCGCAGAATCCGAGGGCTACCCTCCCGAGGACAGCATTCCGCCGAGGCGAAAACCGGAACTGGAAGATCACCGTACAGCGCCGCATAAGTTGCTGCTGCTGTGGCCTAGCGTTCGACCACTTCTGAAGGCGGCAAACGTGGAGCACAACGATGGCTATGTCATGGAAGCTGAGGACCGAGGAGTCCTGCGATTGTGGACGCGAGGCGAAGGGATCGATGAGAACGACGGTACGCAACCGGGAGGTCCTGCGAGTCCGGCCAGAAGCGACGAAAGTGGAGAGGGAGCCAATGCGAATACGCCGCTTGCAGATGGTCTATGGGGATGTGGGTTCCCTTCAACGCCTGGCAGTGAATCTCGACGGTCGGAACCCTACCTCGCAGGAGGCTTGAAGGCGAACGGCGAGGTCGACTTGGACGCGAGCACCATCAACATCCTCTACGACAGCTACATGAGGAACATGCACATCATGCACCCATTTCTCGACAAGCGACGGCTGCGAAGGATGTTTGACAATTTCATCAAGCGCTACAGCAGTGGCAGGCCGCGAGCCACGTTCGCTGTTGGTGCCTACGACTCCGACTCACGGCCTCTGAAAAGACAGCGGTCCAACGGGTCGACTGCAAATGTGACCGAGACCGAGCATAGAAGGGAACAGACCGAGCGCTCTCCAGGAAACGCGATCGTCTACCTCGTCCTCGCACTCGGCAAAATATGCCTTCACAAGGAGCCGTTACCAGCGATTGTGCCGGATAGCAAGCTGCAGGCAAATACGGTCATCTCACACCACATATCCGGCAGCAGAGGATTCAGTTCACCAATGACTGCAAACATGAAACCTTCGCCCATGTCACCCAAATCGACCCCAGCAACGCAGCCAACACCACCCTCAGACGCTGGCTTACGGATCAACGAGTCGAGGAGTCGACGCTCGTCGATGGAAGGCTCGCCTGGAGCTATTCCTGGTCCCAGAAACCTGGATGTCATTCCGGGTATTGCATACTATGCCAAAGCCGCGGAAATCCTGGGCGATCAAGGTGACGGTAACGATCTGGTCCACGCACAGATGTTCCTTCTTGCAGGGCTGTACAAAGGACAGCTCGCGCGTGTGAAGGAGAGCATGAGCTGGATTACAATGGCTGGGCGGGCAATCATGATTCTGCTGGACCGCTACAAGCTCTATAATGACCAGTACTGGACTGCCTACGGAGATGTCCGTAGACAACTCGAGCGCGCGCAGGCACGGATCAAAGACACGAGACAGAGTCTCATCGTACTCGCTTCCTGGACCTGCCTGCAATTAGAGAGTGACATCCTGGCAGAGCTCAGACTGCCATCAAGTTCTATCCAGAACATTGAGAACTTGCTGCTGATGCCGCACAAGACACCTGACGAGGAGTCCTACAGCGGCTTGGAGGCTGACGGTAGACTCGAGGACTATAACAACATCCTCATCTTTTACACCGCGCAGCTCTTCTTGCGGAGAAGGCTCAACCAGGTGCACCGAGAAATGTATGGAGCCGACAGCTTTCTTCTGCCTCTTTCCGAAGTACAGGAGATGTTGAGGGGTCACGAGAGTCTTCTCAACCTCTGGCGTGAACAACTGCCACCGGCTCTCGGATGGGAGGACCACGATCCACCACCCGCGGACATCCTCTCAGCCCGACTGCGAGCTAAGTACTGGGGAGCAAGGTACATCATTAACCGGCCTTTCCTCGACTACGCGCTACACATCATGTCGCACGTCAAAGGAGGCGCGAGCGTCGAAGCTGTTGCTCGAGACGGCTATGGCAATCCACGGGACAAGGCGGACATACATTTGTTCAAGGCCATCGAGCAGTTCTCCGAGGACGAGATCTGGGCGGCCGCCCGGCGCTGCGTTGATGCCGCGATGCACAGCACAGAGGCATTCGACGGCGTTCCTGGCCGACTCATCATCACCAACATACATGGAACGGCACATGCGTAAGTGATGACAATGTGGACATTTTCAAGTATCCCGCTAATCGGCCTCAGTCAATTCGGTAACATGCTGGTCCTTTCGGCCACCTACTCTCACAACATACTCAAGATCATTGTCGATGAGAAGAAGTTCCATCGGCTGCTCCAGCGCACCATCACCTTCTTGCGACGATTAGCGCCCATCTCACCGACTTGCCAGGCCGATTGCGGCATTCTGGAGAAGTTTAGCAACACGCTTTTCCCTACCGCAAGAGAATTGCCGGGCGTGTACAGGGACGAAGGAGTGGAACCGATGAGCGCGACGACCTCCTTCAGTGGACCGAACACCTAGGCGAGCTTTGCACAATCTCGCTGCTGCAGTCGGACTCCGCGGGACATGCATGCAGTGCCCACTTTACTACTGCCCACGCCGCAAGAGATTGGGCACTCGCGGCAAGGACCAACGCAGAACCTGTTTGGGATGAATGTCCTGTTCGACAGAACAGGCATGCTAGTATCGCACTTGCACGCCTTTCACGCTCGAAGTCCATGGCATGGGGCAGTGTGTTTAGTGGGATTCTCGGAATTGTATGAACAGTTCCATGGGGGCGCCCCACACAGAAAGAGACGGGTCGTAATCGTCCATCGTCACGGCCCCATCACTTCATCAACGACAACACCAGCCGGCGGACTTTTGCGGCGCTTGCTTCACATCATTTTTTCCGGCGTTTACAGCGGCACAGCTCGCACATTTCGTGCCCGCATCGCTCAGGGTACTCGGGTTCGGGCTCGAGCCTCAATCATTCAGCATCAATGGGAGGCTAGCGCTCTTGATTTTTCCGTTTTCCTCGACACCTTGTGCAAAGAGCATTGTTTGAACGCGCAATATACCACGGCCGCACACCATTGCAGGCCCTTGTCTGGGAAGGGGGAGACACTTCTGTGATTGCTTCTTTTTTTTTTTGTATTGTTTTCTTGCGATCGAAACTCGACATATCATTAACCCGGGCGGGCCACGCCGGAGAAGGGGGGGAGGGAGTGCTCTCTGGACGTGTGTTTGTTTGTTGATGTGGCTAATGCGCATGCATGAAGAAGACGGCCGTCTGGGTGGTGGGTGGATAGGGGGAGATTTGACAATGAACTGTGTAGTTTTTTGAGCTCTGTACAGTATTTTGCATGAATGAAAAGGTCGTCAGTGGTGGTGATAATGGTCCCCGGGATGAGGATGAGGATTGAGGATGAGGGACTCTCTTTCCCCACGTTCTACGCCGCTTGCTTCCTCCGCAGTTGTTGTTATCGTGTCATGCATGCATCATCAAATCACTTTCGTGCTGCTCTTCCTTCCACCTTTGATGGAAATCAGCATCATCGCTTTCTGGACCTTTGTTTGATCATTATCCATCATCAATCACATAATAAGGTAGCGACGACGGGTGAAGTCGCCTCCCGCATGTGACCCTGATTGATCTCTGGCTATAAGAAAACCGACCGCGCGGACCCGGCGGGAAGTCTATATCTATTCACCCTTCACCCTTCTTCATCCCGAGGGGGGCTCTCAGCTCTGGCCACGGCAACGGCAACGGTCACCCAAGCCATCGGAATCTCCGAGATCTACAAACATCTCTCATCAGCGCGACGGATGATGGACGGTTTGATTTGATGACAATTGGCAGGAATTTGCAAGATTTTGGTGTTGGGTTAATCGTCTTGCTTTTTGTTTTTTTGGTTGTTTTTACCTTTGGGTCTTGATGATGAAGTTTTGGTTCTCGTGACCGGCGGCTCAGAAGATACCTTACGTGGCGTGGCACGACGCTGGGACTCTGGGGTGAAAGAAGTGCCGACGGACGGGAAGCACGGGATGAGTGAGCTGTATTGGAGGGGGAGAGAGAGAGAGAGAGAGACTTCACTTGCTCTTCTTTCCCACAATAATCCTCCGAGGCATGTGGACGGGCATGTGGACGGCATGGCATGGATCCCTGATGAGGAAATCGCATTCGATGCTACCTCACTGCATATTGCGAATGAGCTCGTAGTAGACTCGAATCCCTTCCATGTGGGCGCTCATCTGCATGCGCTCGTCGATATCGTGGACGCGCAGGCGCGAGCCTTCCCGCGCGGGCGTGAAGCGGTAGATGTTCCTGGTCAGGGCCCAGTAGTGGGCGGTATCCGAATTGCCGGTCGCGATGGAGCCGACGGGGACGACTGTCCTCACCCCGGAGAGTGTGTCGGTCGTCTCGAAGACTTGACGGAGGGTGCCGCTGAAGACACGCCAGGCATCCGAGGCCTGGGTCGTGGGCGTGATGGGCGATGGGATGAGCAGGTCTTTCGACTGCAGTCTCAGGATTCCGGCGGCGGCGGTGGTGGTGGTTTGCTCCTCGTCGAAGCCCAGGCCTGACACGGAGATGTTGTAGCGATGCGCGACGGCGGCCACCTGGGTCGCGACTCGGTCGTAGAGGGCCTCGACATTGTTGTCCTGCGGCGCGATCCTGTAATTCACGGTCACCTGCACGCGATTCGGGAGCTGGTTGTCCTTGTCGCCGCCATGGATGACATCCACGGCTTGGGAAGTCTGGATCTGCCACCGGATCGCATCGCCACGTGCCTCTGCCATCTCCGACCCGATATCTCGCCCGGAAGCCAGGCCTCGTCGGAGCCAGGGCTCGACATGGGAAGGAGAGTGCTCCGCTTCGCACTCGAGCACGTTGCGGACCGGACTCGCGGGGTTCCTCTCTCCGAGCCAGGGCTCGAAGGGATGGTTCTCCAGCGCCAGGATCACTTCCGACATGATGCCGATGGCCGTGTGTTTGGGCGGTCGACTCGAATGACCGCCGTCCGTGTCGAGCGTTAGGACGATGTCCAGGAAGCCTTTCTCGGCGGTACTGGTGGTGTTTCCCCTTGTCAGCAACGATGCGCGTGTGGTATCCCTAGCCCTCTCCCAGCTCATCCGCGCGCTTTGCAATTCCCCCATCCGCAGGGGTAGAACCGAGTCAAGGTGTGGTGCATCGGTGGCATATCATCTGCGCAGAGTTTGGCGACAGCCCGCACCAATCAACAACCCTACACCGGCCACTGCCGCCCTCCTCTGTTCGGTTCTGCTCTGTTCTGTTCATAATATTGCCCACGGCGCAAGTCAAAGGGATGAATGCGTGAAAATTTGCGGTATGCCGTGGGTATAACGAGCATCCACGCTAACATCTCGCAACAATCTTTCAAAGTCCTAGGGGCTTTGGATGATGATCAAGGAAAAGAGGACTTACGCGGGGAGTACGTATGCAACGTCGCCAAGGGTCGATACGCCCATGCCACCTGATCATGCGGGAAAGATTAGCAGAGCTCCTCGTCACCGTTTCCGACGTGGGGGTATCGCGGAATTCATTACCCTCGTCCACGATCATGGCCAGGGAATTGTTTCCCCATAGGCGCTGCAACTCGGCCGCGATGGATCTGGCCCCTCGCTGCCCGCCCGTCTCCTCGTCGAACCCGAAGGCCAGAAGGACGGACCGTCGGGGTTGGAAGCTCTGTTTCAGGAGTGCCTCGACGGCCGTCAAGATCCCGATGAGGTTGGATTTGCAGTCGGCGGAGCCCCGGCCCCAGAGGAAACCGCCATCCCAGTACGCTTCAAATGGAGGATGCGTCCATCTCGCGGCGTCAATTTCCGGGACGACGTCTCGATGGGCCATGAACAACATCGGCTGCAGCGAGCTGTCCGAGCCTTCGAGGTGGTAGAGCAGGCCGTGCCGATTGACCTTGGTCCGGCGAACCTGAGATGCACTTTTTGCCGGTCTTCATCAGCTTATGTGACAGGCATGATGATGTGGAACAGACACAAGACTAACACCAGAGGGAAGAGATGCTCGAGCACAGCGTGCAGCTCGCCAAAGACCTGCCACCGCGGATCCTCGCCGACGTCTCCGTTGTCGTCGTACGAGACCGTCGGCACATTGACCGCAGCGGAGAGCCTTTCGATTTGCTTCTGCAGGGCTTTCTCGCCGGCGAAGAGGCCGATGGAATCTTGCAAGCCGTCGTTGGAAGGGAGGAGAGGGGCTGGGAGAGGACACCAGTTGCTCTCCTCGTCCGCCATGGGTGGCACTACTGCGTTGGAGCACTGGAGGAGTGAGTCCGGAAGGATGGGAAATGGCTTGTACAGACCCAGGGTAATCATGCCGCAGACGACACTGAAAAGAAGCAGACAGCGCCGCCATGGGATGTGCCGCTGAAGCCCTCTTGGAGGAGGCATGTCTGCACGAGAATCTTCCAGTCCAGACTCGCTTTCGAGATCAAAAGCCCCCGTCTGTCGCTTCTCCATGTTGATATTATTATGATGTTGTTTGTCGTCGTTGTTGTTGTTGTTGTAGCCGCCATGGTCTGTAGAATCATTTCTGACGTGATGTGAAAGGTGGAGCTGTATTATTGAGCAAGCTGCCCAGTGCATGGGTGAGGTGAGGTGGATCTCTGCAATGCAAATGCTGCCACAAGGAAAATGCCGGAAGCTCACGACGGCAGTCCAATCGTTGTCGCCGAAGCAAGCCCGTGGCATCAGAGAACCCCCCCCAAAAAAAACGTGGAGATGCGTGCATTGACATTTCTGTTGATGCCTTGTAGATATCCGACCTTCCAGTAGTAGTAGATAGTAGTAGTCTGCTCTGTTGGTGGCAAGTGGTCCAGCAAGCATCTCCTCACCTCTTAGGCATCCAAAGCCCACTCCCCGGATCAAAGAACAAACTCCCAACCTTACTCCTCCTCCCCGCCGCTCTGCCCGGAACAGCAGGAACAGCAGGAACCTCAACCATCTTATTCTTATTCTTCGCAGGACCCGCGCTCTCCATCTCCCAAACCCTTCTCTCAGTTGCCATCTCCACGGGACTCCAGCTCCCCATTTCCGGATTCTCGACCACTTCTCCCACCCAACACCCTTTATACTGTCTCGTGAAGGAATCGTCGATTTCTTTCCGCATGATGGAGATTCTCGCTCCGTAGCGGGATCGGCGGCCCCACGCGAGGATCTTGCGTTGGTGGAGGTGCTGCCGGTAGAGGATTGTGGCGAGGGAGAGGAGCGAAAGGAGGGTTATGGTTGTGAGGATTGTGAGGATGGCGATGAACGCTGGACGGGAAATGAGGAGTTGGTTGGGGCCGATGTATTCGCAGGTCTGAGAGGCTGTTTCGGCTCGTCGTTCGAGTGTCGGCGGTTTGGCGATTAGTGGTAGAGATGTGGCAAAGGGACGCCAGCGTGCAATTGCCATATGTGCTGTCTTTCAATGCTCGTACCGAAGCCAGCCGGCAGAAGAATAGAGGAGTATTATATTATGAATAGCGTGAGAAAAAGGGAAATCCTGGAAGCCAACTTACCTACTCCTACTTGAGCTGGGAGGCAATACAGCAATGCAAGCGCTTCTGCGTCTCTGCGGCGTAGCTATAATGTGCAACTTCTCGGCCCTTGCAATGGCTTGAAACAACTTCCAGAGCTGGGTGATTCCTGCGGTGATGCCAATTCCACAAAGTGCCACGGCCGAAGATTTATGAGCCGAAAAGCCTCTGCTGAGCTTGCAACGCCACTGGTCGTACACCATGGGATGAATGCGGCTGGAGTGGCGGCTCTTCTTGATATAGCTCGTAGCCGCTGGGCTTCGGCGCTTAGCAGTCATTGATGGTTCCAGACACCCCAAAGAGCCGCGCAATATCAGGCCAGTGTCTCCAATGTGACACACGCGGGAAATATGCATATACTTTCATCTCTCAGCGTCTGTTTTAGATGTCGTGAAACTCTGGAAGTGCAGTAACAGAATCCATCATAAAATCGCGTAACAAGGCCGAACCCATCTCGTGTCCTCGGGACCGACGCTGTACAAGCGGTATCGCAATTGGCGAAAGTGCGTGGTCAGTAAGTCCTGTGCAAACCTAGAAGTTGGTCCGGGCCTGAAGATAGTTCTCTTTGCGATTCGGAGGAGGGTGAAGTTCATTGGCTCCCGCCTCCTTTGCGGCCTTCAATCACCCGCATGATATCGGCAGCATTGTTAACGTCTCCTTTTCGCTTCTTTGGCTTGCGCTTCTTCTTCCCGCCTTTCCCAACATCTTCCTCCCAACCGTCGTCGCCCGCTGCAGCACCGCCTTTCCACTCGGACAAGCGAATTTTGGATTCTTCGCCTTCTTCGTCGTCTTCGTACCTGCTTCCGCCAAACCCGACGTCCATATCGTCCAGATCGCGATCTTGCTGTTGCAGCATCTTGTTACGTTTGGCAAGGCGTTCCTCCCGTTCCCTCCGACCCTCATCGTCAATATCATCTTCATCGTCCTCAACAGCGGTCTCCATCTTCGCGGCCTTTTTGAGCACATTCTCGATCCCTTTGAAACGATCTGTCTCAATTTCGTCGGTATTGCTCGTTGAGTCCTTGAAGTAGCTGCGAGGGCCTTTCGGCTGTTCGGTAGGAGCCGCAGGGTTTTGCGTCTCTTTCTCTGCGTTCAGCGTGGCATCTGGCTTTCCAGTCTCCTCTGGCGCCGCTGTCATGCCCAAGCCTTCGCCTTCGCCTTCGCCTTCACGGTCATCGTCATCGCTATCGCTATCGCTATCATCGAGACCTGCTAACGGATCGTATGAAGTTCCGACCCCTTCGAAGATGTCATCGTCTTCCTCATCCTCCAGCTCAGGCGGTTTCGGCTTCTGCTCCGGCACCACGGCATCAGCGCCAAGCACAGGTCTGCTATCGTCCGCGACCCGGACGGTATCCTCGTGACCAGTTTCAATTTTCGCGGGCACTTTCCGGATCTTCTTCTTCACAGTCCCGTCCTCGTCGACCGTGATAAGTACTTCTCGGCCTTTGTGATCAATCTCAATCCTAGGCTTTGACTGATCGCCCACTTTTCGCCATCGACTGTCAAATTGAGGAGCCGCGGCGGCCTTTGCCTCTGCGGCAGCTTTTCGTTGTGCCTTCAGCTCAGCCATAATCTCATCTCTTGTGCGCTTAACGCCTGCGACAGCCTTGGTGCCCTTCTTCTCTTCTTTCTTCCTCTCTACGGCTTGTATCTCCTGCTCACCAAGCTTGTCCAGTTCATGTTCTACATCTGGAGGCTCCTCTTCGCCCTGACTCTCTCCAAGTCCGAGCACATCCTCGCCTCGCCGAACTCGTTCCAGTAGCTTTCTGTCCAGCCCCTTCACAAGATGCGTGCTTGATGCATCACCGCCGGTGATCTGATCTCGTAGCGCTTCGAAGGTCTCCTGAGGAAGGTTGCCCAGTTTCACTTGCTCTTCCAGCGCTGTGATCCGCTTGGCCTTGTCGTCTTCCTCATCTTCTGCCTCTTGGCGCGCTTTGGTTCGATCTGTGTATCCAGCTCCGAATTTGCTACCCTTCGGCGCCACGGATTTGAACTGCTTCCGGGGTCTGAAGGCGGCATGCTGCTCTCGCACCTGCCGTGCGAAATCCGCATTGGATGGAGCTTTGCCCGGACGAGGCGTCATGCCCAGGAAAGCTGACTTTCTCGCTCCCAAAGCACTCGGCTTCGCACCAGGCGAGCCATCGCTCTTGTGCGCCGGAATTTCGGAGACGAGCTTCCGGAACGCGTCGTTATTCATTTCGGTGAAGAGGCTAGCGTAGATGCGGTGATCGTCGCCAGCCTGCGAGTCCCAAGGTACCGATGAGGTGAATGTACATTATTGTGCTTCGGGAGCAACCGAAAGATGCTGGACATCTGAGAGCGCGGCAGGGAGTCGGAGTTTGCTGTGACCGACGACACGTGATATGCGGAGTGCACGGGAAGGCCCGTTCCCCCAGATGCCGAGAAGTGGGGCACATGGACACCCGACAGGACTCGGGATCACCCCGCGGCAGCAAAGACTTCATCATCAAACCCAATCTTCACATGACAGAGCTCTCCGGGGGAACGCTGCCCGGTCGACGACGGGACTGTCCTGGCGCAGATTGGAGGAAGACAATGTTCCGCGTCGGAGGGACTGCCCATGGATATGGGCACAACATTCACGACACGCCTCCGACACGATTGGTCTCCGTGACAAGCAATCCCAAATGCCTCCGCATGCAGGCGCATCATGATGCGGAGCTCGCAGTTTACCTGCGCGCCTACCGCATCATTCGAGAGGCACAAGCTGTTCCCGTGGCAATGATCCAGGTAGGTAATAACCCAGTCTACCGCTGTGCTGGCCCATGTAAGGACGTCTCTTCTTTGCCCTTCCATTCTCCAATCTGCCTTTGACTGGACACAATGGAGCTCTCCCGCTTGTTTGCCCTCCTCGTGGGCTGTCTGGCGCTGGCTGCTGCTCAGACTGACGGCTCTGCTACTTACACGAATCCGATTGTTCCAACGGGAGCAGATCCCTGGATGCTTCGCTACGGCAACTACTACTACCTGTTGTACACGGAAACGGACAACATCACCATGTGGCGGAGTCCCAGCTTGACCGACTGGAGCAACGCAGACATGAAAGCTGCATTTCTACCTCCTGTATGCACCACATCAAACTACCATCTCTTGACTCAGCGGCCACTGACAGCCCTGTAGAAAGGCCAAGATTATTCCACCTATCTGTGGGCCCCCGAGCTGCATCAGATCGACAACAAATGGTACATCATTTTCACGGCAGACCCCAACAAGGATACGCCTCCAAGGGACATCGAGATGCTATGCAATTTTGGCTGCCCGGCTGTGAACCATCGAATGTATGTCCTGGAAGGAAGCACATCGGATCCATGGACAAGCGACTACACGCTGAAGAGCCAGCTGAATACGTACGACCAGTTTGCCATCGATGGCACGTACTTCCAGCACTCGACCGGGCTGTATCACATTTACTCATGCTGGTACTCTGCGTATGAAGCCTGGCCTGCAAACTTGTGCATCACCAAAATGAGCAATCCCTGGACGGTGCAATCGAATGTCACGGAGCGGCAGATTCTGTCTGTCCCCTCCAATCCGTGGGAGAAGACGCCGTATGGCCGTGCGCAGAATGTCCGTCTCTCCACTAATGAAGGACCCGAGCAGCTTACAAATCCACAGACTGGGCAACAGTTTGTCATCTACAGTGCAGCTCGCAGCGATAATCGCAATTACTGTCTTGGCCAGCTGGAGCTTGTGGGCGATGACCCGATGAACGTTGAGGACTGGCGAAAGAACAATGAAGGCTGCGTCTTCTACCAGAATGCTCTGGCGGAAGCATACGGCGTCGGACACGCCAGCTTCACCACCAGTCCCGATGGCAAGGAACAATGGATCGTCTACCACGGCATGCAGAATCCATTCAACGGGGAGCTTGCGAGGAACATTCGAGCGCAGAAGTTCACGTGGAACAGCGACGGCACTCCCAACTTTCCTCGGCCGGGCTATGGTCCGTATGCAGTGCCGAGCGGATCGAACTCGAGCATGAAGATGTTTTGAGGCAGTGCACACATGGACAGCACATGGACAGCACATGGACAGCACCTGAGATACATAAATGTTTGGGAGATGATTGCTTCTCGCGAGGCGACGGGTAGCTGTGCTGGCGTGCGACGCCTGCCCGTGGCTGTCTGCGTCTTTCCGTCGCCCTTGCCGTTCAATACGGACTTGGGCAGATTTCGTCCACGAATGCATCCTCGCGCAGCAAGGTGAGGTGTTCTCGAAGAATGAGATTATGTCCAAGGTTGATCGGAATCGCAAGATCAGATCGCCTTCATAGCAGCTGTATTATTGTGCATTGACAGGCACAAACTTGCATTCTCTTGTCATCGCCTCCTTGCATTTTGACCGATTGAACGGGTGATGATACCAGGCACAGGCACAATGGCCTGCGAACCCCCGGGATCCACAGTGCACAAGACCCACTGGCTCCCAAGTGCCAGCACACCAGGACCTCCATGATATTGGCAACGCCTTGTGCTACGATACAATCACTTTTCCATCACATGTCCTGCTGAAGCAAATGGCAAGAAACTGACATGAAGGCGTTATGGGGAGAAGAAGAGGCGGATTGTTTGCATGGCCGGCCCCGTTTCTCATTGGCCGGGCAACCCCAGCAGCCATGCCCTGTGTGCTGCTGCGTGCACCATCGTAAACGGGAGGGGCGCTTGCTCCAATGTGCTGTGCCTGATGGTGCCACCCTTGCACATCTTGCCCGCCCGTTCCCGCCGCATCTCGAGGTCGACGACGGATGGCTGCAACAAGTCCAGGCACATTCCAGGAACGCGCGCACTAACCAAACCCAGTTCTGCTTCAATCCAGACACAAGAGGTGGAGACGGGTAGCCGCGCACAAGCAAGACCTCCATTGGGACAATCGCGGCGCTATTCACACCATCTCCGCCGACGGCCTTGCAGCATTCACAGCCGCTTCTGGACGGCGAGGCATCAGCGCAGGGTGGTACTGTATCTCTACTAGTAGTCTAGACGGACTAGGTACATCCCGCCCTCCCTCGCAACGGCCAACGGAGCCTCGTATTACACCAGAGGCTGAAACGGGCGACTTCGATTGCGATCACTTCACGTGCTGTCTTCAGCTATTCTTATACTGCAGCCTTTTCCCTTTCGCTGCTGGATCCGTCGCTGTGTCTGTCAGTCGAGCAACGCAACAATGAGGACATCATCTCTGTTGGCCTTGTTGGCTACCGGTGCCCAAGCCATCTGGCCTCTGCCTTCGAAATATACATCTGGCCACGGAGTGCTTTTCATTGATCAGGCCAAGGTCAAGGTCACCTACAATGGACCTGGACATGTGAGCCTTTCTTCCCTCTTCCCCGGTGATCCGATGTTTACTTATGGCGAGCAGCAGCCGCAGGGCAACAAGCAGAGTGGGACTGCTGGAGCACCGCGGATCATCTCGAGCGCCATTGATAGGACATACGACACTCTGTTCAACAAGAACTTCGTGCCCTGGATGCTTCATCCGAGACTGTCGAATTTTGAACCTTCGCCCAATGGTGCGGCGTATGTGTCGTCGATCGTCCTCGACCACACCGGACCAGATCCTGGTGCAGATGCTGCCGAGGTCGATGAGTCGTATAGTCTGCAGTTGACCAAGGACGGAAAAGTCACTGTCACTGCGAAGACTGCGATTGGAATTCTCTATGGACTTACAAGTTTCACACAGCTGTTCTACAAGCACTCGAACGGCGACGTGTACACCGACAAAGCCCCAGTCTCCATCACAGACTCTCCAAAGTTCAAGTGGCGTGGACTCAACGTCGACACATCCAGGACTTTCAAGCCAATGGCCGACATGTACCGCACTGTAGATGCTCTGGCTTACAACAAATTCAACCGCCTGCATTGGCATGTGACTGATGCTCAGACCTGGCCAATTGAGATCCCATCGATGCCGGAGCTCGCAGACAAGGGCGTCTACGTTAACTCCCAGAGGTACACGGCTGAGGACTTCAAAGCACTGCAAGAGTACGGCGAGCAACTCGGTGTCAATGTCGTCACGGAATTCGACAACCCAGGCCATACTTCCTCCATCTGGTTCTCCCATCCCGACCTGATCGCAGCTTTCAACGTACAACCCGACTGGACAAATTACTGCGCCGAACCACCCTGCGGAACGCTCAAACTCAACTCCCCCAAAGTCTACGCCTTCCTCGAGAAACTCCTCGACGACTGGCTCCCACGCGTGACCGGAACCCGCTACTTCCACCTCGGCGGCGACGAAGTCAACAAAAACGCCTACACCCTCGACGACACCGTCCATAGCAACGCCAGCAACATCCTCCAACCCCTCATGCAAAAATACATGGATCGCAATATGAACCAGGTAACGAAGAAATACTCCCTCACCCCCCTGGTGTGGGAAGAAATGCTCCTGGAGTGGAACCTCACCCTCCCCAAAGATACCATCGTCCAAACCTGGCAGAGCGATGAAGCCGTCCTGCAGACCGTGCAGAAGGGCTACCGGGCTCTCGCGGGCAACTCGAATTACTGGTATCTCGACTGCGGCAAGGGCCAATGGCTAGATTTCTATCCGCAGAACGCGGCGGGCTTCTGGCCTTTTACCGATTATTGCTCTCCCGTGAAGAGTTGGAGGGACATGTACAGCTATGACCCCCTCCAGGGCGTTCCGCCGAACCTGCAACATCTTGTCCACGGAGGCGAGACGCATATCTGGAGTGAGCAGACGGATAGCGTGAATCTGGATAAGATGGTGAGTCCTCCCGCCACCCTCTCGTGTTGAAGAAAGGGTTTCCTTGCTGATGTGTGCTTTTCTTTCAAAAGGTCTGGCCACGAGCCTGCGCCGCGGGCGAAGTCTTATGGAGCGGAGCTAAGGATGCGTCGGGACAGAATCGCTCGCAGGTCGAGGCTTCCCCGAGACTTGCGGAGATGCGCGAGAGGCTTGTCGCGAGGGGTGTCGGTGCCGAGCCCATCCAGATGCCGTTCTGTACGCAGAATGGCACGCAGTGTGCTTTTCCTGCCCCTTGAAAGCGGCGGAACATGACGCGGGAGGATTTGATGATGATGACGATGATGGGACAGATCAAGGGCACGACTTTGTAGATAGGTTGTGTGTATGATCAAAACCCAACCCATTTGTTGGATAAGGAATGGTCGTGTCGTGTAATTTTGGTTTTGCTATTCTTCATGGGGTATCATCCTCCTTTCTTTCTTCCGAGACAATGTCTGCCTTTTTTCGTGTGTCATGCCAGCTGCAATTTTGTTGGGCTGCTGCTGCTTTTCGCTGTTCCTTGCCTTTTGTCACAGCTTCGAATTGTCCTTGTCGCCGCCATCTGACTTCGAGCCTGCGGCAGGTGTGAAACTGTCCACCCGGGGTCCACCGACGAAGACGTGGTTTAGGTTACCTGCTTCCTCCTTCGTAGCTTTGGGCTCCTCCTTCGTGGGCCTCGGCATCGTGTCACTTCGTGCCTTGCTCTCGTGCCACTTGGACAGATTCAGCGTCTCATCGACTTCCTTGGTCAACTTCTCCACTTCATCCTCGAGCCCCTCGTCCCTCGTCTTCTGCGCTACAGGCTCCGGTACAGGTTTCTCCCACCCCGGTTCTTTCCATTCTTCCTTCGCGGTCTGCGCCCATACCTTCTCCAAAGCACCCGACCATCCGAGTGCCTCTGCGAGCTTTCGCACTCCGTCATCACAGTCGCCTAGGATCAAGACATCGTCTGGGCGAGAGCCGAGACCTCCGACGCGTTCCTTGTTCAGGAGAATCCGGGGCGTGTCTTCCCGTACCATCGTGGGGAGACTCGCGAACGGCTGGACGGTCAAGCTCGTTCCAATGACAATGGCGAGATCCGCCTGGCTCGGTAGCGTGCGGTTTTCGAAGAACTCCGAAGGCAGCTGCTCGCCGAAGAAGACGATATCGGGCTTCACCAGACCATTGCACCGATGACAGAGAGGGATCGTCTTGTCGTGCACATGTTGTCGGATTTCATCGTCGGGGAAGTATGTTTTGCATTCGATGCAGCTCTGCTTCGCGAAAGAACCGTGGGCTTCGACGATCTTGTCGCCTGGGACGCCGGCTTCGCGTTCCAGGCAGTCGATATTCTGCGTGAAGAGTTTGAGCAGCAGGCCTTTGTCGTGCAGCAAGCGGATGAAAGAATGCGTTATCGTGGGGCGAAATTTCCCCGGGTACAATTCATGAGCCAGCGTGTAGAAGGGCTCTGGGTGCTCTCTGAAGTATGAGATATCGAACACGGCCTCGGCGTAGGGCAGATTGAGTCTTGCCAGGTTGGCATAGAGTCCTGTCTCAGGAGATCGGAAATCCGGGATGCCTGCAGATGTGCTGATGCCGGCACCAGTCATGACGACGATCTGTTTGCATTTCCCGGATTTGATGTATTCTGCTACGGCTTCGATGCTCCTTCCGGCTAGAGTCCTGGGAGGAGTAGAATCGTCGATCGGACTGCTTTCTTCGTTGCCCATCTTGAAGAAGCGTCCGACAGAGCCACGGGAAGAGTTCTTGTTGGGCTTGCTGCCGCCCTTTTGGTTGCGGTGGGGTTTCTGTTTCCGACCAATGGCTGCGGAGATGGAACGGAAGAAGTTGATGGTGATGGCTGTTGTTGGAGTGTGAAGTTTTATGGAGGATTCCTGATCGCCACCTAGGACAGCATAATGCTTTCTGCCTTCACTTGACAAGGTACGGACCGCACACCGGGCCGCGGCGCCAGTGCCCGAAGTTCGGTGATTCTCTGCCTTAGGCCTCAATCTGCAATCCGCGTGCCAACGTCCTCTCGTTCTCGCTTTTGAGTCTCTTGGGCTGCAGACGTTCAAACAGCTGTGCAGCAACAACGCAGAGCTTACCGCAGAGGTGCAACCTTTGGCGAAAAGGCCAGTGTCGTCATTGCCGCTAGCCACCACGTTTCACATCCGATCCGACCATCCGAGAAGCTTAAATATCCGGGTTCAGTTCCCTGATCACCATCGCGGCACGACCGATCGACAACAACTTTCCACAACCTCGCCTCAAGAAGATCACGCAACATGAGTACGCCACCAGCAGGGACCGGCTTCCTCAAATTCAACAGGTACGCTAGGGCGCGTCACAAGCACAGTACAACGTCCTTCTAAGAACGAAAGCTTCCAGTCTCCCTCCAAGGCTACACATCACAGCAGAAGGCGCAAACGCAGAAGACGATTTCGACCCAGACATACCCCAGTACTTCAAAGAGGAAGGGTTCGATGTCACTTACCTTCCCTGGAATAATGGAGGCAAGGCATACAGAAACGCACTCGCGCATTTACCCGACGACCTGGAATTGGGGGAGAGTTATGCTGTCGTCGGTAAGTCAGTCGCAGTATGCAATCCAACGACAGACCGTCCCTAATGCTTCTCTAGCTTTTGGTGCGGCAGCAACAGATTGCCTCGACCACTTCATCAAACCAGCCCCTAAACTCGCTGCAGTAATCTGCTATTACCCACCGAGGATCCTGAGACCAGATGCCAAATATCCCCCGCAGATGGACGTTCTGGTCCATCTAGCAGGGAACCAGAATTTCGCTCCGGCATTCCAAACGCATTACAGTTATAAAGGCGCAATTCCAGGTTTCGCGGAATCAGATCTGGACGAGTTCAACAAGAACGCAGCTTCGCTCGCCTGGACCCGTACCCTAGGGACGCTCAGAAAAGCGTTTCAACTGAACGTGGAGCTCGAACCGGTGAAAGAGGTCCATACCGCACGAGTCTATGCAGCTCAAGATGCAAAGCAGACGGTAGCTGGTTTCGGGACTGACGGGCCCTATGTGAACCACGTCCCAACGATGACGGGGGGAATCGGCCAGCGCGATCTTTTACGCTTCTACAAAGACTACTTCATCAACCGCGCTCCACCCTCCCTGAGCATGAGACTTGTCTCGCGCACATCAGGAACGAACCGCGTCGTCGACGAATTCATCCTCAGCTTCAAACACACGACCGAGATCCCCTGGATCCTCCCAGGAGTCCAGCCAACGCAGAAGGTGGTACACGTCGCCATGGTGAGTGTAGTATGCATACATGGTGGAAAGCTATACAGCGAGCATGTATATTGGGATCAAGCGTCGGTCTTGGTGCAAGTGGGGCTGCTGGATCCGAAGCTGGTGCCGGAAAAGTTCTCAAAGCAAGGCCTGAAGCGGCTACCAGTATATGGGTCGGAAACAGCAAGCAAGGTTCTGGATGAGGAGAGCCAGCCGAGCAATGGGCTCATTGAGACTTGGAACGAATCGACAGGCAAAGACAAAACGAACTTGCCCGCCAGACCGAAGCAAGCCGCCAACGCAAATGCTGGCAACGGCGCCGCTGCCAATGGAGGCGGAGCAGGATGAAGTCGTCGCGTCGTCATGTATTCAGATTCCATCCGTGGCAGGTGGTACTGCGTGGCTGTTCAGGTTGCTCGTATACCTTCTCATTCCTCATCCGACAAACTTGCAAGTGGGGAGCCGGTATTCAGGCACGACCCAATACGGACGCCTGATACCGTCCCAAGACTTCGCAAGGTCAGGGACGGTCAGAGTCGTCCATTCCACGTCGAGGCCAGCATCGAAAAGGTCGAGTTCGACAACCTAGGAAGACAATGTCAGCCAAGACCCATGACGTGTGATGGCAAAGCCAGAAGGGTGCGTTGTCCAGCACATGCAGCAGCATACCAGCATGAGCCCTGAGAGGCTGTGGTACGCCTGAAGTTGATGCTGTAACACCCGACAATGTCCGCGTACAGAGCGCATTGCGTGTGCGTGGAAGCTCTTGCTCGCGAGTCTGCATTCTGGAGAGTACGTACCTTTGTGTAGACGTCGTAGCAGATTTGCCGATCTGCGCCCAGTCCGTTGTAGAAGCCGAACTTGCCCTTGCTATCCAACAGCGCAATGACATACTCCGTGAAAAGCTCCTTGAGGTCCTTGTAATCCTCTGCGTACGTGTCGTAGTAGACGCCATCAAGCACAACGCCTTGCTCAACAAGTCTCGGTAGCACATCCTGCCATCTACCCTCGTGGACGGTTACGTTGGGCTTGTCGTACCAGCCGGTCTCACGCATGTGCTGCATGACCTCCGGATGAGCCTCAATAATGTGGTGCATCTCTGGCTCGTTCTCGAGGAACATGCGATCCACAATACCCATTCCGTGCCCAATATTCATCGTTCGCAGTCCCTTTCTCGGACAGAGCTGGTCTGCTGAAGCCTTCATGATCTCGGTCTCCCAATCCATCATGACCGCATTCTTGTCTGAGTCCAGAAGGCGGCCCTCGGAGTAGGTGAGCTTTGAGCGCAGATAGTCTTCGCTGTTGACGTTGGGGTTAGAGAGGCCAGCTTCCGCGGAAGAGAGCTCGCCAGACTCGTCGGTCTGGACAACGACCGGCACACTCGAGTCAACGCCTTGTTGGGCCGCCGCAGATGTCTCAACTTTGTAAGATGGGTTTGGACTGGGCTCGAAACCTTCTAGCGGAGCAGCGTTGGCCACTCCATTAGTCGCTGGAGTGATGCCATTCGCATTGCTCGGACTGGGCTCGAATCCAATGATGGCTTCGTCGTGCTCATCTTCGTCTTCTCCGTCGTCTGGCAATGGCTCGTACTCGTCCAGTCTGCCAAACAGAAGCTCTGCTCTCACACCAGCAGAGACGATGGCATCGTAGATCTTTCTCAGACCAAGGCGCAGAGCAATGCATCCTGGCGTCTCGTCGTTGTTGTCCAGCTCGTTCCAAATGGCACCGTTCTCGAACAGCAACTGCACGGTTGAGAGGGCCGCGTCTTCGTCTAGAGCGTTGCCATGGACAGCGTCGCCCTCGCCGTTGACGCGCTCGTCGGCAAGATCTTTATCCGGCTCGCAGGAAGCAATGGCTGCATGCAGAGGCGAGAAACCGGTCTCTGGGTCCTGTATTCTCGCGGAACCCTTGCGCAAGAGCAGCTGCAGAGCTTCGTTGTCGTGATTTGTGGCAGCGAGGAGAATCTCGTCGTTGGTGGTGTCAGTGTCGACAGCCATGGCCGGGTCGTCGATTGCGCTCGTCATAGTGCTGTGTGTGCGTGTCAGAGAACTGGAAAGCGGAGGGGAAAAGTTCGACGGATCTCCAAAAAGATTCTCCGGCAAGAGCAAAAGCTTGTGGAAGCGCGGGGCGCGTATGGGCTGGGCCGGTCCAGTGGTGCCCGTCTCGCGTGGGGCTCCCGTGAAACGCTGCCGAGACCAGGAACCGCGGTGCACCAACGTGCAAGATGCGCCTCGCAACTAATCTGATCGACGATACTCCCACACCACTGGTGACTGTCTTGACTGTGCACAGCTCCCCCTATGACTGCGCTTCAAGTAACTGAAACGCGCGCTGCATTTCCCGGTGCAAGCACAGCAAGCACTGTCTGTGCCAGAGCTTCCGGGAGCGTGGTCCTCGTACATCTATGTACGGTACATGTACCAAGCCTCGTGCACAGGACACGCAGAGCAACGTCATCCTCAGCACGACGACGACGACAACAACCGCGAGCATACTACGCAACAACTCCTACTCCTTCTCCTGACTCCTGACTCCTGACTCCTGACTCCTGACTCCTGCTCCTGTGTTCCCTCACCCCTCTTCGCAACCACGATCGAGGTGACACCTCCTGGGAGCTCCCTGCAGGTACCCATCTTGAGTTTGACGCACTTTACAAACCCCGGTTGAAGGCGCATATCATGACCCGACCGCACGCTGCTGCTGCAGCTGAACCTCCACAGCGCCCCGGACTGTCGTCGCGTGACACTCTCGACGCGAACAACTTGACAGGAACGCTGCGGGAAGATGGAACTGCTGCGCTCCGTCCAGATCCTACGCCGACCATGCCAGGCAGCCACGGCATCAACGGGTCGCTGTCAGCATCCGCCGAACCCGAAGATGAAGCGACGGGGCACTCGGAACGCTCAGACAGCGTCGCTTCCGATGATTCTGATAGTCAAATAGAAAGCTATGAAGAACTCCAACTCGACCCAGACACTCTCATTGTGAACACCCGGGCCAGTATGGACGCGTCGTATCGACCCGCAGAGATGGACAACATTTCATCAGACTCGAAATGGAAAGAGCCAGAGCAGGGAAGACATCGAAAGAGGAATAGTATTCAAATTCGATTGGAGAAGACGGACAAGAAAGGCCGATACGTCCTCACGGCGGATGATCCAGAGATCAAGGAAATTCTTCGCAGAGGCATAGAAAGAGAAGAGCAGGAGGCGGGCCGATCTAGGAAACCACGCATACGTTTCCGAGACCTGGTCTTCACCAGACAGTTCACAACTTTTGATCGCCAGAATCCTGCCAGCGCCGAGAGCCCGTTCTTTGGCTTCTTCACGCTCTTCTGGATATGCATGTCTCTGATCTTCGCCCAAGTCGCCATCCGCAATTGGCGCGATTACGGCAGCATTCTTGGCCGCAACCAAGTCATGCGCATGATGTTCAGCAGAGACGTGCTAATACTCGGCATCACTGATGGAGTGATGTATGCTGCTACATTTGAAGGCGTCATCTTCCAGAAGCTAGTAAGCAAGGGCTATATCAATTGGGCCAAATCTGGTTGGATCATCCAAAATCTATGGCAAATGGCCTATCTGGCAAGTATAATTTGGTGGGCGTACTTCAGAGAGTGGCCATGGACTCATACTATCTTTGTGGTCTTGCACGGATTGGTGTTCCTAATGAAGCAGCACAGCTATGCGTTCTACAACGGCTACCTTTCCAGCGTACACCGAAGGAGAGCTCTCCTGGAACGTAGACTCAAGCAGCTCGAATTGATGGAGCCAGTGGGTTCTCGACCGACAAGCCCGGTCAGTCCTACGTTGATCACTAGCTTCGATGCCCACGATTCCAAGACCGATAGTTCGTCCAATAGACGACAGTCGATGGGACCACGAACATCCACCAACTTGAACGTTGAAAAGTCGGACGTCGCGCAAGTCGCTCAAGCAATTGAATCTGGCCACTCCATCGATGTCGACCAAATGACTACCTTCTCCAGCATTATCCGCAAAGAAATGGATGACCTCACAAAGGAACTGAAAGGCAAAGCCGAGTCTGCTAGCAATGCTTTCCCGAACAACCTAACCATCGGCAACTTCGCGGAATACATCTGCCTCCCTACTCTTGTCTACGAACTTGAGTATCCTCGTCAAGAGAAGATCAATTGGTGGTATGTGGTCGAAAAGACGGTCGCGACCTTTGGTGTGCTCTGTGTGATGCAGGTCGTCAGCCAGGGTTACATCTACCCACTAGTCGCGAAAACAATGCGCATGAAAGAGAGCGGGATGACTTTGGACGAGCGCTGGCGCGAATTCCCGTTCATCGTCAGCGATATGCTGTTTCCAATGCTCATCGAACAGCTCCTCACCTGGTATCTTATATGGGAATGCATTCTCAACGTCCTCGCGGAAGTGACCCGCTTCGCCGACCGAGGCTTCTACGGCGCCTGGTGGAACTCGGTGACTTGGGATCAATATGCCCGCGATTGGAATCGACCTGTCCACAACTTTCTTCTCCGACATGTCTACAACTCCTCCATTTCTACTTTCCACCTCAGCAGGACTGCGGCTACCTTTGTCACGTTCTTGCTGAGTGCGCTGGTACACGAGATGTGCATGGCGCTGATGTTCAAGAAAGTCCGAGGATATCTCTTCTGGTTGCAATTATTGCAAATGCCACTCGTCGCTCTTGGACGCAGTAAACTGATGCGCGGAAGGGTTGTCTTGGGGAACACGATTTTCTGGTTTGGGCTTTTCATTGGGCCTGCGGTCTTGACGAGTCTGTATTTGGTTGTATGAGATGTGATTGTATGTACCTGCATGGATAGAGAGAAATGTACGATTGTGTTGCATGTCCATGGGTTTTGGGTTTGGAGATCCATGGGACCGGTTGCCAGAGCTATGGGAGACGTTACCCATGGAATGCTGACAAGAGATCTTCCCGTCGACAGCCGCTAGTGTACCACAAGAGAGAGATTGGAATTGGCCAGTTGAGGTGGGCTCACGGGGAGAGATCTTGGTACTGTGGAAGAGATGAAAAACGGCCGGAACCAGACAGGCCATTTCTCGGTACTCTGCAAGAGGTGGAACACATCAATCTCACCAATGCGCCTCCACGTCCGTCCCTCGAAATTCTCCTACTTGCAGCGTGGCATCACGTTGCTTCTTCTGAGAGGGTTGGCTGGTAGCCGTTGTCACCTGCTCGCCTTATTGCCTGCTCCCAAGTTTTCACCACACCTTCTGCTTCTCAATCATCGACGAACGTCTCCACGACGACAAACCGCTCCTTCGAAACGCCATACTTTTTAAACTCCATCCTCCTGAATATACCCGCCCGGAAAGACTCCTCCAAGCGCGTGGCTTTCGTGTAAGGGCATTCCAGACGCAGCTGCTGGAGTTGAGAAGCGCGGACAGGACCTATCAGCTCAAGCCACTTGACCAACCTCACGAGATCCTGATGCGTATGCTCGTCGCAGCATGGGGCGTGGAAGGTGTTGCTCTGGTAATAGATCGGGGCCGCTTCCTTTCGGAGGCGAGAAGAGGTGTGTAGTAAGGCTGGAAAAACTTTGCGGGTGACAGGGACGGGGTTGTCGGAGGTGAGGACCAATTCGTAGATGGTGTTGCGGAGCTCAGCAGGGAGGGACAGGAGATTTGGGCGAGTTTCTGTGGTGGTTTGGTCCCTAAGTGCTGTTAGATGGAGATTTCGGAGATGGGTTGTGTGGTGTGGTGTGGGAAAGAGCCACTTACTCGGCGAGCATCTGCTTCTGCAGCTCGAGTGAGGTCGCATCGAGGATGCGGTCAATTGACTCGTCTTTCATCTCCGGGAATCGCTCTCGGAGCTTCTGCGTCAGGGATGCGCGCAGATGAGCTACGACAGCAGCCGTGTCAAGCTGTGTCGTAGCGTCCATGTTCGTGGTGATGCGCTTGAAACGGAAAGTGAGGTAATGTGAGGTATTGGTGTGAAATGTGGTACGTTTTTTGGCGCGTGCTTGATTGCTCTCCAAGATTGCGGCTAATCTGTGGCAGCGCGGTGCGTGCATCATGCCAAGAATCACATGCCATTCCTCCTGTACAGCTTTCAGCCTCAGGCACTGTGGACCGAACGTGTTCTTGTCGAACAGAGCCTGCGCTCTCAAATGAAAAATGAAAGCAACCCGAACAGTAAATATATCAATGGAATGCTGCCAATGCGTTGCCATGCCTGGAATCTCCTTGCCCTCAACATCGTTTGCCTCCCTTGCAATGTTTCGACTCATCCTTCGTGAAAAGCATCTCTCATCCTAGACTCTTTTCAACGAAGAACCCCTTGGGTTTTCCTCAAACACGAAACGGCCCTCTTCCACACCCACATCTTTGTACCCAAGATGCTCATAATAACGCCTCCTCAACCATGCCAGAGCCGCTGCCTCACTGGACATGTCCCATGACTTGCAGTACCGCTTCATCTGAAACTCCTTGATCTTCAACGCTTAAGCCATACCAATTACCTTGAGTCACTCGGTCAATGGGGCCTTGACGGTTGCGGTGTAGTCTGGGGTGTCTTTGCCGAGATCGATCTTGAAGGTGTTGTTGGCTAGAATCATGGTCGAGTGACTTTGGGAGCAGAGCGTTCACTTCTCCTCCATGCCAAGAATCAGATGAACATGGCACATAGGCATATCAGCCCACATTTATTTGAGCAGCCGTACAGCTTTGAATTGACGATCGAAGCTACTGTTGTGATTATTGTCATGCACCGTTCGGATATTCTGCTTGATCCTCATAGAAGCCAGGCTGCCCGTTGATCTCGGAATCCTGATGGATCATGACTTCTGAGACTAATCCTCATCTGCTCCTATCGTTCCCCTGTGGCGTCCTTATGCCCCGAGCTCCTCCGATCACACCAGTCTTATGAACTCTGAACACGATACACTGTGCGACAGACATACTCCAGCACGAACTGGTTCTCCGAAAGACCGAGATCTTCCAGGCCCAGGAGCGCGTACACCTGCTCTTGGCTAGTCACCCTGGGGGTTGGTGCTCCATTCTTCCCTCCCATCGCCATCCGCGGCCGAAGTGGGCCCTCCCGGTAGTGATGCTTGACACGCAGCTTCTTGATCTGCGCGCAGCGAACCGGACCGATTGCTTTGAGCCATCTGGCAAGGGGCTGGCGCACTTCCTTGTCCCACGATCTGAAGCTCTCGTGAAACTCGATTTCGAAGATATTGTTGGCGAAATAGATTGGCAAAGCTTCCTCGCGGACTTTGCGATTGCTCTGGAGAATGCTCGGGATCCTCGGCAGAGGCGGGCTAAGGAACCGAGGAAATTCGATGGTGTCCTCAATCAGGGCGAACTCGTAGACGCGGTTTCGGAGCTCGGCAGAGAGACTGCAGAAATCGGATCGACTCTTGGACTCGGTCATGGATTGTTCTCTGCGAGCGGTCAGCAATGAGCAAGTGGAAGGACGCAGAAACTTACTGGGCGAGGATCTGCCGTTGCAGTTCGAGCTCTTGCGAGCGAACCATTGCATCAAGCGCCTCGATGCTCATGAATGGAAACTCGCTCCGGAGTAGATAACTGGTTTACCCGCTCACAAGACCGGCGACGGACGCCGCGTCATTGGCGGCGGCGCTCATGTCTGCCGGGGCTTGAAGATTGTCGTTGCTGATGATTGCATGAGGTTTGTTGTGCGGCAGAGGAATCTAGGAAGGCGAGAGCAATGTGCTTATAAGTTTATGCGTGACGTAAGCATTGGTCGTACATGAGCGCACAGACACCCATTAAGCTTTCGGGAGCGCACGGACGTAAATATCAGATGTCACGATTCGCACCAGACTCCCTAGTCACTTGTCTAGAGCTCACGGCGCGACAGTAAGACACAATCAGGTTGCTAATAGCCATTGAAAACGTACAGAGAGTACACAGACACAGGAAAGCTAGGGATTTCATGAGAAGATTATTCCGGAATGATAGCCGAACAAGCTTTTTTTCCGTGTTGTTGCTCTACACTCACCCTCTTGACTCCAATGCTACTCTACATCTCCGCGCCTTTCACGCATGACACGCTCTCGGTAGCGGTCCACAGTATCCTCACGCCGGAAACCCACCAGCCTCGCGAGCGGTCAGTCAATCAATACTCGTCCGACAAGATCTGGAACTCGATGACCACATGCTCCTGGGGAACACCAAACTCCTCGAGTCCCAGCAAGTCGTGCATATCCTTCTCGCGAAAGACGAACGCCCATTCCTCCCGCGGCAAGGACAAAAACCCGTCGCTCGACACCAAGTACTTGACATGCAGCTTCTCGATCTGGCCGGCGCGCTTGGATCCGATGGCCTGGAGCCATTTTTTGAGGGAGTTCTCGGCCTCGCCAGGTGCGCGGTTGTCGAAGGCATGCGTCACGCGGGCTTGGAAGCTGTTGGTGCTGTAGTAGATGGAGGATGCCTCGTTGCGGATCTGGGTGCAAGTGCGAAGTAGGCTGGGAGAGGCTGACTTTGGGACGCGAATGCGCTCTTTCTGGCCGAGGGCGTGCTCGTAGATGACGGTGCGCAGCTCCGCCGGGAGATCGAAGAAGTTGATACGCTTGCGCGATTGGGCCATGGCTTGTTCTCTGGGACAGTTGTTAGCTGTCGAGCTGAGTCGATACCGATCAAGACTTGCTCTGCCAGGAGCTGCTTCTTCAGCTCCGTTACTTGCGAGCCTACGATGCGCTCGATTGCCTCCGGTTCCATCCAAGGATATGTGCTTCGCAGGGTCTGCTCGAGGAATTTGTGTGCGGAGGATGCCACCTCGTCCGTGTCTGGATGTCCGTCGCTCATCGTCGCGACTCGTGTTGTTGCTTCTTGTGTGGGAGTTGTTGGTGTAGAGAGGATGAACAATTCTCAGGGATTCGGTGGCTTTAAATACTGCAGGTCCCTCCCGTGAATATAACGGGACAGCACGTCACGTTCCAATGGGCCTTCAAATATAGAGATTCACGTCTGTAGGTGAATAGAAAATGTGTGTAGCGCCAAATCGTTTCCTAAGGCACCGTCTTTTCGAGTGTTCCGGTTCCGTTTCGACGCTATTCAGAGGTACGTGCTAAGTAGCACAGACTCGAAGTAATGCCGGGGATGTTGTTCTTCTACAAAGGGGGGTCTAGGGGTCTACCCCAGGGTAGCTCCACGCAGTGGCCAGCCGCCGGAGGTAAAGAAGTATATAGTAGCAGGTAGAAGGCAGGTAGCAGGTAGGAGGTAGCAGGTAGCAGGTAGCAAGTAGTAGGTAGGCTATATTTTATCTCAAAGCTTGCGCGTTAATTAGTCTACAAAGAACATCCAAATTCCTAATTCCGCAAACGTTAACAAACACAAACATCAACACACATAAACATTAACACACACACACACAAACAAACGGTAGATAGACAGACAAAGTAGATAGGTCCTTTTCGGCGTCCAGTAACATAGACCAACGCTACGAGTGTGTGCCCCTTCTCTCGAAATTTTGAGATACATACCTTACCTTAGTGATCCGCCCACTTAGCTCTTTCCACTCCACTCCACTCCACTATACCCCTGGCTCCTTCTTAAGCGCGCTTCGTGACTTCCTTCCTCTATACCCACTTTCTATATTCGGTTAGGTGTGTTTTGGGGTAGTGGAAGAAGGGTCTCTACAGCGCGCCTAAGGACAAACCGCGCCTGTTTGTATATAGCTTCATAAAATAGACCCTGAATCCGGGTAGGGAAAGTAACATATCTCGACAACGACGAGTCTATAGCTTTCGATTATATGAAGGGGGCTGTCGATATTGGACTAAAGAATATTTTTTCAAGATCCGTACTAAATATCTACAGAGACTACGAAGTATATCGACTGGAAACTAAAAAAGCTCGCGTTATAGAGGCGAGAAAAAGCTTCCCCTACCACCCAGTATATAGGCATATAAACATCTAAATAAATATTTTATCTACACGAGGCCCTTAAGAAAGGCTTGCTTAAGAACCTCTAAGTGTTATCCGGACTATAAAAGTGCGTTCTACCTCCGGTATAGCAAGGTAGGGGAAATTATAAAGCTACATACAAATAGCGCGGTTTGTCCTCAGACTCGCTGCGCGATATAGTCCGCACGAGTCTGATAGGAGATAGCTATACCCTTCCATTCCTTGTAGTAGTACTTCAACACGGAACTTTTCGCAGCCCAATCCAATCCAATCCTTGCCTTAGAAATCTCAATCTCTCCCTCCTCTCTCCTCTCTCAGTCTCTCTCTCCCTCCTCTGAAGGGGATCAGAGTCCACGTAACCACAAGCCCACTCCACTCCACTCCGCGAGTGTCCGCGATCCTCCCGTTCGAGCCATGGGGAGGGAAATCAGCAAGGCCTTAAATCATCAAAATTTGGAGTCTTTTTTTTTTCGACGACTAGTAGCCCATCTGGCATCTGGGTGGTCTGGTGCATTCCATCCAAGAGACGTGAGGCGCGGGAGAAAAGCCTTTCTTGGCGAATACTGGAGAGAGAGACGAGAGGTGATGTGATGTGGTCGGTTGGGAATGGATGCGCTGGGGAAGCCGGCTGGCGAGCAGATTCATTGCGTGTTGTCCTTGTCCTTGTTCTCTACGTTGATTGTGAACTCAGAGGAGCCTCTGTGGAAGTGACGATTGAGATGGGAACGAACACGGGGACACGATATCAGGATTGTTATACTCTACCTTATCTACTAACAACCGCCAGAGAGAGTGGAGCCCATCCCAACCACCCAAGACCTCATCACTTCTCATCACCCACCACCCTTCTTCCACGTCAAATACCCCTTGAGCGTATCAACCACACACGCCTCAAACCCCGCATGCCGAAAGCCAAACAGCTCTTCCGTCTTCCTATTATCCACCCGCAACCGCACAGTCTGCATGCCCGCCCCCTGCCGGAAAACCCCCCCTTCCACCTGCTCGGGGAAATGTTTCCGCACAAGGGCATCGATATCGTTATATTCCATGCCATCGTCCCCGTCGCTCGTGATCAGATAGCCCTGATTGCCCGGCACTTGGAGCAAATCCAACGCTTGCACGTGCACGCGCGCGACCTGCTCCAGGAGGCAGTAATTGTTGCTGCGCGTCGGGAGGTGCGCGTCGTTATGTCCGCGCGCGTGGTTGACGATGAAGCGGTTCGTGCAGCCTTGCAGGTCCGCTTCGGTCTGCGTCAGGGGGTCCCAGCCGAAGACCATCGAGGGGAAGAGATGGACGGCGTCAAAGGCGGGGTTTTGGGCTTCGATCCAGCGTTCGGCGCGGTTCAAGGCTGCGACTTTCGATGCGACGTACGCCATTAGGCGATTCTCGTACGGCGGGTCGAATTCCGGGAGGCGCGTGTCGCTGGTGCAGCTGGATCCGGAAGTGTTGAGCCAGGCGGTCGGGGGAGTGATGGCTGCGCCGGAACTGGTGATTACGATGCGTTTGACGGTGGGGGTTTTGGCGGCGCTTTCGAGGAGTCCGAGGGTGGCTTGGACGGCTGGTTGGACGACTTCGGCGTCGAGGTTGGCGGATTCGAAGTCGCCTTTGATGGCTTGTGGGGAGGCGACGTGGATGATGTAGGTGCAATCTTGGACGGCGGTGTCGAAGGCTCCTGGAATGAGGAAGTCCGGGATGATGAGGAAGTCCAGGTTGTTGTCCTGGAAACTGTTGAGTCGCTGAGATTTGCGAATGGGAATGGAGGGACAGATTGTACAGTCTTCAGGCCTCTCAAAGCATAGTTCTCCCCGACCAATTTCGCTTTGGCCTCACTTCGAACGGCAGCGCGGACACGATAGCCCTTTGCCAAAGCCTCACGGAGGACCGCAAAGCCAACATGGCCTGAAACGCCAGTGATGAGGACAAGATCGTTGTTTGCGGGCATGTTTGCTATGTGGAAGAATTTGCTGGATTGATGTAAACGAGATTGAAACAGTTGTATTCTGACAGTTGTTGGAGGAATCTAGCACACCTTTGGATTGCTACTCATTCGGAGTTAGAGAGTCGATTGCTAAGGATAGTTTAAGATCCACCTACCTTCTTTGTCACCTCCAGGCTGCTTTGAAATACACACAGCTTATGTCTGCAGCGGTGCGGGTACTGCGTTTATATATCTCTCTCCCTCCCTTCGTTGGACCACCGAAATCCTGCCTCGTGATCTCGACCTGTCCGCCGTTGTCAGGAAGTGCGAGCCGCTTCCTGCCGTGTTGTCGTCAGAAACCTTGAAGTATCTATGGTTAGAAAATGGGGCTGTCGTATAACAGTCTAGCTGCAGGGCGGGCCCATGAACGTTGCCTACTTGGGAAGTTGCGGCGCGGGCTGATTAGGGCTGTCGAAGGATTCGAATGGCTTACTCATTGGCAGTCTGCTTAATTGCCTTTTCATCTGAATCTTCGTTGCCCCATCGATGGCTCTTCTGGTCCATGTGCGCTGAACCTCAACCTTCCAGATGCCATATTTTCTCCCATTGCTCTTCGAACCGTGAGAGATGGCATCTACAATCTCTTATATCTGTAACTCTCGGGGCAACTTTCCCGCCGTCTTGAAAGATGCAAACATCTACAAGCGCACCCTCAGCCGGCATGGCCGTTCTGTTCCTCCGTCGTAGCTGCAGGCCTCGATCGATAAGGGTACTTCCCAACAAATGTGTCCCATCGTGGACCGCCCTGTTCTTCTCGCGCTCGGCGTTGCAGGACAAGCTTGCGTGCTGCCTGCCGAAGCATCGTTTGCGGAGGAGCATAGGAGTCAATCGAGGGATCGAATAGCCGATTGAGATATTTCTCTGTCGCTTCTTCCATTTTCGTGAGGCTGGCGCCACCGGGTATCGTTTTGACTGCAGATGATGTTAGTAAATCAGAGTTGCTCAGAAGGCTTGAATTCTGCTCACTTTTTCCATCACTGGGATCCGTCCAGGGACCCCTCTCCCATTCATCAAGCGGCATATTTTCAAACCCTTCACTGACATTCAGCCTCTTGTACCAAGTATTCTCTCCATGCGCATGCTCCCTCATCTGCTTGTGCTGCTTTTCGCCCTCGGTGTACTTGATGAGCAAGTTCTGAATGACCGCTCTCTTCTCAAGAAACTTGCTGACCATGGGTATGCGTCCAAGAGGCGTCGACCAATCACTTGCGAATCCATCCGCTTTCTGATTCGGACGGCCGGTTCCAACGCTAAGCAGCAAGGCGGGTTCTGCAGCACGGCCGTCGTAGAGCGCGTGGAACTCGCTGAGCGCGGCGCCAGAAGGGTTGTTTTCGCGGATGCCGCCGTCCTTGAAGGACTTTTCGACATCATCAACCATGGCTGTGACCATCTCGAAGTAGAAAGGTGCTGCGGTAGTGGCACGGGTTACCGTCCAGATTGGTAGGAGGTCTGCACCTTCATTGTAGCGGGTGATCCAGTTTGGTGCCGTGTCAGAGTAGTAGTGAGGGTAGGACCGGAGAAGGTAAGCTTCCGAGATGTTTTCATCGTGGGTTGCTGTGAGACAGCAGGATTGGCAAACACGAGGATGGTCTACGTCGAAAGGAATCGGGCTCTTAAGAATTTCGTCGAAGTGGTCGATGTCCCATGGATGAAGGTCGTTGCCGTCGCAATTCTCATGTTCGTGACATCGACTGCTGACGATATCGCGGACAGCTTTTTCAAGAGGCTCGTGGTAGTACTTGGTCATCAAAGGAATCTTACTCCGCCTCTTGCCAAAGAGATCGTCGCCCACTTTCCGGTAAAGCTCCAAGCCTTCTGTGACCGTCATTCGTAAGCGTCCCAGGATCGTGGCAATCAGGCCACCAGTGGAGGTGCCGTACATGAAGTCGAAATAGTGGCAAGGTAGAAGCTCTTCTTCTGAAGTTGCCTTCCTCGCAGAGAGGTCGGCCGTCATGTTGTCCTGCGCGACTGTCGACAGCACCGTTGGGGGAACTTCGTTTGGGTGCTCGTGATGTGTTGTGACTCCATGCTGTCCTTCTCCCTCATCTGGATCGTTTCCTAACTTGCGATGATGCCCAGTCCGCCCTCTCAAGACCCGAGCCTCAGCTTGTAACTCCTCTTCACCGGCCTGAGTGCTGAGTAGTGATGTTGGACTATTCGTCCTGATATCGATCTTCGTCTCATCATATGTCTGTTCGCATTTCCAAACCTCGTGCATCAACGCCTTCAATATTAGCAAGCTGCTGTATCCTCTAATGCCCCCTCCATCTAAACACAATATGCAAGGATCCCAAGGGTCCTTGAACTCTCTTGCCCAGACTCTCCCTGCCTTTTCAGAATTGCTCGTCTCTTCTCTCCGAGGTGCGCTGGGTGCGCGACTTGAGCTCCGTGTTGGCGTACCCGAAGGCGCTGACAGGGTGGCCGTGCTCTCCTCCATGCGATGGTGTTGAGGCTCGGCGCCCAAGAAGGCCCAGGGAGCGACTGGTATGGAATCCACGTTGCCAAGATGCCACGCTGAGCGCGGTATGAAGGCTCTTTGTGTACAGTCTATGGGTCCCTCTTCGATCGATCCAGACGTTTCGGGGTGGTGGGTCAGGCTCCCTGTCGCGATTGCTGTCGTGCGGTACTTGAAAACGATCGTGGGGTATATAACGTAAGGAGGAGAGGCGTGGTGGTGAAGGAGTCACAGGGGAAGTGCGAAAGGATGTCTCAGAATGTGCAGGTAGCGCAAGTGAATGATGATGTGCGTCTGGTCAGGTAAGTTCTCGCAGAGGTCAAGAGGGCGTCTCAGTCGTGTCTATTCTTTCTGCAGGTGCTGTGCTCCCAAACGACGTGGTGGGGATTCCAAGAGAAAAGTGTGAAGCTGGAGATGCAATAACACCAACGCTATGGAACGGATGATGATTGGTATATGCAGAATGGGACAGAAGGAAGAGCAAACAGTACCATGACTGTTATTGCGTTGCTGTGGCCTTCTGAAGGCGGCCTTTGGTCCAAATGCCTCAGCCTCGTGACGCCTGCGCGGGAGGTGTGGGAGGGAGCAGATCGCGCCCCGAAAGGGAGAGTGGAGTCTCCATCCGGGATGGTGTGGTGTGGCTCAGGCACGGGAAAGACATCCCGTCCACAGCGTCCGTAACGACATCCTGGACGGGTGTCGTCTCTTCTGCAGGAACGTCAACCCATTCTGTGTTCCACCGTCTTTAACACTCCTGTGCACTCGTGCGACTGCCAGCGAACGAATCTGAAACCTGATGCGGGCGCAGTGTCTGCGTGAATGTCCAGCTGTGTGTCGACGGGTGCTCGTGAGAGTCGTGAGAGGAATTCCAGTCCAACGCGCTGGATCTGATCATGTGTCGCCATCGTTCACAGTTGTACAGATTGTCCATCCTGTCCTGTGATGTGTGATCGGGGAGATGCATTCACGGCCACTTCCGAGACAAGCCTTGCCTAGCCTAGCTGCGAGGTCCGTGCGGGGCTTGGCGTGGCGATGACGAAGGCGCAGCAGCTGCTCTCGTCCACCCAACGACTACACACTTCAGCCAGACAAGCGCATCTAAGGCTCTCGTTCCCACTCACGGAATAGGTCACGCCTACAATCGGCCCTCCGATCTCTTTTGCTTGCCTGAGTCTTCAGCTGACTGTCGGGGAACAGCGCAACGGTCTAGTACATAGCGCGGCCGTTTGTTTGCGTTCCAGTCCCTTCCAACTCCCTCTTGCGCCCTGTCTCAGGCAGTCGCTTTCACAACGCCTTGAGTCGCCCTTTGAACAAAGCAAGCACCTATTACTTCGCTGTATCCTACCAATAGCTCGTTGACTCATCTTCCACCCACCCTACCGAGGCCGCACTCCGACCTGGTCACGAGCGATCATGAGCACCGCCATGACGCAAGCAACAGAGCCGGATCCAGGCACCACCAAGATCAACACCGGCCTGACGAATTCTACACACAGTAGCAGCACCTCAAGCAGCGCCGAGCGGTACGGCTTGATGGAGGACGACAACCGCCCTATCCTGCTGTATAAATACCGCGGCGGGCTCCAGACGTCGTCGCAGAAGGACTTGTGCGCCTGGCTTGACAAGGGTAGGCAGATACACCTCGTCTCAACATTCACGCAGCTCGAGTTGCTGACATCTTTGCTGCAGACGAGAAGCTCCGCGTCACCAAGAAACAAATCCCCCGCATGTCTTCGTACGTCGATGTCAAGCGCCACGACCTCTACCTCCCGGAAGAGAAGGATATGTACTGCGAGCTCCCCAACTACGACTCTTCGCTCGCCTCGATCAAGCTTCCCTCGCAGGTGTATTGGAGTCGACTGTTTTTGGGCAGCTACGACAACCTGTACATTGTCTCTCCCGAGAGCAGTCCGACATCTAGTGTCGCTGATGAGGATAGTCGACGCACAAGTCCGACAAGCACATGGGGACAAGACAGTCAAGAGGATACGAGGCCGGGCGCGTTGAACGACTCGTAAGACGCTCGCGCATACGTTTGTCTCGGGATCAGCGATGGCCGTTTGGAGTTTGCAGGATACCACAGTCGACTGCTATGAACGAGAAGGCAGCTCATCCAGTTGCCCAGGAGTCACGGCGCAGGATGATAGATTTCCACGACCCAAATCTATCTTGTTCTATGCAAGTCTTCGGAGTCTTACTTTCCTGTATTGATCTCATCCCTTCTTCCTTCCTGCCTTGTTTACCGCTCCTGCAGCACAACTAGCCAGCAATGCTTTCCATATCTCCCCCACAAGGCCTGCCCTCCAACTTCTTGCAGTCTAATCTTTCTATACCAAAAATTCCAGTCGCATAAACTAGGCGCTTCGCCTTTTGCAAGCCATATCACTACCTCAACGGCATCGACAATGACAATCACCAACAAGCCACATGATCCTCGCGGCAAAAAACGACAGCGCGAACATTCATCATCTAACAGCAAAAACCCACATACTCTTTCCGACAGCCAAAGAAACCGCGCTTCTGATGCCATCTCATCACAGCATCCTTCGCAGCCAGATGTTTCAGATCATAGCTGGAGGGAGAGCATCGAAGCACTCCACCAACAAATAAACCGCATGCAGAAAGCTCTCCAGCAGCACTTATTACGAGGCAGCACTCGACGCATCGCACGCCCTGGTGCTGCGGGCCATGATCGGAGGACTTCGCTTCCTGCTGCTCCCGTGCCGTCGATGGTGCCCTTGGGAATGGCCATGGGCGTGCCTCCATCTGCTCGGAGCGTTTCAACACCAGCCCTCCTGAGCCAGCGTACTGGCTCACAGTGCAGCGAGGCGTACGATTCTCTTCAGCAGGTGCGGGAAGGACAGTATGTACGCAATCAACGCTACGCGCGCATACTTCCTGGTCCTCCTGCTCCTCCCGCTTTTGCTGCTGCTCTCCCTCGGGCTCGTCCGCCTGCTCCTCCCATGCGGCCGGCCCCTACCATGCAACCGACGCTGTCCGCCGCGCCTGTGATCCCGAACCGGTCAACAACGGCCCTCCAGCACCACAGCAATCGCGCACTACCTTCCCACCCACGACCTGCCCCCGCCGCCCCGGCTACCCCGAATAGCGCTCCCCAAGCAGCCGTCGACGAGCAGCAAGCAGGCGAAAGACAAAACAACAGAGAAAGCGTCGATCCCCAGTCTACATGTCCCAGAGCGCATGATGATGATGCCATACGTGAGCGAAGCGCGCGATGTCTCGACAGGATGCGAAGCGCGCTGCCCGAGGACGTCTATAGGGAATTTCAGGCCATCTGGAGTCAGAGAGGCGTTTTGACGGCGGGCGAGGGCAGGCGGAGGGTGGCGGAGCTTCTGCGCGCGTGGCCGGGGCTGAGGGATGAGGTTTTGGGGATTGCGCTGTCTTGTTCGCAAGGTGTATATCCGCAATGACTACGTCTGCAGAACGGGAGGGGTCAGAGTGCAGAGAGTGGTTGACTGCTTCGTGTTCAAATTTTGAAAAATTGTTGCGCTCGCTCGCTCGCACGCACCGAGTTGATCGCGCTGTGGGACTGGATGAAAATTGGCTAGCCTGTGAGGTGATGAGTGTCTGATTATCAACGCGTGGAGGTAAATCGAGACGCCCCCCGAAGATTGCTTATCGCTATGCTGTTCATTAAATACCCAAATCATATGTTCGAGCTGCCATTCAAAAAACCGTAGTCCTGTACACCTGTCTCTCCTCGGTCACTCGTACTCAGTCAAACCGGAAGATACCTCTGTCCGAGCTGGGGATGCCCAGGATTGCCAGTCGAGTGTGCTTGAAAGCTGGGAATCCTTCCTCGTAGTGGAGACGATCGCACTCCCAGGAAATGTTATTGTATGCGTTCATGACGCACCCGACGCAGTTGAAGATGAAGAAGAGCAGGTAGATCAGCCAGTAGGCCAGGTCTTTGTACTGTTCTCGTCGCGTGTAGGCGACGATGAAGGTCACCAGGGCGATGACGGATGTGGGCTGCCACAAACAGAAATCAGCGCATGGGAAGACCCGGCAGGGAAGGAAAGGAAAGGGGCAATTTCGCTCACCAGCATCAACCGCTGCAACCTCACGGAGAGATACAGATACTGCTTGCGGTCTTTCAAGTTCGCCTCGTCTCGCACCCAACTTGCCCTCTGAACCATGGCCGTGGCGGTCTGCAACCACGCCGCCGCCCAGAGAACCAGCCATGCCGTGCAGGTGGCGATGAAGGCATGGGAGACAGTCTTATCGAAGCTTCCGATGGCACAGGAGGCGATTTCGAAACACCACGAGGGGACTGTGAAGGCGTAGAAGAGAGCGCATTCCGCCCGTCGGCCGAGGCCCCAGTGTTTCGTGTGCGCGTATTGCGCGTGTTGGGCGTGTTGCTCCGCTGTCTCTCCCGGCGCGGGACCGTGGCCGTGATGCTCGTCGTACATGTCATTCGCGTCGTCGTGGGTGGTTGCCATTGTCAATGTCGAGAGTGGGAGGCCCGGTTAGAAGGGGGGTACGCCCTGGTTGTGATATCCGGCAGCGTTTTCCTCGGTTAGCCAGGTGGATGAGCCAGGCGGATTAGACGGTATCACAGTACGCCGTCGTTGATGAAGCTGTGGCGTGTGTGAAAGCAGCCATTTCCATCTCGTTCTGCAGAGGTCAGAGTTGCTCCTCGCTCCGAAGCTGCCGGGCGAGCGATGCGGCCCGTGCACAAAATAAGCTTCAATACCTGTAGATCCCGTCGTCCGCTAAAATGAAATTCCGAACTCCACATCCAAAGCGACATCACCAGCTCCGACTTGTGGGAAATTACATGCGATGGCATGACCTGAACAACCTCTTGTTTCCGCGCCATGGGCCAATCGAGCAGCCAGCTCGACCAGTCCACGCAACAGTCACAGTCAATTGAGCAGCCGCCGCCTGCCGACGCAGCCATGCCTGATGAACCGCGCCGCGAGCCCGCACGCACCACCGCATCAGAACAGCTTGAACGCGATTTGCTACAAGCCAGCCAGGAGAGCCCGGAGAAGCCGAAGAAGAAACACAAGAAGCGAAAGAGGGAGTCGCAAGCACATGAAGAGGCAGACAACGCTCAACGACACACTAGCCCACGGGCTGGAAGCCCCAAAATCGACCAAGTGGACCAACGGCTGGACAGCACACCGGAGATGGAACCTTCCAGCAAGCATCAGACGCCGGAAGAGAAAACGCTTGCGACCATGACCTACGCGCGCAAAGACGTACAGCGCATGCTGAAGAAGAAAGAGTTGGAGGAGATCGTCTTCAGCAACAAGGGCTACTGGAAGAAGCTGCCAGATGGAAACTGGGGTGTGAAGCTGTTCACGGAAGGCGAGACACCTCCGCAGAATGCATACGGAAATCATGCGGCTGAATTGGTGGCGCTCGCAAAGAAGGATATCGAGCGAATCAAGTACGTGGAGGGTGTTGCACTGGAGAACGAGCGGAACGCGCGGGAAAAGGTAGAGCAGGCAAGAACTGGCGTCCTTGAGCCTGAGCAGCGAATTCAGGAGCACACCGAGAAAGCCGAGAAGCAGATCGAGAAGCAAGCCGGGAAGCATATCGAGAAGCACATCGACGAGCGGATTGACGACGAGCCTACCATGGTCGAACCCAACGTGACAGCGGCGACCAGCGCGAAGAGAACCACAAAAGCTAGAGCGTCTCGCAGAGCTCGACCCAAGAATTTGATGAAGCAAACGGAAAAGGGGGTATCGGAATCTGTGGATCGTGATGAGACTCCTCAAATAGCCAAAGAAGCCAACGCAGCTACGCCCCATGACCCGATATTCAACATGCCCCGCCATGTAGAGCATTGGCTGGATGACCATGCGACGCACGGCGTAGAAGAGCTAACGAAAAACACTCTGCCCAGCGGGCTTGTGTCTTCCGTCAAACGCAAACGGAAGTCCCAGTACCAAGCTGACGACAGCGACGAGTATGCGGATGATGTTGATGACGGCTCGCTTGGTCCTGGTGATTCCTATAGTGTGGTCGAACCGCCTCGGAAGAAGCCGAAGACGAAGTCAACATCATGGCCGAATGCGAAGGAATTCGGAGTGTACACCACTGGGCCGCTCACAGCAGAAGAGAGAGCCATTGCAGATAGAGTGTTCGAATCGACGAGGAAGAGCTGCAACCTCACGGAAGCAGAGCTCAAAGCTAAGATCATGGACTACCGTCAAGCACCGGAGTTCAGAGAAGGACTGGAGAATGCTCTGCCAGATCGGACCAAGGAGACCTTGAGGAAGTTTGCACAGCGACGTTATCATCCCTATCAACGTGGAGCCTGGACTACAGAAGAAGACCAAGCTTTGCGAGATGCGCACGCAAAATGGCCTGGCAAATGGGCGCAGATCAGCAAGACAATGGAGCGGACAGCCGACGATTGCAAAGACCACTGGAGGAAGGTTCTGTCCAAAACAAACATTGGGCCTTGGTCAGAAGAGGAAGAGCACGCGTTGATGGCGCGCGTAGAAGAAGCCATAGGAAAGATCAAGCACGAGTATCGCGAAGACGAAGAACTCGTGAATGATACTGGTCGCCTGGAATCATTGGTCAGCTGGACGAGGATTGCAGAGACGCTCGGCAACAAGCGGACGATGAAACAGTGCCGCGAAAAGTACAACAAGCTCAAAAGTCGTACGGCCAAGGTCGATTCCGTTGTACAGAGTCAGCCTACGCAGGACGAGGCTGAGGTTGGTGGCGTAGAAGAGTCTGAAGACGAGGCTTCTAAGAAGAAGACGAAAAGAAGCAAGTTGAACGAGGCCAACGCGCATCTCAACAAATTCGAGCTAGGAGACTACTACGATGTATTTGTAGAAATCCACACCACGTTCCCCGACCCCAACGCCCATTACAGTTCCGAGGACATCATATGGTCCATGGTGCCGTGGAAAAACCAAGGTAGCCGGTTCAGCATGAGTTATCTGGGTGGTGCGTTGCGAAAAGCTGCCTTCGAGAATGCATGTCGCCACTGGCCCGATGAGTCGAAGAAGATCAAACGGAAGCTCGAGCGGGCCGAGACGATTCCTGCGAAAGCACTGGCACTCACAAAGATTATCGAGAAGCGGACAGGCAAAGATCAGATGGGAGCCTTGCCGCGGCTGTACGAGCCGGAATTGGTGGGGAAGTCGAGTGACGAAATACTCAGGATCAAGAAGGAGAGAAAGGAGGCAAGGAAGAGATCCAGGGAGGAGGCGTACAACAAGAATGGTCTTTCGAAGGACGTCGTCTCTGACTCCGAGGCGGAGGGCGAAGCAAAGTCTGCCGAGGCTGAGGCAAAAGTGAAGGCAAGATCGAAGCGAGATACGACCGAGAAGAAGGACCTCTCCAAGGAGATGATCTCTGACTCCGAGGCTGAAAGCCAAGCGGTGCCCATTAAGAGTGAGGCATCCGCAACGCGAGCCATCTCAGCCACGCCAGAGTCCGAGGACGCCGATGCCGAAGCGAATGCCACTCCTGAGCTCTCCGAAGACGAAGGCTTGTCTCCAGATGGAGATCGCGATCGTGAAAGACGTTCATCAGAAGTCGAGGGAGAGGACGAGGACGAGGACGAAGATGAGGATGAGCAGGGCACGCAGAAAATTCCGGAGACTCAACCCGACCCTTCTGAGGCTTCTGAACCCCCTGTGCACATGGCGGCACCCGCTGAGCCAACTCCCAAATCATCTTTGAAGAAGGACTCGAAGCTGAGTCGGCAGGAATTCATGCGTCGATGCAGTGATTCTAGCAAAGCCAAAAAGCCGGCCTTGACACCCTCGCGTAGACGACCGATCACCTATAGTAAGAAGCCGGGAAGCGGGCGACGTCGAGTCTGAGTGGGTAAACCCGCTGCCGGAGAAAAAGATCAGAGGATATTTTGGTGGTGTCGTTGTTACCAATGCATCGCGCTGGGTCCGAGACACAGGATCGCGACGCAAGGTCGGAAGGAAGACTGCATCAATTTATCTCGCCCCTCTTCGGGGACATGATCCGCCCAAATCGAACGACCCTTCGCTCCCGCCCCTTTGGAACTGGGCTTGTAACATCAAGCAACGCTGTGTTAGGAGTGGTGGTCTCTCTTGCCACGATGCAGGCGTCCGTTGCTCCTCGACAGTTGACGTATACTATATATGCAGGTGTCAACGCTTTCGATCTGCTCCCGTCTACTCCCCAGACGCCTGCACATGGGTGTGAGATCTGAAAAGGGTTTCAGGGCGCGCGTTGGATCTTGATGATTTTTCTGGCGCTCGTTGTTGTGAAGACGTTTCGCATGCTCGCATTCTTCGCTATGTGGGATGCAGCAGGCGAGAAGGTGAGTCGGCTCGCATTCTGCATGCATTTCGCGGCGGCAGTGGGCCTCGGTGACGGTGGTATATATATAGGATACCCGGCCTCAGCTTACGAGTCTACATCATCGAGACTCTGCGGGAAGTCGAGCAAGACGCCGCAGTGTATTCCCGACATCTCATCGCTTGCAGGACGGATGCCCGCTGTCAACGGTGTGGTGGAATTCTACCGTACGTTAGAATGTGAGGATAAAGCGGATCCACATTGGTAGACAGACGGTGCGGTGTTGCTCGGACCCGGGAGCGCCCCGGCACTCGATCTCTCGCTTTTCGTCTTGCCAACACCTCCGACCTCCAAGCTCCTCCACGTCGTCTTTGCTTCTCCGCTGCTGCCGACCATTGATTTTCTCATGTTGTCTGCAGGGACGGAGAACCTCGCGTCACACAGCACGCAGCACGCAGCCCACCGCGGGCTTCGTCCTCGAAAAATAGGTCCCACGGACGCATCCGCGCCCGCAGCGGTCCGGTATTGGCCCGATATCTTTTCGTTATTCGAATTCGCTGCGGCCGGGTTACGTTTAATGTGTATCTTGGGGGGGGGGGGGGCTACTTTTAGCTGGTTGGACGTTGTTTAGAATTGAAAGTCGGTACCGAATCGGTTCGCATGCACATCGTCGAGGCCCTTGTCTTCTGAATCCGAAGGACGGGAGCCGAAAGAGACAGCCGTAGGTAGATGCTCTCTCCTACGCGCCTTTGCAATCGATATCGATACTGTACGCAGCGGACGAACGCCTACTTTGTCTGCTACTCGACGCGCGGTCATCAGCCCAGAGGTTTGCGAATTGCGAATGGTCACCACACGCCCTCGAAGTCTACGGCGGCGAAGGGACTGATTGATACGAGTCATGCGTCTCTATCTGCATGGCGAGAATGGACTCTGCTAGTGCCTTTTCGTGTTCGAAAGTGTTTCTGTACCCCAAAAAATCAATCGTGGATGGTCGCTTTTACATCAGGCAGTCAAAGTCTTCACCGCCACGCCGTATGTGTAGCAATGGGGACCCTCTTCGCTGCAGGAACCGGCGGTATGGAAGCGGGTCTCTTTACATGTGGATCGGGGTGTGTGTGAAACGCTTCATCGCCCGCATGGTTGACAGCTCTTCTCACAGGACGCCTCGGCCACGACTGTGAACGGTGCTGTGGGTGCGGTGGTCCGGTCCCGAAAGAATGTAGACACCCACGTGTCGGTACACCTCACACGCCACGCGGTGCAGTGTAGCGAGATCTTGGGCGAGACGATGGTGGCTTTCCTGGCCTGCCAGGCTGGGCGATCTCAAGCCATTGCGTTGCCGCGAGAGGCTGGGCGCCACGTTACTGCCAACGGACTCTAAGAACGCGCAGCACCTGCGAACGAAAAAAGGAACTTTCCTCGTATGCTGGAGGCTTCTGTCCATGCGAGAGAGCTGCAGGTTCCACCCCGCTGGAGACGGAACGACAATGCTGGCGTCCATCTGATCACGCCCTCTCACACCTCTCCCCCAAGCCTGTCGGTAACCCTGGGCGGTACTTCGGGTGGGAAGATCTGCCTATGCAGCAGATGGCTAGGTAGGAAGTCTTGCTAACCCAGAGCTCTGGATGGACCTACTGCAGGCCAAGGGGAAGAAGGCAGGCGGTATGCTCTTCTCCCACGGCGACTGTTTTCGATCGTTCTTCTTTCGTCTTCTTCGATACGTGACGAGGTCCAGACTGCTGATTGCATCCCGGAAGAACGTCACTTGGATCTTGTCCTGCTGTTCTGTTCTTCTGTTTCTGCTGCCCGGAAATGTGAAGTATATGAGTATTTTCCCGCCACGATCTGGTCCTTCTTTGACTTCTCTGTCTTCTCGCTGGTAAAGCCAAAAAAAGAACTGGAAGGGACAGTATAGCTTCAACTATGCCTGGAAACCTCCACGCTGTTCCGCCCGCGGACGTCCTCACGAGCTGGCCGAAAGCAAATTATGTCGACCCGGTCACGAGGGCATGGATGCCGGCCTTCAGCATGACATGGCAATGCGTGTCGACCGTCCTCGTCGCCGGGCGCTTCTATCTACGAGCGAGGAATCAAGCCGGCAGCTTTGGACTCGACGATCTGTTCATCTTCCTCGGATGGCTCTTCTCGATCGCCTTCACGGCTTCCGCGTGGATAGGAAGCGAACATTTCGACTTGGATCGGCATACGTGGGATGTACCTCCCCCCTCGTACGTTGGTGCGGCATTGGTACGTCAAAAGGAACCCCCATGGAATGGTGGAAATCGAGAAAGAAGAGCGATTTGGTGTGCTAATGTGGAGGATACATACAAAACAGACCGGCTGGATCGCCCAAGTCATGTTCATCTTCAGCACCGTGCCCACAAAACTCTCCGTGCTACTCTTCTACCGCCGCATCATCAAGGGGACCCTCGACCGGCGCTGGCTCTACGCGATCCGGGTCGCCCTGGCCGTCACGGGAGGCTACGGACTCGCCGTCCTCCTGGCGTACTGCCTCATGTGCACGCCCCTCGACGCGTACTGGAAATCCTACAACTTCAGCTGGAAGCATGAATACCACTGCATCAACGGCAACGCCCTCACCATCACCAGCGGCTTCTGCAGTGTCCTGTCGGATCTCTACGCCGTCGCATTGCCCTGGGTCATCCTGAGGCACTATGACCTGTCCGCTCCGAGGAGGCAGAAGATTGCATTGAATTGTATCTTCTCTCTCGGGTTACTGTACGTCTCCTCCCCTTCTCCCCTCCTTTCCTCAAACCATTCCTCCTTCGGCTCAGTACTGATATGATCCAGCGTCACGGGCGCCGGCATCGGCCGCACCTACTACCTCTGGGCCATCAACCACACGTACGACACCTCCTGGGCGGGCTTCAACGTCTTCACCTGGTCCCTCATCGAATGCCAGCTCGCCCTCATCTGCGCCTGCGCCCCCTCCCTCCGCGCCTTCTTCCGCCACTACCTGCGCGACAGCCTCAAGCGCACGCTGGGTAGCTTCGGCAGCAGCGTCAGCCACCACCCGGAGTCGCCGGACGCGGACGATGATGATACCACCAAGGTCTGCTCGACGTCTTCGGATACGATGGTCAGGGAAGGAGGAAGACGAGGGGGGGCCGGGGAGGGGGAGGTTGATGGGGATGTGGATGTGGAAAAAGGCGTTTTGCACAGAACGGGTTCCCTGGAGCGGGTCGGCAGCGGCGGGAACGATAGCAGTCGCAGTCGCAACGTGACGACCACGACGCCGCAGGAGTACGAGATGTATGCCGTGGAGCGCCTGACGCGGCAGGTGAACCGGGCGACGAGTTGTCGGGTTTTCCGCGCCGTCGAGGTGGAAATCCCGCCTCCGACGCATCAGCAGCAGCAGCAGCAGCAGCAGCAGCAGCGGGCGAGTACGTTTTTTTGAAGAAAAAGATACCTACCTATGTTTTTTTGTTTGTTTTCTTTCTTGATGATGCGAGATGTATGTAATGTGAGCGACTTGTTTTTGAAATAGCTGTAGAAAAGGGCTGCCGGATATACGGGACCATGAATGGGATGATGAGAAGGCATGATGAACGCTCTCCGTCGAGAGAGAGAGAGAGAGGCTTTTCTGGTCTCTACGTTTCCGTCTCGGAGCTCCTTTCTTCCCCTCAATATCTGCAATGTTTGCTCCTCTCGCTCCCTCACGCCAAGAGAAATCCGTCATCTAGCCCAGTAGACCTGACCAACCCATCCAAGGTAGATCACTGCAAATACGCAAAGGGTACTCACGCTGAATGCTGCCGTACCGGCCCCTCTTCCTCTCCTCTCCTCCACCACAACAACAACAAGAAGGCATATGAAATCGAATTTGCCGTAAGGTATCTCTCTAAAGTTAGAACGCCTTGTTCATCGCCGCATGCGCCAATTCCACGCCCAAAAACGTCGCCGCATTGGCCGGCACGGCTCTCGCCATAGCCGGGCCCACGCCCGGGAAGAAAGCCTTGAAACCGCCTCGGCCGTACAGTTCCCGGATGCAGCCCATGATGCTCTGATTGCCCTCGGCGCTCTGCAAGCGGCTCTTGACCGTATCGACGGGGAAGACGGCAGTCCACATAGCGACACCCGCAGCGCCGCCGGCCGTCATGATGGCCGTCAGGCTCATCTGCCCCGGCTTGCCCGTGTCCGGGTCCTTGGGCGTCAATCGGCGCTTGAGAAGCTCGTACGTGGCGAAGTAGGCGGCGCTGCCGGGCCCGTCGCGCGCGAGGGTCATGAGGGAGCCGCGGTAGACGCTGCGGATGCCGCCTTCCTTGTAGAGCTGTCGCACGACGTCCAGACCGCCGGCGTAGCGCGGTTTTTCCCCCGGCGCGAGCTGCTTCTGGCCTTGGATTTGCAGGATGATCTTGACGCGTTCGAAGGGCGCGGTGATGACCGTCATGGGGATGGCGGAGAAGAAGCCGGCGAAGGAGACTTGGCCGATGGAGTATTGCCCGTTTTGGACGGTGGAGAAGGAATCGACGAGTTGTTTGCCGACGCCGTAGGCCCAGAAGTTCACGGCGACTTGGGGGGCATTGTTAGCAGGTGGGTTGGCCTGGTGGGAGATTGGAGGACTTACACATGGGCGTCACGCCTACCAGAGGCGCCGATACGCCAGCATACAATCCCTACAAGACAACACACACACACGAGTCAATAATGCCCACGCTTCTCTCTAGCCCTCCCAGCCAGGTAGGTAAGGACGCATGATATGGTGTATGGAGATCTTTCTTACCCTCACAGGCCCCTCGCGGGCTATCGTCTTCCGCACCACATCCATCGCACCCGTATACACCCCCTTCTCCGCCGTCTGCAAGCGCACCTTGACCAGATCAAACGGATGTCCCACCACCACCGCACACAGCCCACCTACACCGCCCGCCACGAAATCCCGCAGCGATTGGAAGGATTTCTTCGCCGCCTGTTCGACATTCTCTTTGACTTCTTGCGTGGATGAGGGGATGCTGTCTTTGGCTTTCTGGAATTCGGTCTGCGCTTGGTGTTTTGCCTGGTCCGCGGAGGGGATTTGTTGTTTGAGAGGGCCGGTGTTGCCTTGGGCGGCTTCTTTGACGTTGTCTATCGTTGAGGAGGAGGAGGAGGAGGAGGAGGAGGAGGAGGAGGAGGAGGACATGGTGGGCGGAGAGGAAGAGCTCCGGGATCGGGAGGTGAGATGGGCTCGTCTGGAACAACGGGCAGGTGGTAGAGAAGAAGAAGAAGAGAATCACCTACGAAGGGAAAAGGAGCTTTGTTTGAGAAAGCAGACGGTTTCTCTCCTACCACGCATGTGAAAAGGCGCACGGGTTCTTTGGCAACATTTGGGCCGGGAAGCTCGACAGCAAGCAGCACAGGACCGAGGTCCAACACAAGCAACGCACGGCTCCCATCCGGCTCAACTTCGGTCACCCGCGCAAGGTGGGTGCTACCCACGGCCAAAGCCGATTCATTCACTCGCCGTCACTCCTACTGTCACATGCGAAACCTATGACTTCGATCTACCAACGAACTCACCTGGTATCACAGCACCTTTCACGAACACGTGATAAGTCTAGGCCTTGGAAATGTGAGGTAGCTCAACGTGCGCCGGAAAGTCAACCGGAAACCTTACAGGACGACTCCCAGAATCCTTCCTCGATTGCTTGACCACCTGCTGTTCTCGACCACATTGGACATCTTGAGCGTGAAGGAAGGAAGGAAGGTCGAGCGGGCTCCCACGAATAAGCGTCACGAAGAAAGGGACCAGCAATGTGAGAGCCGCAAACCTCCTCTCTTCTCAAACACCCTCCCTCCAAGCGCTGACATACTCAACCAGACCATCGATCACTTCGCCTGGAAACCGTACGCACTCTGGACTCCATCCCCTACCTCCTCATGCCATCATAGCCACGAGCTCGGACCGCTGGCCTTCAGAGTCGGGTACCATCATCGGAGCCGTGATCATGGGCACTACATCACCTGGCTCCCCGATTTCGATGCAAAAGGAAAATTTACATCATGATGAAAAATAACAGAACGCGACCATTCATGTCTCATGAATGTAGTTTGGTCCTCGTATGTACAATTGTATGTCATGACGGTCACTTCCTGGTCGTAGCGTGTCGTCTCGGCCGAGTTCGTGATTCCCGTCAAAGTTCCAGATGAGAAAAGCACTGCTGTCGACTCCCCAGGCAGCTTGCAATGCCGAGAGTCTCGCACTTTGAGCGGTCCGATCACGGCTGTTATTAAAAGATGATCCCGGACTGTGGCAGACCATTCCACGAGAATTGTTGTGGCGACAATATCAAGCTAGGATCAAATTGTGAAAAGCCATCGACCGAACTGTCTTCGAAGCGATCCAGATTATCCATCATGCTGCCAGAGACGGAATTGTTGTTCTCAACGGCAAAGTCCCCGACGGCCCCCAGGTCGAGCCAGCTGAACGCGTTGATGGAAGGCGGTGCAGCATCCATCGGGTTAGGCTCACCATTGGGCCCCGGCATGCCTTGGCCACCTGCCTGAGCGGTAGCAGGCCTTGCGATGTCGGCGGGCTCTGCAATGCTTCCTGCTCTGCCCGGTGGCTTCCGCCATAACAGCTTCACGAGTCTGGAATAGCGCTCGCCAACGTCGTTCGGGCACGCACTTGACTTCTGAAGATTCTCCATTGTATCGCCAACCAGTCGCTTGACGGAGCCCCTTGCATCACCCGCCATTACGCCGGTCGATCGAGCCTTGTAGAGGAAGACGGCCGAGTAGATGACGTACAAGTAGTATCGCAGAGGCATGAAACGGAAGCATTCTTGAGGATCAACGAAACTACAGAAGGTGCTCAAGAGGGCCTTGGCTGCGTCAATGGCGTCGTAGATGAAGCGTGCGTCGGGTGTTGCGGCGACGTCTGCGAAGGGGTAAGCAGGCGCGCGTGCAGTCTGCCCGTTCTCCACAGCTTCTTGCATCTTGTTCGAGAGGCGATTCAGCGTTGCCTGATATGCGAAGGCATTGACATAGAGGCGGAGGTACTCGTAGGAGAGGATCAGGCTAGCCTTCAGAGGCGGTGAACAGGTGAAATGGCCCCATGATGCGTTCCAGTGCCGTAATGTCACCCGGAAGTCATCAATGTATTTTACGTATTCGCCGCCAAAGTTGAGTTGATTCGATCGGCTCTTGGTCGCATACAACACGTCGTGGGCGTTGCTAAACAGCTGGGTCAGCTCGAGATTGGCCTGATATATGGCGGCGAAGTTGTCGTTGACATGTAACCTGGGCCGTAGGCTGGGAAAGTCTTCTGCGCGTAATGTGGTCATCGGGCCGGGGCCTCGGGACCAAAATGCCTTTCCAATCCTGACCGAGATCTGTCTATCACTCATGTAACAGCTGGCCCACGCGAGGCGTTTCCGATTGAGGTCAGCCGTTTGGGCTTCGCTTTCTGCTCGGAAGCCGGTACGGTCGATGCCAAGAAGATAGCCCAATCGTATCGCAGTGCCAACGTACATCCAGGCGGCTTGATCTTCCTCGCCACGTCCTATCGAGGGAGTGGAATGAGGTCTTCGCGGTACCCACTCGGCAAGGATCAGCATCGCTTCGACAGCCTCCACAGCAGCAGAGCCAGTGTACACGAGGCTCGCGACGAGCGACTGCATATGTGTCGAACAATCATCATGGACCTGCCACCAATCTTTCTCATCTTTCGACGCCACCGTCAAGATTGCTGCGAGTAGGTGGGGTTCTTTGGCTGCTATGGTAGGGAGATTGTTGGGGTCCATGGCAGCGGGATTGGCCAGGGGGAAGTAAGGGTGGTACTTGTCTTCGTATCGATAGAGCAGTGCTCGGATCATCTCCATACTGAGCTGTCCCTTGTTGAGTGGAGGGTAGTCGATCATGTTGTTGTGTGTCGGCTGAATCGTCCGGCGGTGCGCATCAATGGGAGCCGTGTTGGCCCGGGTTGGCGAGCGGGCATAGACCGAGCTATGCATTGGTGGCAGTTGATTAGTGTTGGATCCCGAATCACGCTCGGCGACATGGACCAGGAACTCGAGAGCGTCAGCTGGGTTCTGGAGGTCCGTGGAAGCGACGGTATCGTCGACGGTCATCTTGGCAGTGGGCGTAGCGGGTGCATCATGCGACAGGGGAGGTAAAGTGCGCGATTCCGGATTCAGGGTGGTCCAACTGGGCAAGCGTTGCTGGCGACGGTCGAGATCATGATGGTCGCTTCGGGGTGGTGGTGGTGGTGGTGGTGGCGGCGCCAGAGGGAGCGGGGTGATGACAGTGTCGATGCTCGGGACTTGTGTGAGGTTAGTGTTGGTGTTGGTGTTGGTGTTGGTGGTGGTGGTGGTGGTGGTGGTGTTGGAGGTGGTCCGCTTGACCCTTCGACCACCTCTCCGGGAGCCACCGAGGACGCATTCGTGCTGCTCGCGAATGCATCTCTCGCACGGCGGACGACCCGGGTCTCCGCTGGAGTATCTAAGTCGAGGTGTCAGCGGAGATGGATGGTCGGGATGGTCGGGATGCAAGCGAGCATTGTCCCCGACCCGGCATTGGGTTCCCCAGATGGTTGCCGGCAGATAGCGCGTTGCCGAAGCGGGGCATCACTTACAGGTCGCAGCGAGATTTCCTCTGGCGGCAGTGAAGGCATGCTCGGTACGTGCGCTTCTCCCGCTCCGACTTGGGGCCATCTCTCTTGACGCTGCCCTGCTTGGCATTGGCAGGCGCAGGGCTTTCGGAGGAGGAAGAGTGGTGGTCGTCCCTGACGTTCGGGTCCATGCTGGGTGGGGTGCACGGGCAGCGGCAACCTTACGAGTGGATCTGCAGAGGATGAGTGCAGGTGCAGGTGGATTCCAGGTGAACGACTCGAGCCGTTTGACGGCAACTGAGAAGAGGGCGTCAAGGTGTGGGTGTGGGTGACTGGAGGAGGAAGTGGAAGAGCGTGACGCGACGCGACGGGATGGGAAAGGGCGGGAGGTCACGGTGATGAAGGACCGGCAAGAACAAGAACAGGGCACAGAGGGCACTGCAGAGCAGACACCGGCCACAGGGGGCAGGCACCACCGACGCAGGCTTCTCCGCAATTCGCATTCGCACTTCCTGGCCCCGGAGGCCCCACGGGATCGCGTACACGGCTGTCCCGGTCTTTGCAAGCCTAGCGCCACACCAGCATACCACCAGCACGAGACCAGCATCGACGAGGTCACACTACTACAGTACATGTACTGTGAGCCCTGGCAGCACATGGCGGCCGGTAAAGCCCAACGTCGGTTGCCGTAATTAGCGCCCTGCGAGTCGGTGAGCCTGCTGATGTTGTTGTTGCTGCTTCCATCTCCCGAGACCTCATCATTGTCACGTGACAGTCTGGGGAGAAGTGGAGCCAGTTCTCTACCTCCTTATACCGATATCTTCATGTTCGCCAACAACGCCCCCTGCACCCGCTCGCTCACCCGCACCACCCAGAACTTGGTCTCGTTCAGCAGGAACATCTCTCCCTTCCTGCCGAAGCAGAAGTTGGCCACCCCGCCCGCCACTCGCACCTTACCCAGCAATCTCCCCCCGGCACTCCACACGTGCACACCGTCGCCGCATCCACTGTAGACGTTGCCCTGTAAGTCACACTTGATGCCGTCGGGAATGCCTGCAATGCAATCAATGCCTCACTCAGCCACTCCACTGCATTCGCTTCACCAATGCCCATGCCCGCACGCACGCACGGAATTCACACTTCACTCACCTTCATCCGCCATGGCAAAGACCCTTCGGTTGGCCAGGAAAGACGACCCATGTCGCTCCATCACGTCGAACGCGTATCTGCGCCACCCAGTCAGTGCATCCCGGTGCATACCGCAAGGTACAAGTCAAGTCGATACATCCAAGTCGGTGCATCCAAGTCGGTGCATCCAAGTAGTTCCTTCATCATGACACTTACATTGTCGAGACTCGCGTGTGATCCGTCGTGCCATCGCCGTGGATCCAGTCGGTGTCGGTCACGTACATCGTCTTCTCGTCCGGCGAGAAGCAGAGTCCGTTGGGTCGTCCGAAGCCGTCAGCCACCACACGCATGTCCCCCGTGTCCGCCTCGAAGCGGTACACTTGACACGGCAGCTGCGGCAGAGGCCGGAATCCTTGTTCATATCCGTAGCATGGATCGGTAAACCAGATGCTCCCATCACCGTGCACCACCACATCGTTGACGCTGCTGAACCTCCGCCAGTGATACGACGAGATCAGCGTTTGCGTCTTGTATGGTGGTCTGGCCTCCATCCACACCAGCCCACCAGCTTTCGTCTGGTTGCCTTGGTCGCAGAACAGCACCCCATCTCGGTAGTTGACGCCGCCGTTGCCCATCGTCACTCCCGTCTGAAGCTCTTCATAGCTCCATCGGCCATTGCTTCTGCTCATCTTGCCCAGCTTGATGCCTTTACCCGAGGCCGTGTCCAGTCCATTGCTCGTGATGTACACCGCATCCTGATCCGGGAGATACACGCCGGCTTCGTGCGCAAATGGCCAGTCCTTCTCCAGTCCCAATTCGATGCTCGGCGCACTTCCGATGATATCCAGGAAAGCATTGTCGTGCACTGCAAAGTGCGGCTCCTGGAACTGTCGGAGGGCGAGAGCCCGGTCGAGATGGCAGCGCTCTTCCCGCGACACTCGCTGCAAGCAATCAGCATTGCGCCTCAACACCAACATCATCAGGCAGTACTACTGACCACGCAGTTCTTTGGCAACGCCATATGATCACACCGACAATTCTATAAACAGATGGCTTCCCGGTATCCAATCCTACGACGCGGGTGTTGGTGAAGACTAAGTACAGTAGGCTATCGCTCCTCCTCCGCAATCGCCGTCAGAAGCCGGTTCCACGCTTGCAGGGGACTCGCATGGAGAAATCTTGGAGCCACGAGGAACATGTGGCAGCCATATGGCCAGGCCAGGCCAGTATCCCGGTACGCCGGCGTCGTATAAGAAGGTAGCAGGACCACATCATACACTCTGTGAAACCAGGTCTCTTTCGCCAGCTTTGTGCTTGTGGACGACACACTGGCCACCCTATCTGCGTTGGATCGAAAGCGTACAGCTACCGGCAAAGTCTACATCTGCCACTGACTGAGTAGGCAGGCTATTCGTGGGTATAGACCTCGCCTCACGAACTACTCGTCCTTGCCGACTCCCTCTCTGACGGTGTGATGCAGGTTCGAAGACCCGCTTCATCCTCTTTGGCATTGGACTTCGACTTCACCCCAGCCAGCCCGAGATGGCCCCAATGATCCAACTCGAAGGCAATGTCCTCCTCTACACCGTCTCTCTGCTCACCTGCATGGGCTTTCTGCTCATCGGCTACGATAACGGTCTCATGGGTGGTTTGGTCAACACACCGCACTTCGACGGCACATTCAAGATCGACGGCAATTCAGAGTCAGGAACGAACCTGATAGCTTTGATCGTCGCCATCGTAAGCTCATAACCCCAGCCGACTGCAAGATGGTATCCCTTCGTACTCACCACACTGCCACAGTACGAGATCGGATGCTTCTTCGGCGCCGTCACCACCTCCTTCATCGGCGAAACCCTCGGCCGTCGCTGCAGCACCTTCATCGGCGTCTGCATCATGATCGTCGGAGCCCTGCTGCAAGCGACCGCCTACACCCGCGCGCACATGATCGTCGCACGCATCGTCGCCGGGTACGGAATGGGCTTCATCAACTCCACCGTCCCCGTCATGATGGCCGAGTTCGCGCCCAAAGCCACACGCGGCGTCTACGTCTGCGCCCAAGTCTCCACCCTCAATTTGGGAATCATGATGGTCTACTGGATCGACTACGGCTTCACCAAAATCCCCGGCGAAAACTCCGCCGCCTGGCGAGTCCCCGTCATCCTGCAATGCGTCTTCCTCATCGCCATGCTCCTCATGATCATGATCATCCCGGACACCCCGCGCTGGCTCATCTCGCACAACCGCCAGGACGAAGCCCTCGAGGTCCTGCGCTCCCTCAACAAGAAGAACATGTCCGACGAGTCCATCTGCGACATGCACGCCAACATCGTCAACACCGTCGCCTACGAGGCCTCCATCGGCGCCGGCAGCTGGTCCGACCTGCTCCGCTCCGACGAGATCCAGTCCCGCCGCCGCTTCCTCATCGCCTGCTCCGTCCAGGCCTTCCAGCAGCTCGGCGGCATCAACGCCCTCATCTACTACTCCAACACCCTCTTCTCCAAATCCCTCGGCTTCGACACCAACATGTCCGCGCTCATGAGTGGCTTTCTGAACACCTGGTTCTTCGTCGCCAGTTTCATCCCCTGGGTGCTGATTGATCGCGTGGGCCGACGGCCGCTGTTCCTGAGCATGATCAGCCTCATGGCCGTCGTGATGGTGGTGCAGACGGGGTTGATCTGGAATGTGGAAAACAAGACGAGCATCTCGAAGGCCTGTGGTGCAGGCGCTGCGGCCATGTTGTTCATTTTCCAGGGGGCGTTTACGATAGGTGAGTTTGGGGCTCTCAGAAGAAGAAGAAGAATACACACCGGAAGCAAAGCGAAAAGGGGGGGAAGTTGCACCAGCTAACCAGTCTCCGTCTGCTGCAGGTTTCCAAGCCACAGTCTGGGTCTATCCCTCCGAAATCCTGCCCCTGAAATTGCGCCAGAGGGGCGCTTCCATCTCCACGGCCTGCAATTGGATCTTCAATTTCATGATCGTCTACATCACGCCCCCGGCAATCCGGAATATCGGATATAGAACCTACATCATCTTCGCTGTACGTCTCCTCTCGCTCTCGCTCTTCCCCTCACCACCCTCCCTCTTCCCTTCCCGCTCTCTCACACACACACACACACACACCCCCACACACAACACACGCAACTGACTTTTTTCTTTCTTCGCCCTTCCTCAGGTCCTCAACGCAACCTGGGTGCCCATCATCTACCTCTTCTATCCCGAAACCAAGGGCCTGGCGCTGGAAGACGTCGACCGGCTCTTCGCCAAGACGGACGAGGCGCATCGCCAGATGAGCGGGATTATTGACCAGGGCAAGCCGCATGAGGACGTGGAGCGGATTCAGGATATCATTGCTCCGGGCAAGTCGTAGATGATTAGGTAGGACGAAAGAGTGCAGATGCCACAGCCGAATGGATTGATTCCCTTCTCCAGCTTGCGGGTTTCGTGTGACGCCATGTTCCATGTGACGATGTGACCAGTGAAGTGATCTCGAATTGCCCAGATTGTGGTTTGGTGTGCCGAGGTCCTCGATTGTCCCATGAGCTGATATGCCGCTGATGCCGACCGACATCGAAAGCCGAGTGGAGCGGACCTGAGCCCGAATTGGGTCCCGCTAGAGAGTATGGCTTCCCACCCGAAGTCACTCACCCCTACTCCATCCATCAATCACAGAGCCCCATATCCCTCACCAACTCCCCCACAACCACATCTATCCCCCCGGCCTGCTGATCTTCAATCCCAAAACTAATGATGACCTCATCATCCAGGAACCCATGATATCTCATCCCCCTTGCCTTCCAATTCACACTCATGGTGAAGATCATCTCGCTCTGATCGACCGGCTTCCACTCATTCCCCGGCCGGCGCCAATCCTCGTCGGGCGTGCCGCGGCCGTGGTACCAGATGGGTTTCTGGGAGATGGCGTAGATGGCAAAGGGGGAGGTCTCGTGGAAGAGCATGACGTAGGGCTCGTAGACGCCGTGGTAGTAGAAGGTTTTCTTCTGGAAGAAGGTGAGGATGTATGTGTTTTCGGGCGTGGCGTGGCAGGTTTCATCGGAGCGTTTGCAGAGGGTGAGGGAGAGGGAGTTGGTGGCTTGGTGCATCCATTCGAGGTCGTTCTGGTTCAGGGTGGGCATGAGTCTTTCCATGCATTGTCGGTCGCGGGCGAGAGGGGCGAGGTCTTTCCCGACGACGGAGCCGTCTGTTTCGTTGACTTTGGCGAAACTGCGGTGGGTGGTGTCGATGTCGTAGTGGAGATACATCTCTCCTTCTTGACTCCAGAATGCGAACCAGTTCTTCTCGAGAGGTTCTATCGGGTCCGGACGTTGCAGGTCGGTGGGCCAGAAGAATGCCGTCTCATTTTCAGAAGTCGCCTGATCGTCTCGGTCCCAGTCTACCACTCGTCTCAGATCCTGTATATATTGCCCAAGACAACTCTTCCTCGACTGTGATCCGTAGATGATATATGGCCTCTCTGGACCCCAGAAGATTCGTGCATCATGTGGTCCGATAATGCGATTCATAAAAGACAACGACCACTTCGCATCATCCTTACACACCGGACTTGTTGTAGATGCGATTGGCAGTATAAGGGGAGTCCTCAAGCATCGCATGACATTATCCGTCTTGACGAAGATGGCCTCGCAATAGAGCTCCGCATTCCAGATATCACTTTCGTCCTTTCTCTTGTCCCTCATGGCAATCACAATCCATGTCTCGTCCTTTGTTGGATGGGGCAGAATGCTCGGATTATACCCTTCCTGTCCCAAGAAATCAATCATGAAGAGGCTGCCCGTAGATGTCATGTTGGAAAAGATCTCGAGATGTTCCACCCTCATGTTCTCCTTCGAGGCCTGGTGTTGCTCCGGCGTGAGCTTGTGGGAGATGTCCCCGTTTCCAGTCCCAGGCCGCCATTCTCCCTCTTTCTCCACAGCCTCTCCGGGTCGCTTTTGCGCATCGCCATGATCGGTCGACGGTGTTGAAGGTTCGTAGACGGTATACGGCACTCGAGCCGGCGTGGTCCGCGACAGATCGAACAAGCCAAGGAGGGATAAAAGGATGACGAGGAGACCGGCGGCGATGAAAGTGGTCTTGAGGCGATTGTTGGTGACGGCGACCGAGAGGGTCATCGTTGGCGCCGGTGCCGCAGCTTCGGCATCTTTGTGAAGCATCGGGGAGAGGTGCAAGGGGTGACGCGGGGATTATTACTTGGAGGTGCTCGCTTTCGTTCCGCCAACTCGCGATCCCGAGAGATCAACTTCACCTCTCCAAGTGCATTCAACATCTCGAATCAACATCCAGCCTATACCGTGACAACTGCCATTTCTGTATCCACGCCCAGATCTGGCCTCGAGCACATCGTGATGGGAAAGTCGGACGACAGGAAGCGCGTCGGAGTAGGCCTCCCAACCATCTATCCTATCTCTCTCCTCCCTGGCCTTTTCCATAAAAGAAACTTGAACACCAGTGGTTACTGTTCCCTCTCACTGGAAGCTATGGAGATTCAGAAAGACCTCAACGCAGAATGATCGCGCCTCCAAGCACTGGTAGAAAACATCCCAGCGCTGTCGTGAGTGAAGACTAGGCAAAGACGCAGCCGACTCGTCTCTACGGCTGAGAATCGCTCACATGACGTGGAATATGGAACTATTTGATCATCGACACACCGGGGACAGAAATAGCGAGGGAAATAAGACATTGAGCTCGACAAGTTGGAGCTCAACGATGCCGTTGCAGAAGAGAATTGAAAGCAGACAAGACGGGCTTCAGCCAGCTGAGGAGGTCGGCTACCCGTCTTCTCGGAAAAGTCCAGGCCTCGAAGGTTATGCTGGCACTGTAGCAGAGCTGAGAGGCTCAGAAGGGGTTATTGTCTTGCACTATCTTTCTGGATCTGTTACCATCAGAGTATGCGTATATCGGTGAGGGCCACCGAAGCGGGAGACATCATGGTGCACCTCACATGCTTTACGAAGGTCAAGCTTGTTGTACAGGGGCAAGCCGAGTTTGACGCCCCATTTCACAAGCAAGGAGCCTGCTCTCTTTCGTTGAAAAGCAGGTGGAGTCTTCATTTGGTGGAGCACTTTGATCATCAGCCGCCAGACTTGTTAAAAGGAGAGAAATGAATACTCCCTGATCTACTCCTCCTTCTGAGGGAACACCTCCGTTTCGCCCAATTGCATGGCTGGACTACAGCGTGAACAACTTCGACTCTCACACCGTGTGGCCAACCGTCCTCTGTGCAAAAATCGTCGCCTTCTTGGATAAGCTTCTTCTTTCGATCTGATGCGCCAGCATCCTCCTGTCCGCCGCTCTTGTAAACATGAACAGGTAGAGTCCATGGCGAGTAGGCAATTGGCTTGCCATCCAAACTCACCTCCATGAGCCAAGCTCCTTCGTCAAGCATGCTTGTGGGTAAGCGTGCATAGCTGCCAGAGATTCGCGATTCGAGTGTGCTATCGGGCCACATCCTGTTTGCAGACATCAGTACTTCTGTCGACCTGTTGATTCGAAAGAGATGATATACTGACGTTTTTATCTAAATAAATCATTCCAATTCGCAAGAACGATGATTTTGGCTATGGCTGCGCGATCAGCCAAGCTCACAGGTTCTAGTCTCAATGCCACTTTCTTCCGTGGGTACCCGGTATCTAACTTTCACATCTTCTGTGTCACAGGATTCTTGTTCCAATTTGCATCTTCAGCTCTCAGCTCCGAAGCATCAGCCCCACCCGCGCACTCCCACGATCAAGAAGACTTTCAAGGTCGTCTGGAGAGTCCTCTTATCTATATCTCAATACAATACCTTCTCATAACGAACGGTCCCCTCGTCATCCACATGGCACGCAGACCTTCTTGCCCTCAAGGACCAACATCCCAGATTTGGTATCCCGCAGGATGAGAAAGGTCGTGACGCAATGTTACTGGAATCTATTCTCTACGCATCTCTCCCCAATTTTCACGCCAAGATCGCAGCAGCAAGGAACGTAATCCTATTAACACGGGATATCCTCCCAACAACACCATCCATACTTCTCACTTCATCCGCAATACTTAGAATCACATAGTAGACCCCAACAGCAAGAATCTGCGGCGCGGACATTGCAATATTATGGAGACGGATGATAGAACCTGAGTCGTCCGAGCCTGGTCTCTGTTTCTTCTCATCGTGATCTTGCTCCAGAGCTTCTCCGATCAAAGTCAAGGGCGCCCAAGAGGCGATCGCCCATGACGGGGACACGGAGGCAATGAGAGCGATAGCGATAGCTGCAAGGAGGTCTGTGACGACGGCCGAGGAGGACATTTATGGTGGCCGCTGCGATGAAAGAGATGGTAGCATCGCAGAGTGCTGCCATGGTCACTAGCTGATCTCCCTTCGCATGTGAAGACGGCCGGTCTTGGCATCAACAAGCTGTGATCGGTCTCCGGCATGTCCCGGCTTGTTGAAAGCTTCTGTGCTTCACTTCACCCTCGACCATCATCCACAATCTTCCGTCCGCGACGTCTCTCAACTCAGCCACAGGCGAAGTTGGATGGTGGAGTGCATTGGAGATGATGGCGGTGGCAGTGCAGGTGAAGACGGAAGAGACGGGACGGGAGGATGGGAGTGGCCCGGGGCGAACGACAACGAACCGCCGACGTCACTGTGTCGCTCGAACTCTGACCAAGTTTCTGCAGCGACCAATATCACTCTACCCGCAAAACAAGGCGCACGCGACCAATCCTTCGCTAGCCAGTCAAGTGCTGTTTTCCTTGCAATCCTTCCTTTCTTCTTGTTTCATCCCTTGTTGTTGTTTGTGGTATACAGAGCTCACTACAGCGGCATCGAGCCCATCTCCTCGACCAACACCATTTCACCGCCAACGACCTTCACAATGCGAGACCTCCTCCTCCCCGCCTCGTTACTCGTCGCCCTCGTATCCGCGTCGCCAGTATCACCGCCCCAACCGGATCAAGTGGTACTCGAGGAACCGCATCCAGAGATCACGCCCACGGCTGTCCGACGCGATGCCACCCGAACATACAATCGGCCGCGAGACATATTGAGCGATCTCAACTCCGACATACACGGCATCTTGACTGCATTGGGATCGGATGTACCAACATACGTCGCCAGCGGCATCCTTCCCTTCTTCCAGGAATTTCCCACCGGCGGCGCCGTTGTCAGCTCGCTCGGGCTCAACGACCAGGAGCTCGCCGCAGTACCAACACAAGCGCTCAACTTCCCACCATACGCAAACTATACAGATCAAGGATGGAATGTGCGATTTCACGGGAACATCTACAAGCAACCAAACACATCGGAAGAGAAGCTCAACGATCTGGCGAACAAGTTCTTGATTGGTACTTCGATTTCGCAGCTGCCAGCAGATCAGGCTGCCATGGCGAGAAATGTGACCGCTGAGATCTTCATCGTTCAGCAAGGCAACGTCAATGTGTCGCCAATTGCCGTGGGACCGTTCAACAATGGCCCAGGAATGAGCCAAAATGTCACTCTCCCGTCTGAGACAACAGACGAGGGTGACTACGATGTCTTCCTGCCGATCAATAGCAATGGATTGATGAGAGGAAATGAGACACAACAGATCCAAAAGCTGTCGACCCATGTCACCAACACAACGGAAGGAAATGGAACGGCATACCTCGTCCCAGATCAAGGCCTGACTGTCGTCTCCGACATTGACGATATCCTGCGCGTCACCAAAATCTACGATCCCAAAGAAGGCCTTCTCAACTCCTTTGCTCGGCCATACACGGTCTGGGAAAATATGGATCAAATCTACGCCAACTGGTCCAACAGCTTACCAAATGCTCACTTCCACTACTTGACAACTCTACCTGAGCAAGTCACGCGAAGTTACGAGTCGTTCATCTACGCCACGTACCCAGCTGGCTCCTTCGACACTCGTCCGTTGAACTTCAGCGATGTCAGCGCTACGCTCAGCATCCGACTTTTCCTCCTCGAGAAGATCTTCCATACTTTCCCGCAGCGAAAGTTTGTACTCGTCGCCGATACGTCGAACAGTGATGTGATGCGGGACTATCCACAGTGAGTAAATCTTCATGTTGAGCTATGAGCCTTATTGATATTGTATGCAGATTGGCACATGACTACCCGGACCAAGTCCAATGCATCTTCCTCCGCAACACCAGCGCCACCGATTCCGAAGACAAGTTCCCCTACAACACCGACGGCTTCAAAGGCCTGAACCAAACCAAATACATGTTCTTCGTGCATGCCAACGATCTCATGGGCATCAACATCGCCGGAGATACTTGCTACAACACGTCGATACCGCAGAACGTGACCTTCGGATACCAAGGACTGCCCGGCGGCCAGGATACTGCTGTGAACAGCAGCGCGAACCATACGGGCGGAGTCAGCACTTTGACCGTGAGTAATGGAATGACGTTCTTTGCGTTTATCAGCATGCTGTTTTGGCAACTTCTATAATGTCTGCAAGCGCTTCAGGCGAAGACCTGAAGATGATTGATGAGGTAGAGGGATGCAAGGAGAGGAAGCACTCGAAGCAAGGCGTCTGTCATGAGTATAGGGCAAAGCAGTTTTCACAACAATGAACTCCGTGATTTTGGTTCCTGTGATCCGGCTCCCCACGAACCTTGTCTACGGAGCCGCATCCCGTCTGTTCCTGAATGTCCAGCAACCTCGTCTGGCAACTTCCCCGAGCACAAATCGAGCGTCGCTCATTGAACGGCAAGTTTAACCGCATCATCACAGAGTTAATTCCAGTCGCAGGAGTAGCGGTCAGTTGTCCCGCCGTGCGAACGAACAGAAATGGCCAGCTCTACCGCAAGAAGACCCGGCGACTTCGAGCACAGCAGCCTTGCGGAAAGCTTGTAAGAAACACCTGCGGGAGACGTTGGACAAAAAGGGCGTTTATATGCAAGGTGCCTGAGACCCTGACCTGACGTAGCACTAGGGAGCATTATGATGCCATGTAGCCAGACCTGGAAATGGAGCTCATCAAGGTATATGATACCTTGACTCTCTGCCTGCCATTGCGGATACTTTTCGTTACTGGTAGGTGAGTATCAACTGTCACCAAGATGGTCACAACTGCAGCATTGGCGTTCATGTTGGCGGGTCTGAGTGCTGCTCAGACTCAGCCCAATGCTTCGAAGTGGGGAGAGATTCTCTATGATCGTGTCAAGTATGGACCGGAGATGGAATTGCAGCATTTGTACTATGGGCAGTTCCCAACTGGTAAGAGCTCCTCAAGGCGGACCATCGATTACACCGAAAAGGGTGCTGACGGATGGCGTAGGGGTTGCCGTCTCCAAGGAAGGCAGAAAGTTCTCAAACTACCCCCCGGGCCTGGATCCAATGAACACCAACAACGGCATGAATGGAAAGTTCACCATCGGAGAGCTCTTCCCCAACAATACGGAGAGAGCGTGGCCAAGTGCTGAGATCAACAATCCGCCGGGCGGAGCCATCAACTACACCACCAATCCCCCCACCGGCGCCAACTATCCCAACTACTTCATCGGTTCGCAGTCCATCATTGTCGATTCCAAGAACTTCGCGTGGGTCCTCGACACCGGCCGCTCTCTGACTCCGGACGGCGTCCTCGTCAACGCCGTCACGGGTGGCCCGAAACTCGTCAAGGTCGACATCCCCACCGGCAACGTCCTGCAAACCATCGTCTTCCCCTCGACCGTCGCCTACGGCGATTCCTACCTCAACGACGTGCGCATCGACTACGCCCACAGCCCGGGCTACGCCTACATCACCGACTCCTCCCTCGAAGGCCGCAACGGCCTCATCATCGCCGACCTCTCCACCGGCACCTCCTGGCGCCACCTCGACGGCTCCCCCACCGTCCGCCCCCAGGCCCAGAACGTCGAATACCTCTGGGGCGTGCCCCTCTACGCCTTCCAGCCCGGCGGCAAACCCTTCACGTACGTCTCCTTCGGCTCCGACGGCATCGCCCTCTCCGCCGACAGCGCCACGCTCTTCTGGAAATCCGTCGGCGGGAGATACATGTACAGCATCCCGACGGCGCGCCTGCGCGACCACACCAGCGCGGATTCCGAGATCCTCGCCCAGAACAGCATCGCCACCCTCGGCCAGACGGGCATCACCGACGGCATGGAAACCGACACCAACAATTTCATCTACCACGGCAACATGGAGCAGAACGCCATCGGACTGTTCAACCCGGCCAACGGGTCGGATTCCATCTTCATTCGTGATCAGAGGCTTAATTGGGTCGATACCATGTCCGTTGGCTTCGATGGCTATCTGTACTTCACGTGCAACCAGCTCGTCTTTGGCTCCATGATGTACCCGGGCACGGACCGGAGGCAGAAGCCATACTCGCTGTGGAGGGTGAAGTTGCCGGGCAATGGCACCAAGACTTCCTGAATCAGAAGACTATGACGAGAAAGTTGGGACCACTCACTAGATATATTGAGGAAGTGTATATATATACCCCTTCTTGGGAAAGCTGTATCTCTCACATCGTTGGTGCCCGTCGTTTGACAATGCCAATCTTTTCCCGTTTACCTGGAAATTGCAAAATACAAGGTGATGAGGCCGAGCACAAAACGACAGTCAAGTAAGCCACATTGAAACAAAGATAAATTGACATGAACCTTTCATCCCTACTACTACCTCTCTCAGGTTTTGTCCCGATCCTAAGCAAACCCCACCGAGTCTCCCAGATCCACCCTGCCTACACTCCACACCTCCCTCTCATCCTCAACTTCATCACTCGTCAACCCCAGGCCCCCAGCGCCACCCTCCGCTTCCCTCCGCTCCCGGGCCTGCCCACTCAGCCGCAAAGCGATTCTCTTAAAGTACTCCTGCATACTGCGCTTCTCGCCGGGTCCCAGCTCTTTCCCGGGTCCTTGCGTCATGTACTTCTCGAAGACTTCGCCTTCGACCTCGACGACCTGGAAAATGCCGAGGAAAGCCGCTTCCGCGGAGAGCTTGATGGGGATGACCGGGTCACGGACCAGCTTGAAGACGGGCGGGACGATGAGTCCGAGATGGGGACGGAGGAGCTCATTGTTCTCGCGCGAGACGGTGCGCAGGACCACGAGGGTGAGACGACGGGTGTCCACCGGCTTGCTCGGGTCCAGAGCGGCTTTCAGCGCTTCGAGAATCGGCTTCGTTCCTTCGAAGCTCTTGTTCCCGCTCTCGGTCAAGAGGTATTTGCCCGCTGCTAAGACGGCATTCGCCGCGATGAACGGCTGGCTATGCCCGGCCCCAAGCACCAAGGTGTTTCGCGTGATATCGTCCAAAGTATCCGTCAGTGCTTCTGGTGCCTCGATCAAGACAGCATTGAGCGCGAGGATAGACGAATGCGAGAAGTCTTTCGTCAGAACACGGCCCTTGAGCAATGGCGTGGCAGTCTCCGCAGGCAGCACCTTGATGAGAGCTCCCAGAAGCTTGGCGTAGGTGATGTTCAGCGAATCGTCCGCATCGCCTGAGTCGGAGTCGATGAGACCCAAGATCGAGTTCTTGGAGACATCGTTCATGTTCGAGCCGGCCTTGCTCACGACCTCGTATAATGCCTTCAGCATAGCATTCTTCACTCCAGCGTCAGTGGTCTTGGATCCAGTCACGAGCTCGGCAATGAGAGGATCAATTCGTGGGGTCATCGTAATAAGTGTGCCGAGTGCTTTGGCGGCTCTTGATCGCAACACTTCGCTCGATGGGTCGGCCAGGGACTTTGCGAATGTCCTCTGCAGCTGCGGCAAGAAAGGCTTGAGAAATGTCGGGATCTTCTCTAGCAAGTTGTTGAGCGTCAACAAGATCGCAGCCTTAAGCTCAGTTGAGCGTTCAGATACAACACGGATGAGCGGGCCCGTAATCTGTGTCACGAACGGTCGCAAACCATCTGCGCTGGTGCGGTCGATCAGATCTGAGAGCGCAAGGGCTGCTTGTGTTCTCTGCTCGGCCGAACCATTCATAAGACCCTGCAGGAATATGGGAAGAATGGCATTGATACCCTTGGGCAGAGAAAACCCAGGCAGCGCATGGCCAGCGACGCCAACTTGATTGAGGGTCTGCCGTGTTGATACCACGAGCGACTCCATCTCTTCCTTCTTCAGTTTCTGCATCAGAGCACTGAGCGCCGTCCATGCGGCCTTAACGACTTCCGCATCGCTGTCATCAAATGCAATGAGGAGTGCGCGGATGAGATCAGGGTAGTAGCGAGAGAAGTCGATGTCCGTCTGCTCAAAGAACTTCGCCAAGTGTAGATCTGCTGCGGCGCGTCTGCGATGGTCATCGTGCTTGGCCAAAGCAAGCATTGCGCTCATGATGGTATTGAGGCCGTCATACTCATCGACAGAGAGTAAGATGGTATCGAATGATGCTCCTAGGTCTGCCTTGAGGGTCTCGTCCTTGGAAGATATGATGTTGTCCATCAGTGCGTTCAAGATGTTCGGTATTCTTCTGGTCATTGAAGAGCTGGCTACCTCGGCGAGAGAAGCAATGGCCTTCGCATTGAATGCTGAGATTGGCGAAGTTATGAGCGTAGGCAGCAAGTTGGGCAGGATGATGTTCGATCTTGTCGCATCCGTGAGTAGCGTTAGCAGGGCAGAAAGAGCATTGTCTTTCTCCTCTTCAGAGCGGAGCAAGGTGAGCAGATGAGGCAAGACCTGATCAACAGCACGCTTGCCGAGAACCTTTTGCAACGAATCAAACGCCTCAGCAGCAGCCCCTCTGACGTCCTCATTTGGATCCACCAGAGCAGTACGAACAACTGAGATGAGCGTCTTCTCGTAATCTTCAAGCGAATCTGGTGCGGCGGAGGTGATCAGCTCACGCAGAGCAATACAGATACCTTGTCGGGCATCTGTATCTGTCGAGGTCTGCAGGCCCTCTTCCAAAGTGGGCAGAAGTGTTGCCAGCACGCCTTCTCCGGCTTTCCTAATAAGTTCACCGAGAGCATTGCCGGCAATGACCTTCTGCTCCATATTCGAACTAGCCAACCTGCGGATGAGCAGTTGCGTGAGAGTTGGAACGAGTTCACGCAGCGTACGCGGCGACGAAACGAGGGCTTTCCAGACGTTCATGGCCGATGTTCGCACAAGACCAGAGGTATCGCAGCGACAGATGTAAAGCGCAGAGAGTACGCGATTGCGCTTCTCTTCGCCCAGTACCTCCAGCAGAGACGCACCAGCCTCGTTGGCATTCTCTTCCATATCCTCTGCTTCTGCCTTGCCACTGATACCAGTGAGATTGAAGAGAAGGTCTCCAACAAGCTCGACGGAGCTGAGACGGATACGGTAGCTGTCGTCAGCCAAGCCACGTTCGAGCTCAGGTAGTAGCAGCTCAACGGAACGAGACGCAAAGTTCTTGACGAGGAGCCGACCAGCTCTAAGAGCAGTCTCACGGATCGACTCAACATCATCCGCGAGCCCGGCCAGGATAGGTGGAATGATCCGGGACAGGTAGTTGGCGAAGCTGTTTCCGAAGCAAGCGGGCAAGAAGATAAACAAGGACATGAAGCCTTCGCGGACAGTGGACTTCGAGCTCGATACGTTCTGTAAGATGGTGGGAAGCGTCTCTTCCAGACGACCTGTACCCAGACCAGCCAGCACTTCTGAAAGAGCCTGGGCAGAACCAAGACGGTCGCCAGCTCCTGTGTCTGATTTGAGTGTGGACATCAAGCTTGGGATCAAATCTGGCAAAGCATCTTCGCCGAGCTTCTCGATCGTTGAGCCTAAGGCCTTCGAAGCAGTGGCTCGAGTTGTAGGCACAGGATCGACGACGGCCACGCGAAGACCAGCAACCAGGATCGGAAGATGAGATGTAAGGTCGCGTTTCTCTGTAAGGTGTGCAAGACTGCCAATGATCTGTGCAGCCTTCCGCTTGGTTGCTGATCGGTCTCCAAGGCCACGCTCCAGGATTCGGACTACCAATGCCAGCGATGGGGCATCGAGGTAATGAATGAAATTGACCTTGATGAGCGCGTCCAGTGCTTCGTCGGTATATTTGGTAGGGTCACTGAGAGCTTTCAGGAGGATGTTGACTTGGCTCTTGACTTCTGGATTGCTGATGACCTCTCCGAAACGCTGCAAGCTGCGGTTGGCAGAGGCTCGAACTTCCTTGTGGCTGTCGTTGAGCACTTCCGTGAGCGGCGGAATGATGTCGGGCAGGCTGACTGCTAGCTGTTGCGGGTCGAGGTACGCCATGGCGCCTAGAGAGTCACAAGCACCCTTCTTGCTTCGCCATGCTTGATCGTCCAGCCCTTGTAGCAATTGCGGTAATACCTGCTTGACACCAAACGAGCTCAGGGATGAGAAGCACGTCTTCGCGGCGTCTAAGCAGGCCTCTCGCACATCCGCGCTGTTGTCGCTGAACCCGCCCAGCAATTGTGGTACAATCTGAATCACATAGGGTTCGAACACGCGGCCTAAGAGAAGTGACAGGAGCTCGTAGGCGAGAAAAGCACCTTGACGTTCGTTCGAATCTTTCTTGTTCTCAGTAGCACTCCTGAGAGTTGACAACAGTCGTGTCTCCTTCATAATAGCGATGCCGCGACCTTTGACGATGCCAGCCACGCCATACGCAGCACCCCTTCTGGCGGCATACTTCTTGGCATGGAGTGTTTCCTCGATTGTCTGCTGAAGATACTGGGTGGCCTGTCCACTGGAGGCTCGGACCAGCGGCGGTAGGCATTGAGCAACCGCGTATTGAACCGATTCCGACGGAGTGCTAAGTGTTGAAAGTAGTCTGTTGACGACTTTGGGAATGCGTTCATCTCCCTGTGGCAAGTGTCTAGCAAGAGCACCATACAAGATAACAACGGCTTCGTTGACAAGATCTTGTTCCTGATTGCTGCTTGATCGGGCCAGCGTGTCTTCGCAAAGCGTCATGAGGGCTTCCACCTGGTCTTTGCCGCGATCCGACACTATTGCAGTTGCGGCATCGACCATGCTGTCTCTCACAGCGGTGCTCTTGTCACTCAACGGACCCTTCTCGATCATGAAGTTCAAGAATGGTAGCAGCTGTTCTGTCGGGAATATCGGTGACAGCTCTCTGAAAGCAAGCGCGTACCCGTGTCTAGCTTCCCAAGGATCTGACATGTCTTTCTTAACAGGCATGCCGTATCTATCCAGCTCGGGCTTTTTCGGTTTGGCAGCTTGGACATAGGCATCTTGGAGCTTGCTGAGGACGTCTGCAAACGACGTAGCGCGGTCCCTAATCGCCGCGGCAACAGCTCGTGCGGCTGCTCTTCGAAGTTGAGAGTCTTTTGACTCTAGATATGGCAGGCATCGAACTGCTGCGCCCTCCACGACCTTCAGTTCGTTCTCTTCCCAAATTTCGTGCGCAATGCTCGCGTTCTCTGCGTCGTCATCGTGGCAAGCTAGCCAGATCTCCTCGTAGAATTCACGGTCTGTCAATTCCAACTCAGAGCTAATTGCTTGTAGAACCGCACTTCGGACAGAACTGTCGGACACAATCGCGCCCTTCACGATTGTGTCTGTTTCTGACTCGTTCATGTTGGGTGCTATGTAGCGGCAGAGGTCGGCAAAGCAATCCTTCAGAGGCTTGAAGTGTTGCGTGTACTTCAGCATGGATGCAATCAACGTGTTTGAAAGCTTCTCTCGAGGAAGGCGTGTATCCTCGCAAGCTCCGGTGTGGAAGGACAAGAACTCAATGGCGAGAATCACTTGTTCGTCTGCTTCCTCGCCAGCTGTGCGCTCGATGCCTCCGTTTTCAAGAACCAAGAATATTAACGCAAGAATGTAGCTCAATGTCACTGTCTCGAAGGGCCGCTGCTCTCCCAAAAAGCGGAGTCTGTAAAGCAACCGCGTGACTAGATCCCCAAGAGGTTCTGCGAGGAGATTCTCTGGCAGCATAGTGACGCCCGCTGCTCTCAATGTGGCCACACCTACAAATGGTCGCAAAGGTCCAAGACGCGCCGATGTCTTCTCCGAACATTGGAGATATCCAAGAGATGCGGCATTTCCGAGCACTAGAGCCGCACCAGCTTGGATTACCTCGAACAGCAACTTCACGGATTCGCCAAACCAGTCTTCCGCCTCAGTCGGTGGGCCGGTAGCGAGTGCAGTGATGATTCCGATCCCGCGCCGAAGTCTAGCATCTACCTCTGCAACATGATTGCGGATCTCAGACTCTTTTCTCAGCTGAGCATTGACTTTGGCTTGTTCATCTGCTGTGAGCTTCTTAGTTTGGCCTTTCTTTTGGGCAATCTGAGCCCTGAGTTCTTCTTCCCATTTGAGAGTGTCGTAATCCTTGTCTCCCTTGCTGATCTGTCGGGTGGGTGCCTGTTTCGAGAGCACATCCACAAAAGCAGTACCTTCTGGTGTTCGATAGATGGCCGCTTCAGTAGGCCCAATATCGTCCAGCTGTCGAGGATCGAGGTCGAGAGAAATCTGGGCAACCACGAGCGGTGTCATCACTCGGGGAGCCACGAACGCGAGATCTGCTGCAGCACCGCACGCTGCAGATTGGAACGCTTGCAGAGGCTTCCAGACAGGGTTCTCGGTGACCTCCAGTATCCGGACAAGGCAGTCTCTGGAGTGTTTCTCAGCCAGACCACCAGGGTCTGTTCCAGTACGTAGACAAAGCTCGATCCACGGCACATTTGGGACCAACTGCGGCCGACATAGAACCACAAGGGCTCTCAGCTGCGTTTCCAGAACATCCTTATCCTGGGCGGCTCCTAATCTGGCAGCAGTCTCAGAGTCCATGCAGACCGAGCGTACGACTTTGAATAACTCATTGCGCCCAGTCTTGGATGCGATCGCCGCACTATCTTTGTTTTCTAGCTCTATGTCTTCGCACCATTGCCAAAGCCCATTGGCAACGACCTGGGCAGTGAGCGTCTGGCTGGCAACGTAAAGATCCTGTAGAGCCCGCGCTGCTTCTTTACGCACTTTAGGCGGGAGATTTGTCGATGCGATCAAATAGATGATCGCTTGTGCCCAGCTTATTGCTTCGGGTTCTCGGCCATCTCTGCTGTTGAGCTTGGGACACACGGAGATACAAGTTCGCAAAAGCCACCTTAGATCGTCTTCTGCCGTGAGCTTGGTATACACTCGTGGATTCAGCAGGAATGAAGGCTTTGGTTCAAGCGTCAAGACCTTCTCCGCAACGCTCGCCTTCTTGACAATGGACGCATTCTTCAGAGATGGCATGCTTGGTGCCTTTGCCAAACAGAGTGCCGAAGCAGCGAAGGCCACCGAAACCTGGCCGTTCTGTACGGCAGGCAACGGGTTAGAGTTGACCTCACTGAACACATCAATGAGTCTACCGACGCAAGAATCGAACAAAGTAGCAGTGGCCTCGTTGCTGAGAGTGTCTTGATCGACGGACCAGATGCATTCCGCAAGCTGCAAAGCCCAGAGACGGCGCATCGGAAGGCGCTTCTCTGCCAGCCCTTTATTGAATGCATCAATTGTCGCCGTCTCAGGCTTCATGCCGTTGGTAAGAGCGAAGCGAGTGTACGAGCCTATGCAGCTTATTTCTGCCGATGCAGCGGGTTCGTTGGTTTCCTTGGTCGCGACTGTGACAAGTCCTTGTGGCACCTTTGATGCGAGCGCTTGGCTTGGCTGCAGTGCGGTTAGCATGTCGGCATGAACTACGCGTTGTTCTGCAGAAGTAACTTTGTTTGTCTTCAAAGGCGTCAGGATTTCATCTGCCGCTTTCAAGACCAACTTTTCGTCATGTGCTCGCCGTGCCAATGCCCTGAACGTTCGCAAAGCACCTTCGCGGATCGCTGTGTTCGTAGACTTGATGTTGGCGAGAAGCGGCTTCAGCAAGTTCGATGCTAGGGGATCAGACAAGTCTAACTCCGCAGGCAATGCAATGATCACGGGAGCCACAAGATCATTCAAGACAACCTCTGGGGCTCTCAAGAGAGACTTTTCCACAGCAGGTACGATCTCCTTCTTGAGATCCTCTGCAGTGACGTATGAAGCGAAGAAATCGTGAAGTGCAGTTCCCACGTAGGCAGGTTGCTGTGTTTTGGAGCCCAACATCTCGCGCAGGTAGAACGCGAAGTATTCCGACTTTTTTAATTCCACAACCGTTTCCTTGCCAGGCACTCTTCGACAGACACCCGCAATAATTCCAAGCGGAAGGGCATTCTTCGGTGTAGGCGTGGGTCCCTTTGCTGCAAGAGCTGCAATGCACTCGGTGATCGCTTCTGGGCCAAACGGTGCCTTCAAGACCGCGCGAAACGCCCTGCGGCTGACTCTGAAAGCCGTCGCGAAAGTGCTCTCCTTTGGCTGCGATGCCAGCAAGATGTTGAGCGCATTGGTCAAAGGCTGAACTGCAGTCTTGCCCCAGATATGCCATGAATCCTTCTCTTTTGCGGACGCTTGTATCAACAGCGAGCACCATCGCACCAGCACAAAGGCATTTGCGGGAGCGATGGCTCCCTTGGTCGACTCTTTCTGGAGATCCTTAACAAATCCTGCCAATATGGTCGACGCCTCCGGCGCGTTTGCAATACCGGACAGACATGTTTCCACGGCCTGGCGAGATCGGGTATCGACGTAGAGAGGGAGCGTATCGAAGAGAGCGTGCAAGAGAGCAGGGAGCTGGGACAAGGGGATTTCTATGCTCGCGTCAGAACCATGGGAAAGATAGAGCAGACAGAGAGCCTAACACCTACCTCGACTCACGAGCTTGTGGTGGAGTGTATGGAGCTCAGCAGTCCGTCGCTTGGTCGAATTGGACAGCAGCACCTGGCGCATATCCCAGATATCGAGGCCGCCGTCTCCATTAACCTCCTGTTCCGCCATGTTGCGCTCGTGTGTTTACTGTCCCATGAGTCGGTCGGGAATACGCAGTCTTAGAGGTTTCCAGCTGCTTCGAAATCCATCCGCACCAAATCTGCTGCGGCGAGCGATTGTGGTGATCCAGCACGGGCCGAGAAGCGCAGATTCCGTGATATTCACCAGCAAATGGGCCAGATGCGGCGGTGTCTGCTTTTGGTTCGGAAAGTGTTGTACAGCACGGGATTTTGCGCGAGTTGCAGTCTTGGCGGACAATCCTCGGACTTATCGGTCGAGACGTCACATCCCAGGCGCTTGATGCTTGCTCCCAAATTTATGCAAACGATCAACAACCACTTCACTTTCCCACACCTTCGCATCATCTACGCGTCAAAATGGCGGGCGGAAACAAGAAGAAGAAGACCAAGCCCGCCGCAAATCCCGCGAGAGGCTTCGCCACGACATCTGTCGCCTCGAAACCGAAGCCTGAGAATGCGTCAGAAGCAAACGGCAGTAAGAATACATCTGGTCTCGCTACTCCAGCAGACAAAGCCACAACGCCAGGATCGGCACCTTTCGACCATACAGCGCTGAACAATAGCACTCCTTCCAAGTCTGAGAAGGAGCTTCATGAACTCAGCCCCGAGGAAATGGAAGCGCAACTTGAGGCTTCAGAGCTTCAACAATTCGTTGAACGGTTTGGGCCAAAAGCCAAAAAGGAAGCCGTTCGTCAGGTCACTCGGCTACTCACAGACAAGCGTCTGCTTCGAGGGCAGTCTGACTTCCTCTCGGTGAAAGACTGGTTGCCAGACGAGCTCATGCAGCAAATACTCGACCTGACGCATGCCGATCGACGCCATGAGTCGAGTAGCGTTACGAAGAACAAGCTACCAATCGGAGACGATCTCGTCGCAAAGGTATGGCAGCTGCGGCAGTGTCTCATTGATCTTGCAATTCCTATGTCGCGAGTAGAAGATGTCCTGGCCTGGATCGTGGCGAACCCACCGTCAGATTCTTCGGGTCCCATGTGGGGTCTCGATGAATGTTTCGAATGGCTTGCACTTCATTGTGAAGATGGAGAGCTGGACGAGTACGACTACGTTAAGCCAAAGACGTCTGCTGCAATTGCCGAGGAGTCAGAAGACGATGTCGATGAGCCGAAGCCCGACTGCAAAGCAATGGACCTGATTGTTAAGCCAAAGGATGCCAAGATGCAATCTGGAACGTTTGAAGCAGACGAAATTCAAGTCAGCGATGTTGAGAGTGATCTCGAGCCAGACGAGCTTGTATCGGTGTACTTGCGGACTAGGACGCGACTGTTTGAGCTAAATCCAGACACGGAAGGTGGTCAAACTGGCAGAGGCAAGTCAAAAGGCTCGAAGCAAATTGTCAGCTCGGCTCCCAAGAGGGCTGGCGAGCGCAAGCTGGAACAGAAGATACAGAGGATAGAGTCCGATGTGCTGTTCGATAAGCGCGGCGCTGAAGCCCAGTGGGCGGGCATGAAGACACAACTCTCACGTGATGCCGCAGAAAGGCGAAAGCTGCAACTGCATATCGAAAATACTCCCAAGGCCAACGGCTCTTCGTCACCGAAGCCTGAAGAAGGGGCAGTCAACGATGAAGCGGAAAAACTCGGACAGGAAATCCTCGCGGAAGCGGACGACGAGGGTGACATGCTCAGCGGCATGTTCGATGCTCTACCCGGTGTCTCAGGAGAAAGTGTTGCGAGCAATGGTGGCTCAGCAGAGAACGTCTCGATCAGAGACTTTGGCAAACTGACCGGCATGAATCCAAAACGCGTGCTCGAGGAAGCCTGCAAGGCTCGAGATGCACGCTCAAAGCTGGTATACAAAATGGTTTCTCCTACCACATACTCCAGTCGCCACTCAGTCACTATTCAGTGGTCCAAGGAACAGGAGCCATTCGAAGCAAGCTATATGCCCAACGTCAACGTCGCTCAAAAGCCTTCAGTCGTTACGATGACTATGGCACAAGTTGCCACGCCAGACATAGGCCAGAGTGAAGCGTATATTGCCACAGCTGCGCTTTTTCTCATATTCTCGGGTTCTCCAAAGGAAGAAAAGGCGCACCTGCGACTACCGCCTGCCTTTCGAAATCTTTGGGACGAATTTGCGAAGGCAAAAGAAGAATACATCCTAGCAGCAGACGGTGCTATCGTAAAAGAAGTCCGGGAATTGGTGGAGAGGAATCGTCCACTGGATGAGGATAGCGATGATGAAGTCGTATTCAACGCCAACAGTCGGCGACAACGCCTGGACGGCGCGAGTGGGGCTAACACCCCAACCACGCGGACTGGTACGCCCAGATTGAATGCTCCGGAAGTCTCTGAAGAGCTGCAACAACTATGGCAACGCAAAGTCAACAATCCGGCCTACCAGCGTATGCTCGTTGGCCGAATGAACCTACCCATGTTCCAATTCAAAGCTTCTGCATTGGACACTGTTCAACGCAACCAGGTAACTATCTTGTGCGGCGAGACAGGCTGCGGTAAATCTACTCAGCTACCAGCATTTATCTTGGAACACGAGTTGTCGCAAGGAAGGCAATGTAAAATCTACTGTACAGAGCCTCGGCGTATCTCGGCCATCTCACTCGCTCAACGAGTGAGCGAGGAAATGGGAGAGAATAAGGGCGACGTTGGTACTGCTCGCTCCCTCATAGGATACGCAATTCGTCTGGAATCGCAAACAACTGCACAGACCCGTCTTGTCTACGCTACTGTTGGCATTGTACTTCGCATGCTGGAGAACTCGGATGGTCTGAACGACATCACCCATCTAGTCATTGACGAAGTGCACGAACGATCCATTGATACGGACTTCTTACTCATCGTACTACAGTCTCTGATGACGAAGCGTCCAGACCTGAAGGTGGTACTCATGAGTGCTACTGTGGATGCACAGAAATTTTCTCAGTACCTCGGCGGCGCACCAATCATCAATGTTCCCGGAAGAACTTTTCCCGTAGAGGCCAAGTTTCTGGAGGATGCAATTGAGCTGACTGGCCACACCAACGAAGACGCAGAGCAGAACGCCGTTGGCGAAGACAGTGCAGAGGACGATACCGAGGGAAAGACAGCTGGTGAGCAGCAGCAATTGCAAGGCTACAGCAAGCGTACTCAGAACACACTTGCCAAGTACGATGAGTATCGCATCGACTACAGCTTGATTGTGAAGCTGCTCGAGAAGATAGCAACGCACGCTCAGTACCAAGACTACAGCAAAGCCATCTTGGTCTTCTTGCCAGGTATAGCTGAGATTCGTCAACTTAACGACATGATCGGCGGACACCCTAAATTTCAGAAAGCATGGCAGCTTCATCCACTGCATTCCTCATTCTCGAGCGAAGATCAGCAAGCAGCGTTTGAGGTGCCGCCTCCGGGCATCCGCAAGATCGTTTTAGCTACCAACATCGCAGAGACGGGCATTACGATCCCAGACGTGACTTGCGTCATCGACACTGGTAAGCATAAGGAGATGCGCTTTGACGAGCGAAGACAGATGTCTCGCCTCATTCAGAGCTTCGTCGCTCGAGCAAATGCCAAGCAACGTCGAGGGCGTGCAGGCCGTGTGCAGCAGGGAATATGCTTTCACCTTTTCACGAAGCACCGCCACGATCATCTCATGGTTGAGCAGCAGACTCCGGAGATGCTTCGCTTGTCGCTCCAAGACTTGGTGATGAGAGTCAAGATCTGCAAGTTGGGTGATATCGAAACAGCTCTGGCCCAGGCGCTGGATCCTCCATCGAGCAGGAATATTCGAAGGGCTATCGACGCTTTAGTAGAGGTTGGTGCACTCACAGAACGTGAGGAGCTCACGCCGCTTGGAACACAACTTGCGAAGCTCCCTCTAGATGCACAGCTTGGAAAGCTCATCTTGCTGGGTAGTAGCTTCGGCTGCCTCGACTTTGCCTTGACTGCAGCTGCTACACTCTCCTCGAAGACGCCCTTCCTTAACCCAATGCACGCCAAGAAACAGGCCGATACTGTCCGGCTGGGCTTCAAGCGAGGCGACTCCGACTTGCTCACCGTCTTCAACGCCTATTGTACTTGGCGCAAGGTCTGCACAACCCCGGGACTTTCGGAATATCAATTCTGCAACAAGAACTTCCTTAGCCCGCAGAACCTTGGGAACATCGAAGACCTCAAAGCACAGTTGCTCACGAGTCTGAATGACGCGGGCTTCGTCCAGCTGGGCCCCGAAGAGAAGTCTGCTCTTTCGAAGATGCGCTACAACCAACGACATCGAAACTTCGTCGCTTTGCCGGCTCAGTACACTCGCTCAGATGACAATGACACCGTGTCTGATTCCGTAATTGCGTGGTCTTTCTATCCCAAGATCATCAAACGAGACGGCAAAGGCTGGCGCAACATCGCAAACAATCAGTCTCTTGGTCTGCACCCGACATCAGTCAATAAGACATCGCTCAACCCTGACATCAAATACCTCAGCTTCTACAGCATCATGCAATCCTCCTCGCGATTCACTAACGCCCAGGAGACGTCGCCGGTCTTCGAGATACCACTCTTGCTCATGTCCGGAGAGGTCGTTTTCCATATGTATGCGGGCGTTATTGTCCTCGACGGGAATCGACTGAGACTGAAGGTGAGAGATTGGAGAACGATGATTGTTATCAAGACATTGAGGACGAAGGTGAGGGAAGTTATGGGCAAGTTGTTTAAGAATCCGGGACGAGATTTGGGAGATCGACCTAAGAGGTGGATGGATGTGCTGGAGAAGATTTTCGCGAGACAGAGGGTCTTGCATCCGCCGCCACCGCTGCAAGTGAGATGATGGAATAGAAGCATAGACTTGTAGACGTAGATGAGCTCAGACATGTACAACTTAGCGTTGAGCTGGACCCATGAGTGTTTGAATGGATACATTGAAAATACTCTGACGCTCGAATTCCCCACTTAGCTGCGAGTAATAGCAGGAAAAGATATTCACTCTCATTTGTAGACTCATTTCACGTGCTCGTGCTGAATCGCTCGGGCGAGCACAGACCACATTTCGGCTATTAGCCATAAACGTTAACGAGGAGTCGAGAACGTCACCCTTACGACCTCACATGCAACTTCTAACCTAACCAATCACTAGAGTAATTTGCCATCAGACGTTGATTACAGAAGGCAAAAGAACCTCAAACAATATATCCAAGATGCCTCTCGCCACCCTTCACCTCGTAGCCCTTTCCCCCGGTCGAACGGTATCAACCTTCCTCCGAGCTCTCAAATCCGCCTCAGTAAAACCATTAATAGCCTCCAAAGTCGTCCGCTGGATCATCAAACCGGAAAAGCTCTCCACGCACCTCACGAATGAAACCTGGGACATCTTGATCATCGTCCCAGCTGCGACCAAAATCCCAGATGCCTACACCGGCAAGGATTGGATGCATCGACACTGGAGCATCACAGCCGGAGTCCCCAGAAGCGTTCTCGACGATTTTGACAAGAAGAATGCCAAATTGCTGCATCCCAGTGCAGGAGATGTCCCTTCTCTGACCGGAGCGATGCAAAAGCCTAGGATGGCGGGTTCCACGCAAGGATTGGAGCTGAACGATGAATTGCTTGGTTGGAGTAAGGGTTTCAAACTGGGACAGGAGGGTGCTGTTTCCATGTTGAATTTGTTGGCTTTCCACAGTTCAAAATCAGCTCATGATTCCTATCTCCGCTACGGGAAAGCTTTCAGCGAGTCTATTGGTAGCAAGCGCGGCGGGGTGGCGAAGGTGGTAGGAAAGGTGGTACCGGATCAAGGGACGAGCGATGAAGACAAGAATGGATGGGATGAGGTTGCCTTGGCGCATTACCCGAGTATCAGACATTTTGTGGATATGCTTGCCAGTGAGGATTATCAGGAGGTTAATCATCGGGACCGATTGCCGGCGCTGAAAGATACCTGCATCCTTTGCACGACGGAGTTGGATCCTGAGGTGCTTGAGGATGGTAAATCAAAGCTCTGAGAGAATCGAGCAAATGTGGAATAAGCAGAAAGAAGATCGACAGCATGTACAAAGGACAGATACGCTGACTTGTCTCTATCGGAATGATTCTGTTTCATCTCATTTCAACCCAGGTCCTGCTGTAATTATGTTGCTCAAAATCCCTTCCCCAATCTCATCGTCTCTCCACCACTTCCATACCAGAGCGTCCCCTTTCTGTAATCAAGCCCCTTCCCCTCACCAACAATCCATGCTCCTCCCTCCTTGATCGTCCCTCGCTGTGGCCAATATTCCCTCTCCAACCAGGCATTGATTTCTTCCACCTTGTCAATCATAGTCTTGACCTTCCCATGATCGAGTTTCCCATCGGTCTCAAGGTCCGCTGTTTGTAAGAATCTTGCAATAGTCAAATGTGCGCTGGGGATCACATATCGACTCGCCACTTTCACGCCTGTCCTCTCCTGTACGAGGGAGAAGAGATCTCGCCTCAAGTGATGATAGGTATATTTGTCTTCCTCCTTCGCTCTCCCACCTTCGCCGTCCGCAGGTAGGAACGAAAGAGCGAACGCCTGTGCATCGAAGCTCAGACAAGGCTTCACCACTGGGGCGCGATGACTGAAAGTAAAATCTGCAATTTCCTGCGCGTGGGGTGATACCTTCTCCACTATGCCTTCGATCTCGGGAGCTGTGAGAGAATGCGTGATTTCTAGCGCCGTCATGTGGAGAGATTCGGGTTTCATGAGCCACAGGTGCGGTACGACATCTTGTAATTCCTTCTGAACCAGCTGTATGAGATTCTTGACAGCTTGCGTTGGCCGAGCCCAGAAGACAAGACAGTGCCGATGGTCTTTGAAACCCGGATACGCGATGGGATCTTCTAGCTTGGAAAGGATTTGGTCCGGTGTGACGCCTTGAAAGTCCGAGGATAAAAGCTTTTGTTTCTGCTGGGTGTTGCGATTCGTGCGGTGACTGGAGTAGCGTACTTGGATTCGAGACTAGTGTAGAGCTTCAGAGACTACCTTGTTTGATGCTAGAGCGTTTAAGGACCTTACTGGGTCATTATTGCATGATTCGATGAGGTCGTGGTATGGATTGTCGGTCTTGGCGGCGTCGGTTGATGACCCTGAATAGTCTTCGAAAGTATAGTAGGCGGCCATGTTGGCCCACTGACCGCTGAGATCGGCCTTTCGACAAGTAACAGCTTGTGTTACTAGTCAGCGAGGGCTATACTGTATCTCTTCCAACCCGTTGAGATGGCTTGCCGAAAAGGCCGACTTAGTGTCGTACTAATAGAGTGACTCTTGTGTTAAGGGGGTAGTGACAGGAAGAATTGCGAAAGGACTGGGACACTGGGTGACAAAAGTGAAACGTGATGAATAAATTGATGTGGAGTTGGCTTTGGCTCTTCAACGGTCCACTTCAGGAAACAGCGAGCCACGTGATGGAGAGCACCCATTACCTTCTAATGACATGCTGTCTCAGGACGTAAAGACATGCGCCGCAGCCGCACTACTCTTTCAAGACTGCTCATTGGGTTCTCGACTGCCGAAGCTGAAGTTCTGGAGGGGGATGATGTGGCGCGCGGCCGCGTTCTCCCAGAAGCAAAGAGTTAGGGAGATTGGGAGATTTTGGAGTCATTCATCTTTCTTCTCAAGGCATTTCAAAATGTACCGCCTCTGAGTACAGTCACTACGGCCATGACATTCGCGATGACGAGAAAACGCCCCAAAAAGAAGCACCCGCAGCAAAGAGACACGCCGTAACAACCCCATGATACCACTTCGTAGGCCGGCCTGGAGCATTTCCCTGCTTTTCCTGTGCGGTTCGCCCATCCTTGGCCTGACGCCGTATGCATGTCGCAGTCATAAGGTCTATTCGAACGACAACGAGGAGAGTTGATGTACCGTCTATTGGGCTTCTGGCTCGTCCTCGCCAGTAAGCGCCTGGCGCTTGGCCTGCACACGCTCCTGTCTCCGCTCGCGGGCGGCCTTGGTCTTCGCACGCTTGGCGTCCATCTCGGCCTTCAGTCTCTCCTCACGCTGCTTCTCGGCCTTGGCCTTGTGGATCTGTGGAGACAATGTCAATACACGCTTGCCGAGGTGCGAGTCACATGATGTCATGACTTGGGGAGGTGCTTGACTTACGTGCTCAACAAGGGCACGCTTGTGCTTGAAGGTGTTACCCTTGCTCAAGTGGTAGAGCTCGTGATAGAGGTGCTTGTCGATCTTGCCAGCGGCGCGGTACTTGACGAGCAGGCGGCGCAGGACACGCAGGCGACGCATCCACATAACCTGACTGTGAGCGCAGAATTTCAGCATTCCGCCATTCAAAGTATGTTGTCATCTTCCGAATTCTCCCTTGCTCCATTCACCAGATGTTTGTTCCCTATCCGTCCGCCTCTTCCAGCTGTTCATGGTGTCTCGGAGGAAACTTACGTCGGCATTCTGGCATCGGCGGTACCCTTCCTCTTACCGAAACCACGGTGACGTCCAATGCGGCGAGCAGCGGTCAACTCCCGGGCGCGGGCACGCGAGTGCATGGTGACGGGCTTCTTGATGATGAGGCCATCGGCGATGAGCTTGCGAATGGTCTGGCGGGAGTTGGCGTTGGAGATCTCGTTAACCTCGTTGGGGTCGAGCCAGATCTTGCGCTTGCCGCAGTCGGCGACGCTGGCGGCCAGGCGCTTTTGGGTACGGAGGTTGACCCTACAGGAGCCATCGTGTTAGCCATATGTGCCATCGTGCCTTCATGGGGTAGATATATCGGGTGCGTGCGATGAGGGGTTTGACGAAGTCGTCGGAGACTCCTCCAGCGGCGGTGCGATGGATTTGTCGGCGGAAATGCGATCAAAATATGGCGTACTTACATCTTGACGGCGTTGGACGATGGTCGTTGTCGTTGGGCGGATGTGAGCGGCGCTCTTGTTCGAAGAGTGTCGTCTTCAAAGCAATTCGTTTTGCAGTGCGCACCTCCGCTGCCAAGAACGCGCTAGTCTTCAAATGATTAGTGCATGTAGCCTGCACACGTGATCTGGAGAAAAGATTTTCCGGGCCGTCGACTTCATTTCCACGAGTCGTCAAAATCAATCCAAAATGTGTGGGGGAGGGTTTGTCTCGCATGTTTCGGTCGATGAAGAGGGCACAAGGGCCTCTCTGAGCGGGTGTCGGCAAAGATTCTCTAGCAGGAGTGAGACTGAAATTCATTGTTTGAAACTTTTTTGGTATCACTAAAACAAAGTACACATGATACGCCCGGGCGGTACCTGACCGTCACCTTCCCTGAGCTACGAGGTGAAGAGGAAACCACGTTGAAATCGATCCACGTCCCTTTTGCTCGACACACTGCTCTGCTCATCTGCCATGACGAGTCGCACTGTCTCTCTCTTGACCTGCTGCGCAGCTTGTGTTGGCCCAGCGCATGTGCAGATTGTCCACGAATAGCATTCGTGGCTTGTTGTCTGCAATGGCTCGGAACTGAAGGCCAGTCAATTTGGTGAAAGTCTCCGGAAATTGGATCTTTGTGAGCTTGCAGCTTGTACCTTGACAAAGTGGGAGGGTGTAGTTGTGCTGTTGCACAGGGCTTTCATCCTTGATGGCCGGATCCCAAGCATATCCAGTGGTCTCCAGTGTGCAGTCGTGTGAGGGACTGTCACAACCTACAGCGGCGTCCAGCGGATCGAAGAAGAAAGTCGAGTTGTCAGCATCGTACTCGGCGAACTCGCCGGGCTCGATGGTATTTGGCGTGTTTGTCGGAGTTCGAGCCTTGAATGGATCGGCAAATGCAGCCACGTTTGGAGGAGATGCGGGTTGGAATGGCTCGACAGGATTAGGAGCAAAGACATATCCCGTGCTGAAGAGCATGTGGTGATATGGACCGTGTAGATTGATGGGTGGGTAGCTCGTAATGTCGGGTCTAGTGGTATTGGTGTGGTTTGATTGCCGCCGGATACGTCTACCCCAGGTCGAGATGTCATCGAAAGTCATGGTGAAGTCGCCTTGCTCGCCACACGCTGTGGAGCTTGGCTGTGCAGTGGGAGAAGCAGGACTTGGCAAACTTGATGAAGTCTTGGATGAGGATCGCGAGTGTGCACCTTGGTCATCTCCAGTCGAAGGGCCCTTCGTTGTCACCGTGCTTGGTTCTGCCACGGAGATCGTCGAGGTCATTGTTATGCCGAGTTTCGAAACAGTCGAGACGGTGAGAGTCGCGTCAGATGCCTCGGCACTGCCGCGATTGGTAGATCCCGGCCCTGAGCTCAGTGTCGAAGGCTGTGCAGAGCTGCCTGGTGGCAGTGTCTTCTCGTAGAAAGTCGAGATAATCGAGACCAAGCTGCTGTTAACAAAGGAGAAGGGAGTGCTTCCAGATGGAACGCTCTCAATGGTGAAAGTAGTCCCGTGGCCAGCAACGAAGCTTGTCACAGTTAGGTCAGGAGAGATTGCAGAGACCTGAGACTCGGGCTGCGAGTAGGCTGGAGGAGGCATGCCGACGGCGTTAGACGACGAAAGTGCTGCTGCGGAGACGGTAGAGGTTGTCTGGGAGGCACCTCCGACTGAGATCTCTGTTGGCTGGACCAAAATCGTCTGTGTGATCGCGGTTGGCTGCACAGTAGAAGTGATGGGTTCAGACCCCGCTGCACCGCTCGCAGTGGTGACGAAGGCGGGTGCTGAGATTGTCTGCGTGACTGTCGCGCCGATTGTTGTCGTCAGAAAGCTTGTGATTGTGGACGTTGTCGCGTTGATTCCCTGGAAAAAGGTCTCTGAGAATGTCACAGTAGTCGGCTCGGGGCCAGCGCTCTGGGCATCGGCAGTGGAGTTCCAGCCACCGCTGTTGATCCCAGTAAACGAGGAACGAGGAGGAACAGCCAATAGAGACACCGTCAAGTAGCGTGTGCTTGTGAGAGTCGTAGTCACGTCCGGGGTCAGAAACCGGTAAAGGGTGGACGAGTAGGTTGGAACAGTGACTGTAGGAGTGACCGTCGTGAACTTTGTTATGGTTGAAGTCGATGTGACCGTGGTGTGCGATGTACTCGGAGGTGGCTCGATCTCCGTAGGTGTTGCTGCAGACGAAGGCAACGGAGCGATTGTTACAGTCGTGACGCCTGCGTACACAATCGAGACGCCGCTGCTGGGGCTAGGGCCAATCCAGCTCGTCGTACCGCTGGTAATGACGAATCCGAGAATGCTCTCCGACGCCGTGACGGTGACCGTATTGGTAATGGAGACTGTAGTAGTCGACATCGTAGTATACGCGGGAGATGAGCTGGTAGACGCAGTAACTGTCTCGGTCTCGGTGAATGGGACAAAGATCGTCGCAGTAGTGGTCGAAGGAACGCATTGCGCATCGGCTCTGGTTGCAAGGAGTAAGTAATCGAGCAATACTTTCAGGCTTCCTCCTGTAAATAGCAGGAGAATGATCAGGTGGATTGCTGTCGAAATTGCCGAGGCATGGAAGCGTAGACCGGTAAATGGAACCATCCGTCCGCGAGTAACAGGACGTGTCCAGGGCGCTGGTGCGCTGTCCAGTAGTACTGTCTGCGGCTGCTTTGTCGAGATGCCAGTGTTCATTCCTGTCGTGAATCCCACAGAACCTGCTGTTGAAGTGACCGAGTCTTGACGACTATGTTGCCTACTGCTCTTGCGCGAGGATTTCTTGCCCATTGTGATGGTGAGGTATTCTGCTCTGTGTGTGCGAGTGTGGTATGCTTGCTGTTGGATGCTGAACAAGGTGCTGTTGAAGGCGGTGATGGTGTTGTTGGAGTCCACATGCATTTTCAAGGCCAGAAGAGTAGAACACCGGAGCAGACAGCGAGTCAAGGGAAGTGCAGTGTGAAGATGATGAAGACGACTTACCCAGTTTGAAGATTGCCAACCTGCTTGGCGGTCGCGTTCCAGTTGCTGAAGGGAGTGGCATTGACCGCGGACAGCGCGGAGGCCGCAGCCGCGAGGGCGACGAGCGGCTTCATGCTGCCGGCGATGTCGAGAGGAAATAACGAGTGACTGAGGTGAGGGGGCGGTGGAGGAGGAAGAGGACGAAAAGAGCGTCGAAGATCGGTGGAGGGGATGAAAGAACGGATGTGGACGAAGTCGAGGTGAAGGAGATGTCGTCGAGATGAAGTCGAGAGAGTGGAAGTCGCGTGTCCTTCGTTTGACAAACGCGGCTTCCCCTCGTAGCACCTCGCCGCGCTAGTACTTTAGCTCATTCTTAGCGGCAACGTTGTGGTTCGTTCTTTCCCTATACGGCAGGAGCGACTACGACATGGGCAGATACAGCCTCCCCTACGAGCGCCTCAGCATATCTAGGTACGTGTCGAAGCTGTTTAAAACCTGAAGAGAACAATACTTGCCCACTCGAGCCCGTGCTCAAGGAGTGAGAAGTCGCTGGCACGTTGCCCTGACCACGCCAAGCGCACGTATGTGTCACAGCCATAAGAACACGAGCGGTACACAGATTTGCTCGCATATAGGTGGACCATGATCGCAAACGCAAGATTGAAGGAGCCCAGATCATGCAGTGTTCCGTTTCCGATCCTCTGCAACATCCATCCGCATGGCCTACAACGACTCGGAGGAGCTGGTTTACGAAGAGACTGGTGCCCCAACGCTGATCGGGATCGCATAGTTCGAGTGATAGCCAAGACACGAACGATACTTTTCTTTGATGCCACTCCAAGAAACAGATTGTTGCAAAGGCATCTTCTGAAGCGTTGAGGTTGGATCAAGGCCCCTTCACACTGTACGAAGCTGGACGGCCCGCAGCAGTGGAACCAAGTGATGATCTCAGGTGGGCGGTTTGACTGCTGCTTGCATGCACGAATGCTACAGAGAGCATATTGATCGCAATACCCCATGATGAGAACTCGCAGAATTCGTGGAAGAAGAATGTGGCCTGTCTCGAGGTTGTCTTGGGCAGTGAAATGTTTGCTGCGCATCCCAGCAACGGCTGCCGGCTGCCTTGTCTTCTGTCCCACGTCGTTTCCCAAGCTCTTTCTCTTATCGCGGATTCGCATGCATCGAGCGAGCCCAGATTCCTCTCTCTGATCCTGCTCCTGCCTTCGTGGAATTCGCATCCCACGTGCGGAGTCGGTATAGTGACGACGCCTAAGACATTCCGTCCGATGATGATGGATGTCATGTGCCGTTGATCGACCAGCAGCGGACCCTCACCGCTATTATCAAGACGCGAACCCCATCATCTTTCCTGGCTCTTTATCTTCCGTCATCCGGTTCTCAATGTCGTCCCGCGTCAGCTTCGGCAGTGCTGAGGTCAAGGTGTTGTAAGAAAGAACGGTTGCAAGCCGACTGTACCGCCAGCGCCCAAATCTCCGACTTCGTCCCGCCTTTCTGACCGATCTATAACCAGCACAGCTCCCATATTATCCTCGGTGCGATTTCCACTGACGGTCATTTTTGCCTGGATATCTGGCTGTTGTCTCGCTCCAACAACCACCTCTCGTGCGACACGAACGCCGTTCCTCACGCGAACTACCACGCGAACCTTCAGAAGCACAGGCCCCGCAAATCCCCCACCTAACCTGCATGCCGGGCAGATGCATGTGATATGATATCGGAGCCCACGCGATCACCTCTGATTTCGCCATGAGCACCTACAAGCACCAACCCTACTCACCCGTCAACGGTGCCCTCCGCCCTCCTCCACACCCGCACACACACACAACGCACTCACGACGCTCGACAGACACTGGCTCGAATACACCGACGCACGGCGCGAGAATGCAGCATGACCGGCAGAATGGCGCAATGCCAATGCCCGTGGGAACCCAGCGCCCCTACTCGGTGGTGCCTGGTGGAGGAAATGGTATGCCGCCTCACCGCATGGCAGTGAGTCCGCCCAAGAACAAGAGTGAGTATAAGGAGAATTTGCGTGTCTCCAGGGCTACGGCTAAGATAAGGAATCTGGCAGACACCCAACATGTTCCCTGCAAGTTCTTCCTCCAGGGCCAATGTCAAGCAGGCCAGATGTGCCCATTTTCGCACGACATCGAGTCTACTACGAGGCCGACGCCTTGTAAGTACTTTGCAAAAGGCAGCTGCAAATTTGGGAGGAAATGTGCGTTGCTGCACATCACACCAGACGGAACGGTGGTGAATCGCTCGTCGTATCCGCCGCCCCAGCAATACATGGGCGGAGCACCGCAGATGCCACCTCCTGGTGCATATGGGCAACCAGCACCTCCAGGTCTCTTATCGATGCAGGCTCAAGGTCTAGATCAGAGACACAATGGAGACGGCCACCCTCAAGATTTCGAGCACTACCAATATGGACCTCGAAGTGGCCAAGAGACACCGCAAATCGATATGACTTATACCTCCGCATCACCAAAATATGGATCACCGCAAAACGACCGCATTGCAACTTCGCCGCAACAGAAAGGTCTTTCCGTGCTGGATGCGCCTTTGCCAAATTCGTTCGACAGCAACGGCATATCCTTCGCCGCTAGGAATGGTCCATTTGCGGCCTCCGTACCCTCAAAATGGGATTACGACTCCCCACCCTCATCACTTCCTCGCAGGTCTCAGCTCGGCAACACAGCGCTTCGGGACCTCCACACGTCAGCCTTTGGTGACAGAGGCATGGACAATCTAATCGCAAACATGGGCTCTTCGCCGCCCAGCGGGACCGACGAGCCGATCTCGTTCGAAAAGCGACCATTGCATTCAGATCGTCTGCGAGGATCAAGACAGATCGTATCGGCCAGTCTGGGCACGCGACCCCCAGTCCGTGGATTTGAGTACTCCGACGATGACGAAGACGACGGCGATACCGATAGAGAAGAAGACTTGTTACCTTCTAGTCTGCACGATCTCATTCCAGACGGAAGATCGAGACGAGAGTCACGCCCACGCAACAACGAAGAGAACACACCCGCCTCCTTCCTCGCGGCTCAAAGACGTACCATCTCACATCACGGAACGCCATCGGACAGCAAAGTTGGCAGTCCGCATTCGTCAAGTCCTTCGCGATACACCAGCATGTTTTCAACGCGCAATGCTATGCGAGATGCGTGGCCAAGTCATGTTGGCTCTCCTCTCCGCGACTCTACATTTCCGACGTCACATCCGACAAGTGTGCCTCTGAATGGAGAATTAAGCCCAAGCATTAGTAGTCCCCCGCGGCAAGCAAGCATGAGCATGCTCACACAGGAGCTTCAGCGCACGAAACTCGACGCTGCCCGCTCTGCGTCTGGACCACAGGCACCAATACCGACGCGTACGCTCTCTAACGGGTCTGCCAGCCGAACAAGTATGGACAGAGCGTTGAGCAGCAACAGCGTGAGCCAGCGCATCGAAGAGGAACAGGAGCTGTTCGACATGGATTTCGATACGCACCCCAAGCCAGCCGGACTAAGCAGCCCATCTGAACAGTCCAACTTCGGACCTATTGGTGGCGGACGCACCCTAAAGTGAGGAGCCTGGTGCGATTATGGCTCAGTACATTATGCGCTGAGCAATGAGTGACAAGTGCGGAATTTTGGTCCTTTTTCGGCATTTTTACGACGTCTACGACACACATAAAACAAAATATGGTAATTTGAGTCAAAGCGATGGCGCCGGTTGGAAGCATTTTCAAACGTTCTTGGGGAAAGAGAGGCAATTATGCATCCAACATGTGTGGGTTGGAGCGTTTGATAGATTCTTTAGTACCACGCTGACTGCGGTGGTTGAGTTAGAAGTACGTCTATTTGGAGCAATAAATAGGTATCGCAAGGTGCAGAATCGCACTTCGCTTAACCAACGGACTCGCTCACATGTTTGCTTACGTACCGGTCGGTGAATGCTCGACGACCCATCAAGTTTCCATGATCATTTGATGGCTGCCTCATCGGTGATTGGGATGCCGATGTGCTGGCCAGCATGATTAAACGCTGATGTTTCATTGGCTCTTTCGTGGAGCTGTAGAGGTGGAGGTCGACGACTCTGGAGTAGGTGAGCGGGGACAATGTCATGCAGGATCGAAGACGCAATCCTGACCTATTTACGTTTCATCTTCCTCTATGATGCTTTCTTGATGAACAGCTGACCTGCCCGCCTGCAGTCCATCAAGCAGAAGCTTTCTTGGAGTGCATTTGGTTTATCTGATTGTTGTATTGGAAGGTTTCGACTTGAGAGCTGAAGAGCAAGAGCAAGAGCAAAGCAAGAGCACAACGACTACCAGACCGGATAGAACAGAGATTGGTGTAGCGGCTGGAACATGTCCAACGCAGAGGGAATTCGAGTACCTGGGACGAGTGAGGAGGAGCCTTTGCTAGGTGGAAGAGGGGATGCGAGTTTGCCGGAGGGGAAACCGCTTTACCATAACTTCGTTCTGGGTATGCTCCAAGTTCTGAAGGAATACACCAACTGGAAGAGAAGTTCTGATGAAGCGAGATATAGGTACTGGAGTCGTTGCCCAAGCAGGCGCATGGGTCATTGCAGCCATTGTCTGGGGAGCAGTCTTCAGCAGTGATCTGATGCTATTCTCTGCACATCCCGTAAGAGCACCCATCCAAGCCATCTACTGTCGATAGTCGTCTGCAACGATGCTAATGGATGCATGCAGCTCCTCAACTCCGCCGCCTTCCTCTTCCTCATCCAAGCCCTCCTTATCCTCCAACCCACCCACACCGCAAAGCAGAAAAAGCAGGGAACCTACGTCCACGCAGCCCTCAACGACGTCGCACTCCTCGCCGCCATCGCCGGCCTCATAGTCATCGAATACAACAAAATCGATCACAACGGAGCTCACTTCGAATCCACACACGCGATCCTCGGTCTCATTACCTATATCCTCATTTTTCTGCAAGCTTTCGTCGGGGTCACGCAATTCTTCACTCCTGGAATATATGGCGGTGTGGAAAATGCAAAGGCCTTTTATAAGTATCATCGACTTGGGGGATATATCACGACCGTGTTGATGATGGCTACAATTTGTGCTGCTACGCAGACGACTTTCAATGTTGGTGTGTTGGGAATTCAGCTCTGGGCTGTTATTGTTGCGTCTGTGGTTGTGCTTGTTGGACTGATTCCGAGGATCAGACTGAACAAGCTTGGATGGTTGGCTGGAAAGTAGGAGAGGAAGAGACGAGAATGTTGGAGACGGTGTACGAAGGAGAGATGAGCACGAAAGAATGGCCACAAAGCTGAGGGTAATCAGAACCAGAGTTGCAGGAGCTGCGGAGAGGTCACGATCTGAACGTTCTTGATAGCGTTCGCATGCGGCATGAGCTTGATTTCTAGTTGATTGCTTGAAGCACAGCCGCACCGTACCATTTCTCGGCGTCTTGGGGGAAAACAAGATATCATGAGTATCTGCAAGCGACGGGTGTAACGCAAGGACTTCACACATTCTTTTATATTTTATTAGCCAAGCCAGACATTATCAAATTCTGGTAGCAGTGCTGACAAGAAAACAGCGCATAGTCATCAACCATCAGCTCCTTCCTCTCCGCGAGCCGGACTTGGGACCTCGCATCTTTCGACACATCAGCAACTTCTTCTGGTATGAAGTCTCGACATCACTTGTCTTGTGATCGACGGGACCAACTGCTGACTCTAGCTGTTTTGCCTTGGAGCCGAGACCAAAGGGAGCCTGGATGTAGCAGAAACCAGACTGACTTGCTGAGGACCATAAGCACACGAGAGCTCAGAACAGGATTCTCGCGTTCGAGAAAGCAATCATGATGGTAAAGACGCACCTGTCTGGTAGAGGGGACTGGAGACTTGGTACCTTTTCCCAAAACCGCGATTGACACGCATAAGTACCCTGGAGCGCGGTGTCCGGACAACAGTCAGTCGAGACCATCAACCGCATCGTCGAAGTCATGAAGTAGGTCCGGACGTCTTCGTCGGTACAGCGACCCGAGCTGGTACACATTGTCACTTGGGCCGTCCTACGTCTCGCTATCGTCGATGTCGTGGACGACAACCACGAAAGAGCGGTGCACCATCTCAAAGCTTTGAGGCATTTGTACCCTGCACTGGAAGGATGGAAAGGCGGTCATTTCGTTTATCGGTTGCAGAGCAGTATCGTAAGATAAACCTACTGCGTCCCGAATGCCGTTCTCTTCGTCTAGAAGTAAGAACGCTCACTGAGCCATGATTGACAGCCTGCTGCTAGAGTTCCTCTCTTACGGTCAGGTTGCAAGGGATCTTGTCCTTTGGCTGCTTGTCGTCAAAGGCTCTACGTGCTTCTCACCTTTGACCTCTCACTATGCCGCTCTGCTGAGATCATTCTAGCAGGATGTGTGTCTCTGGTCTTATGACTTGCTGAGGAGCCATTTAGATCTCCAATTTCTCCGGCACGCGGGCCACCGGGTGAGAGGTTTGCGAAGGGCAAGACTATGCAGATGGTATTAGGGAAGAGCAAATACAGCAGCCTCACCTGGATTTGTGGCATACCAGGAGGGGAGCAGTTGCCGCAGGGGTTGAACGACTGGGGACAGATACCATTCACTTCGGTAAGTTAAGCTGTTCTTGGCTGCAAAGCATCGCCTCCGTTGTTGTACTTATCTCCCGATTTCCAAGATCAGTCTGCCTCCCCATTTCACTCAAGCCGTCCTTCTCGGTCCAATCAGCAGAAGACATCACACATCGCCAACTTGGCATCTGAATAATCTCCCGTTCTCTCCATGCGGTGGGTATGTAATGATATGCACAGTGTTGTTGCAATCCCCACGACGGATCTTCAGCGAAACTTAGGCGCATCACATCTCTCCGCCCAATGCCCAGAAGTCCTTCTCCTCCTGCTCAGTGAGACCCTTCAGTTTGAGCGTGCAGTCCTCGGAGAGCTGCAGAAGAGGCCTCAATAGGTGTGCAATCTTTGGGCGGGGCTTCAATGATGAGGAGGGACAAGGCAACACTTCGAGCTCGATCGTAACCCTCCTTACCCGCACATAGACCTTGCAGAACGTCTCGAGGAGCTTTTCAACCATTGTGCTTGTACTCCCAGCTGTCAACAAATTGTCCAGAGTCCTGATTTGGAGAGCAACAATGAAGTTTTGTGCACCATAAGCTCGCTTCAGCCCCCTTTCAAGGATGGGTTGGTAGTCCTCGGATTGGCAATAAAAGATATTGCCAGTATCGCCTGACAGCGCAGCGAAACCTTGATACCTACTGTGCCTAAATGGACTGAAGCGGGCCTTGAACATGAACACGCTTTCTGCCATCAGGATACCGTGAGCTTCGCGGTAGATCTCACGGTCAGTTCGCAGGATGGCGGTGGATGCGGTGCGTCCACGGGAGCCATCATGCGTGAGAAGGTGCTCGTAGATGAGATTTCGCATTTCGGGCGGAAGGTCCATGAAGCGGAATGTCGCGCTCAATTCGATACTTCGGAGTTTGTTGATGAAGGTGACCTTCGGGCGCGCCTTTCCACTCGCACTTTCGAGAGGCATCTGTTCCCCGGTCTTTGCTTTGATGAAATCGTGTAGCTCCTGAACAGAGCATTTGCCGTAGTCAAGCCCGTACCAGCGCCGCTTCATGTTGGACATCTGCTGTATATCAGCTACAATGGCTCTGCTAGGAGAGGGAGGCACTCGATTACTCACTGTTCACGATCCGAGTCTGGCGACAAGACTGGAGAGCGGTATTAAGATTCGGGTTTTTTGCTGTTCCAGACCTTCTCAGATGATGAGGTCTGGAGGTTGCGCTGAAGTTGTAATAAGCGAGCGTGACGCTGGGAAGTGGGTGGAAAGTGCGACCGAAATAAACTTCGCGCTAGGCATGTGTACCGAGCCAATTCACTGATCACATGCTTTAGCGTTATAGAGGCATTATCGAGGTGAAAAGCCTCCCAATCGTGGAGCATCTAAACGACGCTGACTTCTACTGCAATATATGAAGTCCGTCCTTTTCCAGAATCGCATGTTCTCCTAGTCTCCCCTCGACTCAACGCGTGCGTTCATCCGAAACAACGCACCAACCTCCCACTTGTTGCCTCAAGCGGCCCAATACGTCGCTTACCTTTAGCATGCTTTTTGTCGGCCCGAGTCGGTCTTAAAGGGATTATAACAGCCCGGAGCACACCCGCAGACTGCTAACATTATGGCAGAATTCAAGGATTCTTTTTGTTGTTCCTATGTTTTTGATCTTCGGTTGTGTGGTGCAGGTGCAGCGAGAAAGAAGAGGCTTAAGTACGACGTGCGCACGGACAGTCTTGTCACATGCACGATAACGCATAACACATTTGAAAGTAAACTCACCTTTAGTCCACACGCATAAGACATCTGTCCATATGGATTAATATCTCCAAAGTGGGTGGCCCACTTCCTTGCGATGGCGTTGCTTTCGACCTATTCTGCCATGTTGTCGACAGAATCCTTCTCTCAGTTTGTACAAGAGGCTTTCGAATTTGGATACCAGATGTCCATTGAGGCGAGCTCCGCGCAGAGTAATGATGTCGGGGGGTTTTTCCTCGTCCAAGCTCCATTCGAGCTCCTCAGACACGAGTAGATTTCGTTCTTCGACAAAATTCGAAACGTTCTTGAGCTCGTACGGCGCAGGCTTTTCCAAGGGCCTGTTCTCACCGGCATATCGACCCAAAGAGGGCGCACCAATTAGCAAGGGCTTATGGTCAAAACTTTCTGTCCAGGAGATGCAAAACACAAACGACATCGTAGATAGCATCACTGCCGGTGCGCATGTCCTATATGATGGATGAGATGGGCGGCAGTGTCTCGTCCACAGTGGCTCAACTTCATGCTCGTCAGGCATCGAGACAGAAACAGGCTCTGTAGGACGTCGCAGCCGCAGTCATCTCGATGCGTGTGAAATCATCTTTCCGGCTCGAGAAGCCATGCACGGCCTTTAATCGTGGTCAATCCGGACGTGGTCAATCCGGACGTGGTCAATCCGGACTTTGATGTCTTTGCCCTGTGTTGAGGAAGAGGCTTGCTCCGGACTAAGGAAGGAGCGTCGGCCAAAAGACGGCCCGGCGAGTCTTGCTCCCAGTATATATAGAAATGGTTGGAGACACCGAGTAAACGTTGGGCAAAGTAACCTCTTTACTTTTCATATCTATGGCCAGTGTACTCCCACAAGCGCTGAAGCCATCTGTGCAGTCGCGACGCCACGTTCTGCATAATCCAAGACACGCGCCTCCTTTTTGATGGTAGTCAGGCTCTGATTGCTATGCTTTGTCACCTTCGTTGACACTGAGCTTACTCATCGCCTCTTCTGTCGTCTTGCCCACGCTCGCCTCATGTGCTCCTGGTCCCTCCACATGTCCATCTGGCTTGGCCTCGACAGCGCCGTTTGCGCCCTTGTTGCCAGGGAAGCGCGTACCGAGATTCTTCTGCTTCTTCTCCTTCTTTGGTGGTGCAGGAGGTGGCGGGTAGGCCTTCTTTTCGATCTCCTGCCAGTCCTGACTGCTTGTGAACGCTTGTCGAATGGGCTGCAAGATTTCCAGGAGCGCATCTGTCACGGCCGGCTTGAGGTTCTGAGGTTGCAGGACATCTGAGAGGTAGTCGTCTTGCATCTGCTTGATGGTGGCGTACTCCAATGGCTCTGCATCCCGGCGTGGGACCACAAACCTGGGTGTGCCGTTGTTCTTGAGTGCAGAGGCGGGAAGAAGGACATACTCGACGAAACTGAGGACTCCATTGCCCTCGACGATCTTCGGAGGGCAGTAAGCCTTCTTCAGCTTCTTCTTGACAACATCCGGCTCGTCAATGAGGTCGATCTTCGAGTCAGGATCTGAGCTGCTCATTTTGCCGCCTTCTTGGAGACCAGGAATGAGGGGATTCATCAGATGCGCGCGCTTGTTGAAACCGATTCGAGGCAAGGCTTCGACGGCCAAGGTGAAGATCTTGCGCTGGTCCACGCCGCCGAACTGGGCATCCACGCCAAGGTACTCCTCGTCCAGGGCTTGCATGAGTGGGTAGATTTGGGATGAAAGCGGCGGGCTTTCAACCTGCTTGACGACTTCAGAGCCGGCCTTAGTGGCGTCGTGACCTGAGACAGATGTGCTGAGGCGGAGGAGGTCCATGAAGTACTTGGCACCGCTGTCTCCTGTCGTCTGGTAGGTGGAGCCGAGTACGAATTCTAATCGCGTAATATCCACGCCGACTGCTTTCAGTAGCTCTGTAATGCAGTACTTGTAGTACTTCGCTCTCTGGTCGACAAGCTCGATCGGCGCTTTCAGATTGTCGAGGAAGCCGTGGACATCTGCGAGGAGGACCTTGACATTGCATCCCGCGGCCAGGAACTCGGCAATCTTGAGCATTGGCACGAAGTAGCCGCAATGAGGCTTCCCAGTCGTCGCTGTGCCCCAGTAGATCCGCAGTGGGCGCTCATTCTTGTTGAGAACTTCTTCGATAATCTCCTTGTTCAGAACTTCCTGCAAATTGTTGGTCACGAGACCGAGCTTTTCGGCGGCAGTGAGGTTGGCGCCTGGTAAGCCATTGAAGTCTGCCATATTTGTTTCCTAGTCGAGCGGTTTTTCAGGCCGGGCGGAAAATCCAGAATTCTTTGTGTGCTGTTTGATTGAGTCACGAAGTTGATGTTTCAAAGTTGGTGCAAGACAAAGTGGGCGCTATGGTACGCCGTAGAGTGCACGGAGCGGGTTCGACTTTCCCTGCCGTCGATCCCGTCCAATGTGCAGCAGTGCAACCACAGTGCAACGATCTCGAAACGACTCCGGGGCTGACATGCACACGACTGCACTGCTCACTTTGCTTCCTCTTCCCGGTCTATATCTGCAGCGAAATGACAAGGCGCCCGACAATACACGATAATGGATAGTGCGAATCGCGAGCCGGCCGCTACCGTTGAGGCCAACAACAGCCCTCCCGTGCCTGTCCGGGATGAAGAAGCCATTGGGGAACAGCCTGAAAAGTATGAGAAGCACGCGCCAGCAGACACGGGAGCGTCTCCGCAGTCCACTGCCTCCGTATTCCAGACATTCACCGACAGAGCATTACATTTCCTATCACATGCCAGCAACGAAACGCTGGGAGCTTGCCTAGCTGGTCTGGGCGCAACAACATACTTGGTTCTTGGAAGAGTCGGTTTGGTGATCATTGGTGCCGCAGGTGGTGTGGTGCTGCACGCAACATGGGAGGGCATTCGTGGAGACACACGCGACGATGCCACGAAGCAGGCAGAGCAAGAGCGTAGACGAGAGACCGGTGTCGAGGTTGCAAAGCGCGTGCTGGACTGGAGGAAGTCAGCCAAGGCCAATGAACAGCAGGAGGATATCCGAGTGCATGCCAGTCAGGCATTGGACTATTCGTCTTTCGGACCGGAAACTGCGGCTGCACTGAACACCTTCACGGACGCCGTCATCAAGGACTATGTCCACTACTGGTACGATCCTGCGATTCCCAACGAGCCAAGCTTCCCGACCTCCTGCAGGCGGACATTCACAGCTTTCGTCCTGTCTCTCTCAAATCACCTCGGGCATAAACGACCCGCCGACACGTTCATGGACTTCCTCACCAATGCTAGCTCAATTCTGATTGTGTTCTTGCAGGATCTTGCCAAAGCCCTGAACGCATCGCCCAACCGCTCCGCGGAAGAAGCGGTCTCTGCATACCTGAAGATGAAGCCGGACTCAAGCCTGTCCTACATGCTTGACCAAGATGGCCAGAAACTGAAGCTGTCCGACATCGCCGAGGACATGCTGCAGTCCTACCTCGATCCCAAATCGTACAATTGTCCGCCTGTCCATATTTTTCTGAAAGAGGTCTTGGCACAGTTGGTGCTTGGATATACGGTCACAATGTGCTCAGACCCTACTTGGATTAATGAGTGGATTGTCTATGGTTTGGAAGAGTCTGAAACAACGAAGGAAGTCATGGATATCGTCGATGCCGGCGTCGAGGGTAGATCGGCCGCAGATCTACAGAAGCCGGCCGATCAGATTATACAAGGACAAAGCCCTGTGAAGAGCAAGAAAGAAGGAGCAGTCAATGGAACATCTTCTACCGCGGCCCATCGAAGGAAGATGAGCAAGGCGGAAGAAGCAATGGACGAAGCCATGCGAGAGGCTCGGAGATTGACAGAAATGATGATGGAGGATGACCGTCGCAGGACCCAGGATGATGACAAGAGGCAATCTACGTCAATCAACGGCGCCGAAGATAGCTCAGACGGAGCTACGCAAGGCGCTCCGACGCCGTCATCAAGTCAGAGTGGCCGAGAACGACAGGAAGAAGAGTCCACGACGTCGACCGAGAGTAGCAAGCCTACTGACGAGAGGCGAAGTTCTCAGTTTACAAGTTTCGCTCAATTGGTACCCAATGCAGCCCCGACTGCCTTGGCTGCAGAGAACAAAACTCCACCACGGCCGATACTTACACTGCATAACGCAAACATTTCAATTTTCGACGATAGCGGTCCTGGTGAGAAAGTCTCTATCAAAGCAAAGCCGACTACAGACTATTTGGTTCAGATTGAGCCGGCATCCCAGGCGTTCCCGGGATGGATGATCTCAAGGAAGTACGCGGATTTCGAGAATCTACACGAAGTGCTCAAACGTCTCTCCGCTATCACCGGAGTAAGTTTCAATGATGCACATGCTGAATTGCCGAAATGGCGAGTACACACCAAGGCCTCGCTACGAACAGAGCTAGAGCGATATTTGACCAATGCCGTGCGCTATCAGCCTCTTGCTGAGAGTGAGGGAATGAAGCGCTTCTTGGAGAAGGATCAAGGTCTGCAGAAATCACCGAGCGGAGCTGTCAAGGGTTTCGGCTGGCCGACACCTGACGCTTTCGGCAAGTTCGGAGGAGATATGATGAACGTGCTTACCAAAGCTCCTAAGCAGGTCGCAGGTGGCGTTGCAGGGGGAGGTAAAGCAGTTTTTGGTGGTGTGGCAGGCCTCGTAGGGGGCGGAAAGAAACCAAACACCTCACAGACGAACCTGAGCAGATCAACAACCAACGGTAGCCTTGCGGCAGGCACAACGACCCCGAGCTTCGACCCGCGGCCAAGCTTGAGCAGTGAGCATTCTTACATGACCGACCCCATGACCGGTAGCTTCATGGGCTCGGTGCCCTCGGCAAGAGAGAGTCAAGAGTCATTGCGAGCTCCTCCACAACCTCTGCAGGAGCAAAGACGTGGAAGTGCTGCGACTACTGGCAGCATGGAAGTCAAATCAAGACCAAGTGTATCCCCCAGCAGACCTGCGAGTATCATGAGCCAGAACGATTCGGCTTCGCTAGCAGGTTCTTCTGCACAGTTGCCTCCAAGAACGGCCTCACTTGACGAGACGATCAACCTGCCACCGCCACCATCAGAAATGCCAGCAGATTACGACTCGCCGAGTTCGCCGAGCCGTAAGAGCGTTGACACCTTCCACTCGGGGAGTCTCGACCCCAGATTGTCAAATGTGACAAGCTCAGACAGCGTACCTCCGGCAACGTCATCTCGGCCTCGGAGGCCGGATGCCCCTGTTCAGCGTCCGATTAGCGAGCAAGAGACCTCTCACGCTATTGAGCTGATATTTGCGGTCATATCAGAACTTTACACTCTCTCAGGTGCGTGGCAGATCCGTCGCACGCTTCTCACTGCAGCGAAGACTTTTCTTTTGCGCCCGGGTAACCCGCAAGTCAACACCATACGTGACCTTCTGCAGAAGTCTTTGTTGGACGAGAACCTCAGCGACTCTGGTCTCGCTCATCATATCTACAAGCTAAGGTACAACGCGCTGCCCACGCCCGAGGAAATGGAAGCTTGGAAACGGGACTACCCAGAGAAGACTCCAGAGCAGAAAGAGGAGCTCCGCATCAAAGCAAGAAAGCTTCTCGTCACCAAGGGCATGCCGCAAGCACTGACAAGCGTGATGGGTGCTGCGGCGAGTGGTGAAGCACTTGGCAAAGTATTTGATGGCCTACAAGTGCCAGAAGTCAGCCGTGGCCTGGTATTCGGACTCATGCTCCAAGCTTTGAGAGTGGTGACACAGTGAGCGGGATTACCGGCTTTGTTGCAGTGTGGCTACGGCGTTCGGGACAATGCCGAATAATCACAACAAAGGCAGCAATACTCGATCCTCAACCTTACTTTCCTTCTCACGGAATGCTGCTTCACTGGCCATTTGGGCATCGTGTCGCCCGCGGAAGCATGAGACGACAGTCATATATATCGCTGGGTAGGGTGATGAGGTGGACCGCTCGCAAGCTTAGGCCAGACCGAGGGTTGAATGACATCTCCCCTAAATTGCCACATGCCAGGGCAGCTAATTTACGTAATAAAAGTCTAATACCATTCATCCAACGGCCGTTGGCAACGATCTCCGACCGTCGGTCAGCTTTAGTAAGACAAAGACATGGACATGAAGTTCGCATCGAGACAGAAGCCTCTGGTACAAAGGATCGAAGGGTAGCGAACAAAGGAAGTGCAGCTCGGAGTCTTTTCCACGCCTCCAGTACGCTTTGTACTGTGAGATGAACAGCTATCATGCGCATGTCACCCAATAACCTCTCGAACAGCCGCCACCTTCTTCTTGCAATCGACCTAACGTTTCTTCCCGGGTTATCTCTGCTTCACGGTCCTTTCACCCGTTGACTTGAAGGACTGTGTCCTCCTCTACGATCCCTCTACGACAGAGGGTTACCAATCTCGACACAAGTCCTCTACGGTACAGTGGACGAAGCCGGTCTTCGTTCTCGCTCATATCGAGGAGCAAGAGAACATCGACAACGACTACAACAATAACCATGCCGCGTCAACTCAGCATCACCCCAACGCCCTTTAAATCCTCCTTCCTGTCTATTCCGCCATCACCATTCTCTCCTCGTTTGCCCATCACACCCGCAGTCACACTCGTCCAAGCCACTACCAAACCCCCCACAAACGCCATCCGCGCTGCGAATCTTAGAGCCGGCACGGATCTCGTTCCACCACCTCCTGAACCTCTTCGCTGGCTCTGGCAATGCCACAAGTGCAATCGTGTCTATCCACTCGGCGTGACGAGGAGATGTCTGGACGATGGCCATACTTTCTGTCCCGGCATGACGGTGGTGAAGAGGAGTAAGCGAAACGAAAACAAGAGGACGGTGAGACATGCGGCTTGCGCTAGTGAGTTTGATTACCAGGGATGGAAAGGGTGGGGAGTCTGGAGGAGAGGAGTTGTGGAACGGGTAGAGGCTGCCGAGGCATTGATGAGGGAGGGACAAGACGACGGTGATAGTAGCGAGGAAGAAGAAAAGAGTTGGTTTGGGAGTGCGTGGATAAGAAAGGAAAGCAAGGGGGATACGCATTTTTGGAACAAAGGTGAGAAGCCGGCGAAGTTGAAGAAGGATTGTTGGAATCGATGTGACTATCCGAGTGAGTGTCGATGGGGCAAGCAATTTGGGGTTCAGACTCTCGTCGTACCTGCTACGGTCGTGCCATCTACTCCGGCAGAGCAGCCAGAGGCAGAGCAGCCAACACCTCTCCCGGCCCCAACGACGGACAAGGAAAAGAAGCCAGCGACCACATTCGACGATATCCTCATCGACTTGTCTGATCCCACATCGCTGGACTACCTATCTCCTCTAAGTCCAAGTGATTCCCACGCTCCCGAAGCGCGACGCGTCACAGAAGGGGAGACGAAGATGACCTCACCCTACGACTTGGTCCAATCCGCCAAGCGTAGGAAGCGAAAGAGCTCAGGTGCGATGCCGCTCGTACCGTCTCCGTTGGCTCTCAATCCCCCATCTACAGAGGAGGAAAAGGCGCCAGAAGAAGTAAAGACACCAGAAATGTTAGAGATGGAAATGAAAGAGGGGAGGCCCAAGAGTCGAGATGATCTGGATCTGGACGTCCTGTCTAGTGGGAAGAAGGGGGGCTTGCTGGGGGAGATGGGTGTTCTGCAGCGGAGAGCGGATGATTTGGTTCAGAGTTGGAGGTATGCTAGGACGAAGTTCAGGACTGGAGCGTTATAGAGAGAGTAATGTGGACGTGGTTGTTAGATCTAGAAGAGGTGGACGGTACAGTAGCGGCAGTTGTTAGAAAAGTGTATAGAGACATTTGCATGTCACCCGATCTCATCTCTAACAATGCATGCATCTTTCCTGGAAAACCAGGAAGAAAGGTCTCGGTAGTGGCAGTAAGCATTACTCATGTGTGCATGTGAAGAGGTGAAGTTGGTCGTAAGCCGTACCGGGAGCGTGGTTGTCACATGCAGCAAGATGGCTCTGCGGCCAGCGATTGGTCGAGGAACGATTGGCGGCTCCTCATACGTCAGATGCGTTCCAGCCCCGTTCCAGCCTCCACACTTCACGCACGCGAGCCTCCAACCTTCCACATCCCGTTTGTCCCGCCTTGGTTGTGACGACTGTGGGCGATCGGGACAAAACGAATTATGACGGCATCATCATGGCTCTCGGCGAAGAGGGTGTCGTCTCAGCATATCACTCCAACCTCTCCTCGCCCTCCCTCACCACTGACCCTTCCCCCTCCCCAGCCACCATAGCAGCTCAACGGCCCCCAAAATGTCCGTGAAATCCAAAACCGCGTCCGTCCGCTCCGTCTCCCTCGCCAGCAAAGACCGTCTATCCTTCCTCAACCGCGTCCCGGACGAAGACGCCCAGCTCATCCGCTCCTACAACCCAGGCCAAAAGAACCTCGCCGAGCTCAACGAGGAAATCCGCGCCCTGGAGCTGGAACGCGCAAACCGTGCCCGGGAACACGAATTACGCGGTTTCAAAGACGAACTGAAAGCCCGCGAGGAATTCGCTCTTGCGGATCAGTACAGGCATCGCCATCATCACCATCATCATCACGATAGAGCAGGGGATCTGGCGCTTTATGATGGGACGAGGGGAAGGCCGAGGATCGTAGAGGATGAAGTGATGCTGTTTGATCGGGAGAGGAGTAGACGAAGGAGTCATGACGATGAATTGGTGGTTTATGATCGGTATGGTCGGAAGAGGTATTACAAGCGAACCAAGAGTCCGCCAAAGAATGTGGTGCGGGTGGAGAAGGATCGGAGGGGGAGGTTGTCGCTTGTGAAGTCTACGCACTGAGTCGAGGTCGGAGAGGATTGGATGAATGTGAAACGAATTACGACACGGAAGACAAGATGGCGTAGCACGGCAGTCGAACATGCCGTGCTCCTCTTTGCACGTTGACGCTCGCCGGATTCCACGCTTCGAGCCTTTGCTGGTGAGCGCAGAGCTCTTGGAAAAGTCATGACAGTTGTGAAAGCCGAGACTTGAGGAGAAGGAAAATGCAGGATGATTTTCGATTCGGCGTTCAATTCTGAAGCTTCGCTTGATTGATATCGGAGGAAGCAGCGCGGATGCCGCCCGATGGCAGAGGCCCACAGCTAGCGAGTCGAGGAAGAATGTGTCAAGCCTGCCGAATGGCTTTGGCCTGAGCCTAGCCACAGCCTGGCGCTGATATAGGTTCATGCTCTGTGCGAGCTAGCAAATACTCATTCTTCCATCAACCCGATTCTCCTCAGCCAGGATACCAATGTCCCCACCTCTCCTTGCAAACTCCTCACGCCCACCTTCACTTGCCCTTATACACCGGCGTCGGAGCCACAAACTTCTCCAGCACGAAACCCTCGCCGACCTGCTCACTCAGCTGCTCCTCGAAAGCCTTGAAGTCCTTTTCGAATGTAGTTGCAGCCAGCTCCGCCGTCGTATCCAGCAGACCCTCAAGTGCTTCTTCGTACGTGGCTCCTGGTGGACCTTTGATGATGGCCTGGCGCGGATTGGTGAAGATCATGACCCATGCGGTGTAAGTCTTGTTCTTGAGGGCGATGACGGTCTCGATGAAGTCGAGTCCGAGACTGCTGGCGTTGGCGCGGATCTGAGCGCGGATGTCGGAGTTGGGCGCGCTTTGGATTGTGCGCGCCATTGTGATGTTTTCTTGTAGCTGGTTGGTAAACTGAATTGTGGTCGGCTGTATGGAGTTGGTGTCGCGTTCAGGTCGTGAGTTGGTCTGAACTGATCAGGTCGAGGTCAATAAGTGCAGAAGCCGTGAAGACTCTTGCTGTGTGGCATCCCAGAGGATTGTCACATGCAAGCACGTGCCATTGCGCAATGCTCAAGGCAGCAATCGGCTTCTTTCATCTGACTTTCATATTCGTCCACCAAGGCGGCCCATCCTTTGGTTCCTTGACGGTCTCCAGATTTGCTCGCTCAATAGCTTTCTTTCTCTTCCATGGATCTTTGCCCGCCTCGAAAGCAGATTGCTTCTTCCTGTCCAGCTCTTGCGTTGCCTTTTCTATTGTCTCTATCAACCAAGCTTCTCTCGCATCTTGACCTTCGACAGAAGCATCTGGCCCTCCAGGAGCAATCTCTCCACGCCCAATGTTCTTCTGCTCCTTCCACTTCTGCCAAGTCTCTAATTCCTTACGGTAGCGGTCTAAATCGTAGACAATGTTGAAGAAGTTCTTATACTCCTCCGGATCCTCGAAGCAGACGCCGTAAGCATCGCAATAGCAAACCCGCGGGTCGGGACAGTAAGTTGGAGTTCCGTTGAACATGTATTGCCACAGGTATTCGAAGATGCGGCCGGTGATGTAGTCATCATGTGGAGAGTTGAGGAGCCAGTCACGAATTTCAACATACTTGTTCTGCGGGAGATTTTGAATTCTCTGACGACTGACGGCGAATTGTGAGCAACAAGGTTGCGAGAGGACTTCTGGGACTGCTTCAGTGGGGAATAAGGCTTCCCAGGCCTCTTTGATCATGGGCTCCTCTCGCTTGTCGCCATCGTATTTTGTCTCCTGCGGGTGGAGGTGGTCAGGGCAGCCGGGAGACCAGTGACATCGGAGGTTCATGTAGCCTTCATCGAGGACTTTCTCTCTCCTCAAACGTCGTACAATCTGGGAAGACGACATCTCCAGCAAATAGTTGTTATGCCATGCCGCAGCGTGTCCGTGCATAAAGATGGAAATGTCCGGTAAAGAGTCGTAGAACTCAATCATGTAAGTCAGATAGGCCATTACCTCGTGGCCTTTGTTCGCAGGAGTGTGCAGTGGCGCAGAGTCGTCATTGGCAACATAGAATGCAGTATACAGGTTGCTCTTCTCTCCAAGCAGATCGCCAAGTTCCTTTTCCACCCAGGAATTGTCGCTGTAAGACATTGTCGCCAGCACCAGTGTTGTCCGCGGATGCGTTCTATTCATCGTTGGAGCCATGGATTGGTTGCTCGGTTTCGAGTCCGGAAGAGCAGGCTCTTGCGCCGGCGCCAGCTGAGTCTCGCTTTTAACAGCGGCATATTTGTAGTCACTGCCATATCTCCACGAAGCCACCCAATACTTCAGCCCAGTCTCGCGAACTCTTTGCAGATCAGAGCGGTATAGTCCAAGCAATACGACAAAAATGATCGTGGCCCCAATAGCAGCAAAGATGCCGAAGCGTTGTCGCATGGCGACCTTGTCTCGGTTAGGATGCCGTAGGGAACGAAGCCGGTGCAGTGCAGAGAAGGCGGATCGATGATTGAAGTCGAGGTCCAGGTCTAGGTCCAGTTCCAGAGCAAGCAGCGTATGTAGTTGTATCGATCTTCGTGCACATGCTCGCTCTCACGCGAGCGGTTCTTTGTCAATGTCACGCCGGTAGCGCAAAGGAAAGGGAAGGACGAGAAGGGAAAGATGTATACAGTCCTTACTTAATAAGGAGAGAGCGATTGGCACCTACGCGGCTTCTACCAAATATACATCCGACGCTAGTGTTGCCTTGCGAAGGGCGCCGTTGATGTTGTGTTCTCTTTCTCTTCTCCTCTGTAACGTTGGCCGATACGCGTGTCCTGCCCCATAACTCCGCGTGTGCTGAATTGCGTACGATCGGCTGATGTGGTCTTTGCCGGAGATGATCGGGAGTGCGCCGAATCAGCCAGCTACCTCGCTCGCTTGAGCTCATGATCTAGGCTGCGAATAATGCGAGTTTGGGAAATGGTATCAAGGGATGAACGACTTTGTAGAGGGAAGAGATGGGATGGGGATGGAGTCAGAGTTGGGAGTTGGGCTGTCCCCCTGCACCGCGAAAGCTTGGCTCAAACAAGCCTTTCCGCTCTCGGGACCCACTAGATGTGAGGTGAGCAAAAATTCACGTGATGCGCAAAATTTGAAAGATATGTAATATATGCAAGATATGCAAGATATGAAAGCTATGCAAGAGGTACGAGAATACGCATCGACCAGCTAGCTCTATCCATCCGTCTACATAGATCTCCAAAGCAACAGCCCAGCCCCGAGCGGTGGTATCATAAGCAACATCACAAGCACCAACCCCATGCACCACCCAATGCCAACGTGAGGAGAAGGTTGCTATTCTTTCAACTCATCAGCAGGAACAGCATGCATGCCATACTTCGGCGTCTCATCGCTCCCATAGTCTTCTTCTCCCTCCTCGTCGTCCCAGATCTTGACCTTCTCCGCATACTGTCTGATGTTGGAGTAAATTGTGTCTTCAATGAGGTGTCCCTTGCCGCCTGCGACCTTGAGAATCAGGTCGTTCAGACTGGATCGACCGAGAATGTCGACGTGGTCGGCTGTGTTGGGGCCTCCTCTTGGACTGAATCGGTCTGGTTCGTGCGGCATTTCGTATGCAATTACGGAGACGTTAGCTGGATTGTAGCGCTTCATGCGCCAGCCTTTGTTGCACATGTAGCCTGTTGACATGAGGTTGACTGTTCCGTCGCCTTCGCCCATGACCACACCGTGATCGACGACACCGTCGGGAGTATTGACAGTTGTGTCTACAAATGTCAGCGGGGGAAGTTACGCGTGGGGCGTGCCGTTCACTTACCAATGACAACATATGACTGGTTGAAAGCGTCCTTCTCTTCCCGATAGAAGTATGCTCGCTCTGTAGGTTTGCCAATACCGTAGAAACAATAGATCTTCATGTTCGGCGCCAGTGGAAGTCGTGTCTCTAGAGGGTTCATCCACTTTGCCGGGATTTTCTGGTTGTCTTCAACTACCTTCCTGCTATGCGCGACGCCATGGCTGTAGCTTTGCTGAGTCGCCTCCGCATACCAGTCTTCAGTATTCTTATACAAGTACGGGATGGCTTGAGACACCGTGAGGTTCCTTTCAGTCTCCGAATTGTTGCTTTGCTTGAAGCTAATGAACTTGCCAAATGTGGTCGGTTGCTCTGGTTGATCGTCTGGTGCGCCGTACTGATCTCCCCAGACCGCATTGCCGCCTATCGGTAGCATGCTGCTGATACCAGGCATAGCTCTGAAGATCTCGGCGCGTTCCGCGCGTGAGAGGAACTTCTCGAGGCCATAGACAGCAAAAGCATTCAACTGAGCGGTGTCCCTCATCTCTCCGCTGAGAACCGCTGGCAAATCCTTGAGGGCGCCCAGCATGCAGCCAGATATGTTAATCCAGGCTTCAACATGCTCATCGACCCAGGAGGGACCACCATTGCCATGCCCTTCGGCCTCCACCCAATGCAGAAAGTAATACAGGACTTGCGATCCCATGGAATGTGATAGTAGAACCACCTTCTCTCCGCTGACCTGCTTGGCTACTTCGATGTGGCTCTTCAGCCGGGTGTAGTACTGGTCCCTTTTCTCATAATTCATGTAGCTCAATCGCCAGTCGTAAGCAGCCGTGAACGCATTCGTCGGGTCGTATCCGACTGACGCAAGGTTCTGCAATATCTTGTTCCATATCCAGTACCCCGTAATGAAGAAATCTGCAGCATCGAAACCTTGGGCAGCCCGTAGCTTGATTCCAGGCGGATCAAGACCAGTCTTCTTGTCCAGCATTATATGGCGCTTCCAGCCCGCCTTGTCCAAGACCAGTGCCCGCATCATGTTCCAAGAACCCCATAATCTCTTGCGAAAGTATTGTCGCGAGTCATCCTCTGTTCCCCAGCTCTCTAACCCTGTCGAAATAACGCCAGGAATCATGATCACGGGGTATTTGGCAGAGATGCCTTCTTGGCGTGCGTGTAATCCGACTGCGAACGAATCGTAATCGACGGCCTGCTTCTCACGAGACTACAAATCCAAAGGCCTTTGTCAACATCAGCTCCGTGGCACGTAATGAGGAGCATGGCAATTCATACCTGTAGATCCCGCACATCGCGTATCAATCCGGCCGGTAGGACATCTAGCACAGTATCCAGGTTCAGGTCTTCCAGTCCTGCCATCGTGACCAGCTTGTCGAGACTCCCATTGCTGCTCGCGAAGTATCCAGCGACGAAGAGCCCGAACAGACTCCCAAGCCCGAACACCCATGCATTACGCCTCTTGCCACCTCTTGATTTGCTCTGCTTGAGCTTGTCGAGCTTCTCCTTCGGAATAACTCGATATGCCTCTCCGCCAGCATCCGTGGGTGCAGGTGCCGGACTATGCTCACGCGAGCTATCAGACGAGTCGTCGTTCTCGCCAGAGCCGAGGATACGTCGCCGCAACTCCGACATTGTGGGAATATCGGAGGGGCCTGGTGAGGGTGGAGGTGGAAGCGGTGAAACACACACCCGACGACACGAGACACGACATAGCGAAAGTTCGCGACTGAGAGTTTGTCGTCATGCGGTCCGAGCGCCCTGCATGTATTCTTCACATGCTTTCACATGCGTCCTCCACCTTCGAAGAGACAACACGTTGACATCAGACTCTGCGATACAGCACAGCATCGCAGAAGGCAGACCATGGGGGAGATAAGCAACAACTGAATGATTTGACACATGCGCACGCCTCGCCGAGCATAGCTTCCCAATGAGCGATCCCAAGCCGGGTGATGCTCCACGCAAGCCCGGGAAGGACGGAAAGAGCAACACGGCGGCCGACGACTTAAGATATGTCTGCTATGGCAGCGAAAAGGAATCCCCGTACCTGCCGGCTATCAAGCAGCTGATCTCCAAAGATCTGTCTGAGCCATACAGCATCTACGTCTACCGATACTTCCTCTACCAGTGGGGCGACTTATGCTTCATGGTGAGATAGACTTTCCATCATGATTGCAACAATACTGATGCGCCATAGGCTCTGGACAAGGAAGACAACCTACTAGGGGTGATCGTCTGCAAACTGGAACCCCACCGTGGCGGACCTGTGCGAGGCTACATCGCCATGCTGGCCACACAACAGGAACATCGCGGAAAAGGCATTGCATCAAGGCTAGTGCGCATGGCTGTTGAAGCCATGATCGAAAAAGATGCAGACGAAATCGCCCTCGAAACGGAAGTCGACAACGTCCCATCCTTGCGCATCTATGAAAACCTTGGTTTCATCCGCACCAAAAAGCTACATCGCTACTACCTTAGTGGCAGTTCAGCGTTCCGGTTGATTCTTTATCTAAAACCTGGAGTACCGTACAGACCAACTTATCCTCCAGAGTATGGGTCTTGGGATGGTGACGGCCAGTACGACTATGGAATGCCAGGCGAAGCCTCTGGTCAGGGACTCAGGCAAGAAGATCTCACCGAACGACAGGCAGCGCAAATGCGGATCGAAGCCGTTCATGGCGAGAGACACAATCCAATGGGTACTATATGATCTCTCCGCTATTCTCATCGGGTCCGATTACGCCGCCTGACTGCGAGCGTGTATCCGATTTCCTCTCAGTCATCTTGTTCCACGTCCATTGGTCCAATCCGCAAAAGCTGGTCTATCTGGATGTGAACAGCTAATTCGTGACCCTAGCCTTGATAGCTTTCAGGTGAGCGTGTGAGCAAGGCAACGTCGCGCACGTAACGTCAATAATGATTTTACGAGACGGGCAGGCTCGGGTTGACTGTCGAGGGATTCGAATGAATAGCACCTAAGTTTTGCTTCCCCACAGAACCTCGATCCCCATCAATCTCTGCTACATCATTCACGGATCATCTAGATCTTCGCGATGATCACAACCACCGCGCGTCTTACCTCAACATGTTCGTTTTCAAATGAGTGGGCAAGCCACGCAAGCGCTCCTCGCTTCCTGTGCTGGAAATATCGTTTCAAAATTCTTCGATGAAGAATGTATAGTCTCAAAGTATGAGATTCTATAGGAGATGCTGACGGAGAGTCGAGAAGTTCGTTGCTGATGTTCCAGTGATTAAACGCAGCTTCGCAAAACTCGCCTAGAAGGCGTAGTTTCTAGCTCCCATGCGAGGCATGCTGCAATGGCAGCCAGAAGACAGGAAGACGGCAGGAGAGCTACTAAAGAATCCTTAGCTGAGCAGCCGAGCCCAAGTGTGTGAGGAGCTTTGAGAACCATCGTCTACCTTTATCGCCACGCAAACTTCTCATGCATACAACATGCATCCTCCAATAGTATTAAATAAGCATCATCGTCACGTCCAGAATCTCCAGTGTTGCAACGGCGGTGTGCCGCGCTCTCCTCGGCACCATCTCGGCGCAGACGCACAAGCCATTATGGAGAATTTTCTTGCATCACCTAGCACATACGGCCACAGGCGAATGAAAACTCGGAACCCCGTCCGCTCTTCCAAAGATAACCATTCGACCGCGAGACTAGTATTGCCGTGGGTGACCAGGCGAGAATCCCTCGTGCTGTATGTTTTTGTCTTTTTTTTTGCAGTTCCATATGCTGCCCTGCTACGATGACCCAGAGGTCCTCGAGGCCGGAGGAGTTCATGCCTTTTGCCGCAAACTTTTTGGAAAGAAATGGAAGAGATGGTTCGTGATTGATGAAGCTGACTGTAGTAGTGTGCACAACTCGTGAAGTGATGATGTGGTCCTTTTTGGAGATGCTCGAGAGGTGTACCTGTGGACCGGTTGGGTGCTTCTGCAATCGTATTGGTCCACTCTTTGAACGTTTGTTTCGACGTCCAAGAAGCGAGCTGAACGATCGTTTTGTATACTGCTCGGTCACTCCGCCTCAATTTGCTATTCAACACCAACGGCCATAGCAGACTCGATCAATGCGCCTTGTTGAATAGACTCCTCATTCCAGAGGCATCAAGACCATCGATCATCTTGATCGTTATCGGTTTCATCCTCCAAACCCATCATCAAAGCCTTCACCGTGACTTCAAACCAGCCCACGGATCCTCCAAGAAAGTCGGAAGAAAGTACACCATATCGCCTTTCTGATTCCTCGCGCCATATCTCAAAGCCTCGAGACTTGGCTTGCTGTCTTCGCCGGGCGCGCGATCGGGGACATGTCCATTCCCTGCCTTCACAGTCTCCGAGGCCTTCGCTGGTCGGTCACGGACAGGTAAGTTGTTGGCACCAGTCCCTTGAGGCTTCTTGTTGATGTTCGGATCCACGAATCCGTCGTGGGAGTCGAACTTGCGTTTTTTCTGGTTGCCGAAGCCGGTGAAGCCCATTGCCTCGGCGATTGATGGATCGACGTCGAAGTCTTCCGAGTCCATGACCGTCAGCGGTATTGTGAGAGGAGTCTGAAGTTGGTGTTGACGTTACAAGCGAGAAGCAAGAGTGCTTTGTGCTTTCTAGCCTCGGACATGGTAATGCGAAACCGAGACCGAGTGTCGCAGGAATGGGCGCTGCGCAGTATACTTCACCTGTTTCTACAACCGCATCCATCTCACACTCACTTCGCTTCTGTATCAAGCAGATCCGATGATCCATCGAAATTGACGCTTCACGCGTATGACGCTTTCTCATCGTGGCTGAAAAGGGTTCTCTCCATTCATCCGCCGGTCCTGGGCTGGCACCCTCCGAAGCCGATTTTGGAACGAGCCAGACTTCAATGCCGCATTATTATACCCTCGCCCAGAGGCGTAGGGAGGCCTTCCTACAAGCCAGAACGAAGAGACTCGCTGAGTTATCATAACGACATCCTATTCGGATTGAAGGATGAGCCTCCTAATGCCTGCCCAAGAAGATAACACCCGGCAGAGAATGGTTGCAAGAGCGGCCTTGATAATCGTGACACACAGGGCGGACAGCACCAAAAGTATATCCACCGTTTGGTCCAAGAGATCTATCCCGATAATACCCGACCTAGAGCCGCTATCTACGGTCTCGACCAAGTATGAGCTTCCGCGCTATATCTCTTATCGGAACGGAATGGGAATTTACGTTCTCGCCGGGGTGTTCCCAGATCTGCTCAGTGTCTTGATGAACTACCCAGCTTACTATGTTCTATTTCTGCTCTCTGTGTCGGCTTTGCATGGATCTTACTGGTTGTCCAACAAGTCATGAGTCGAAGTCCGATGCCTCACCGAAGTGCCTTTAGTTGGGACTGCATCTAGGCCATAAGTTCTGCAGCGCTCGCTGAGAAATGGCAAGGGCCGCCAAAATACGAATGCTACCAGTGCTATCAATGCTACCGATGCAACCATTGCCAGAACAATGGCCTCGGCTCGTCTCACGCGCCTATCGCGCGCCTCACCGGCACTAGCACGATCTTCTACGCTCATACCAGCAACCCTTCACTACACTGGCCTTAGCAGGAAACGGTCCAGAAACGCCCTCGGCTTTCAAACAAAGCAAATTGGTAGCGGTCGTATCGAACGATCAAGTGCGAAAGCCCGCCTCTTCGCTCCCATGCCTATTATTCTATTTATTATTAGATCTATTGCTTGACTCAGCAATACGATCTGAAGCACTAGAGGGATACGAGAAGGCCTCACCACCACAAGAAACTATATCAGCGCAAATTTCCGCGAGTTCTGGTGAAGATGCATTCACTCCTCCGTCCTTCTCGATATTGCAGGCCGCAACATGGCACCCAAGCCGTTTCCCATTCTGGCTCCGCTTCTTGGTCTCTATGCGGTGATCTCTTCGGCACAAGTCCTCACGAAATGTCCCTCTGCTGAGACGACTTACACATCCCCGGATGGCCTCGTATACAAGACCTGCACAGGAACAGACTACCAGGGGACGGATGCACAGCTCGTCCCAGACATCGCGGATGCCGCCGCCTGCGTGGCACTTTGCGCCAAGACCATTCCCTGCGACAAGTCTGTCTATAATAACGACAACAAAGACTGTCACTTGAAGGGTTCCGACACGTACGGTCTTAAATGGACTACCGATGCACGCTTCACTGCTTCACGCAGAGTCGACGTGGGAAACGTGGGCCGATGGGGACCTTTGGTGAACCTGCCCGTCATTCCAGTGGCAGGTTATGTCGATCCTACCGATACGAACCGTGTAATGGTTTGGTCTTCCTGGGTGAGTTGCTCCACAAATCTGTAGAGTTGCTCATGAGTGCCTCGCTAAATCAAGGTGTACAGGGCACCGACGACTTTGGTGGAGCAGGCGGCAAAACCCAATTCGCGGACTACAACTGGAAGACAGGCGCCGTATCTGAGCGCCAAGTTGCCAATACCAAGCACGACATGTTCTGTCCCGGTATCAGCGCTCTGCAGGATGGTCGCATTGTCATTTCTGGTGGAGGTGATGCAGAAGCGACTTCTATCTACGATCCCGTTACAAATGCTTTCACCCGCGGCCCCGATATGAATATTGCACGAGGCTACCAGGCCTCCGCTACTCTCAGCAACGGCAAAATATTCACCATCGGAGGATCTTACAGCGGCGGTATTGCCAACAAACCCGGCGAGGTCTACGATCCTGCTGCGAACACCTGGACTCTTCTCCCTGGCGCGGATCCTTCTCAGGGTATGCTCACGACTGATCACGAAGGTCAATGGCGAACTGATAACCATGCCTGGCTCTTCGCTTGGCGGGATGGGTCTGTTTTCCAAGCGGGTCCGAGCAAGAACATGCATTGGTTCACCACCACCGGAAACGGATCTATCCAGGACGCTGGCACGCGGGATGCTGCGAACGATGCCATGTGCGGCGTGAATGTCATGTACGACGCCGGAAAGATCTTCACTGCCGGCGGATCACAGGACTACACTGACAGCCCAGCTTTCAATCGCGCACACCTTATTAGCATCTCTGCTCCCTACCAGCCCGCCGCGGTGGAACGCGTTTCGGATATGCGATATCCGCGTGGCTTCGCAAACGCAGTCGCCTTGCCGGACGGAACGATTCTCGTCACAGGCGGCCAGAAACGTTCCGTCGTCTTCACGGATACGGATTCCGCTTTGGCTGCGGAGCTCTTCGATCCTGCAACCAACACTTTCCGCACGCTCGCCGAAGAACTCATCCCTCGCAACTACCATTCGATATCGCTTCTCTTGGCAGATGGCACCGTTCTCAGCGGCGGTGGTGGACTCTGCTATGTTGGAGGTGGCGTAAAAGGCGACGATGGCAAGTGCAACCGCGCCGTCGATCATCTCAATGCCCAGATCTTCTCGCCTCCGTACCTCTTCAACTCCGACGGCTCGTCTGCCACCAGGCCCGTGATATCCTCTGTTTCCGCGACGAATGCCAGAGCAGGCGACTCCTTGACCGTGCAGATGGGCGACGACGCGGCTGGAACCACGTTCTCTTTGATCAGAATGGGAAGCTCCACGCATTCGATCAATACCGATCAGCGAAGGATTTCGTTGACGCAGGCAACTCAGAGTGGCAGCTCTTGGAAGCTTGAATTGCCTAGCGATGGAGGCGTGCTGATTCCGGGGTACTACTATCTCTTCGCGGTCAACAAGGCGGGTGTGCCGGCTGTGGCGAGGACGTTACAGATTCGTTTATGATCCAGATACCCGTGTAGTAACAGTCTACGAATTCGAGAAATGCGTACTTGATTCTATCATCATGCGGTCGAGTCCCAGTTGTCACGACACAGGGCGCGCCATACGTCTAATATCCTTGGGGTGTTCCCGATGTTGAGTCCATGGTCCTTAGGAGCCTCGCTCACAGCATGGGCTGTGGTATTCGCGCATCCGAATGCATCATTCGAGCAGTACGAGGCAATGTGCTCCTCCGTTCCCGCCATCCCTGCTGAAACGGTCGGATCAAAGCGGAGGACGCGGGAACAGTAGTCCGTACTGAACAAGTCCGTCAGTACACATGACACTTGTCCATTGAGATGCGATGTCAACTCACTCGGGCTGGAGGCCAAACATACTACAACGTCCCCGAGCATGGATGATCACGTTCCTCAAATTCGACACGGTGTCCTCCCCGACACAGCGGAGCCATCGCAGGAGCGATTCCTCATGGAAGCCATCCAGGAGTTCAAACGTACAGTTCGCGTAGAAGAGGGGCAGAGTCTCGCTTCTGATCTGGCGATTGAGCTGGATCAGAGACGAGGCATTTCTGGGCTGGCTGCTATTTCTTGGTTTCTGGGATCGCACTCTGATGACGGCTTCGCAGAGAGCACATTCGAAGATTTGGAGACGCAACTCGACGGGAAGACCGAGGAGCGAAGCCCGATGGATTGCCATTCTTTTCGATTTGAAACGTAAGATCCTATGCTGATAGCATACGTGTGTCCTGTACGATGTTGTTGATTGGTCGAAGAAGGATTCCGCGAGTCAGCCAAAGAAGATGCATTGGGATAGATCGGAAAGCGTGACGTTTGGTATCCCGTAGCTAGCGTAAACTCTAAGCTAGTGCGATGAGACCCCACCTTGAGTTTACACCTATACCTTAACAACTTGAACCACGATATATCATACACAATACCATATCTTGAAGCCGGATCTACAACTGTACCACTGTCTATCACATGCGGTACATGAAGCACGGAGAATGGTCTGGCTCTCTGACGCGCCTACGGAGACCGAAAACTTTATTGTCATGCATGCCATCCAAGGACACAAAAAGCTACAATACCCGCGATGGGCTATGGTGCTGTTCCTCGATCCAAAATATCCGATCATCGGACCCTGTGAAGCCTAGTGCCGCCGTCCTCAGACACTGCCACGGGACTTCACCTGTGTAGGGCTTACGGGAAACCCGCCGAGCCCTACGACGTGCTTACGCGCTTGGCGACATGTCGAGATGGGCTCAGAATTGTCGGCCGAGAGAGAGGCATGATTGCCCAAGAAGCCATTGTGATACATTGTCTCGACCGACGCTTCTCCGATGCCATCGTCATCCGTCGGTATGCGCGCCCTTGTCCTGGTCCAAACCATCCATGTAACAGCTCTGTGCACCTGACGGTGGCTGGAGAAACAAAGTGAGGGGAAACAAGACCATCACGGTTGCAATTGGGTCTGTGCTCAGCCATGGGTTCGGCGCAGTGACAATGATCCTACCACAGCGATTATTTGAAGCACGGGGACTCAGGTGGCTGGTCATGAGGTTGTAACAGAGCAACATCCTGGTCCGACGGTGAAGAAGAGTCGAAGGTGTTGTTAGACAATAAATTGTTGCTTGGATATTCGAACAGACACTATGGAACTAAGCAGCTATCTATGTACAGTGGAGGGCTATCTGGTGTATATAATCCTGAGCCTGTCAGGTCGGAGCATGAGGGGCATAGGTGATGATGGCAATGAGTCGAAAGACAAGTCTGCAGAAAATCAAACGCTGTCTTGCCGTTGCTCCTGTCGATGACGTGCTGAGACAGATAAAACGACTCAGTTCTGTAGCCGGCTCATGATGGCGTGAATTCGCTGGCTACATCCTGCCAGAATCGTGAGAATCGCAGTCGAGCCTGGGCCGAGTGTCTCCGTATGCTCCTGCAGCTGTCGCGTAAGATTGGCGAGCTCATTCAAGCGGGTATGCAGGAGGTGGCGTAGGAATCCCAGCTTCTCTTCGCCACTGATCTCGTACTCTCCGAGGACGAGTCGGCCAGTTTCCGTATTTGAATGCATGTATGCCGGCATGCTCTGTCTCCGAAGGATTGCAAGTTCGGATCTGGCGTCGACTGGCCTGCGGCTATCGCTCGCTGGTACGCCTTCAAGCAAATCAATCATGCTCTCCAGTAGTACGCTTGCCAGGAGGAGGGATCTCGAACGCTCGTGAGTGCACATATCGCACTTCAGCATAGTCTGGGTCTGGATTCGTACGTCCTTTTCGAGCTTCATGATGGTGTCGATCCTGGTGGAGAGGAATTTTGCTTTCTCGTCCTTGAGCTCGGAAAGTCGTTGCAGGATGCTGCTGTAGCATGAGCATCTGGAAGGGAGCAGAGGCATTGGAGATGTGTTTGTTTGTGTGAAGCTGTTCGGCACTTGGCCACTTGGGAACGTGCTGAACGAGCTCATGGCAGATGCAGTTGTCGAGGGTCGAGAGTCCTGGGAGTTTCTGAAGTTGCCGCTATAGAAATTCGGCAGTGAAGCTGGAAACATGAAGTATGATCCGTCGCCTTGGTCTTTGCACTGCCAAAATGTCAGAATCCAAGAATCTTATAAGACTGTTGAAGAAGATTTGTGAACTGATACGCACCTGCATCGGGGACTGGACTATCGTGGATGATGCTCCAAGACTACCAGTGTGATCCGATGAGCCGTTGCGGCTATCGAACCCATTCAACCTAGCCTCAATGGTCGTAGGACTTCGCGTTATGCTTGCATCGGACCAACTATTTGGGAACGGAAGCTGGTGCATGTCCGCAACTGGGGGAGGGGTAGGTAGGTTCCAATTGTTGTGCTTGGACGGGTCGGTGAGGTCGTTGTCCACTGGTGAGGACCACATCGGATAGAAGGATCCGTAGCCGTCGTTGTTTCCCACGAAAGACATGTTCTGGTCGAACAATAGCATGTCCATCGACAGCTCTGCTGTATCGTTGTCTCTAGACGGACTCGGCAATCCCCCAGGGAAGGGTCCTGGCATTTCCTGCTGAGGTGTTGTTGTTGTCGCCGCGCTGTCGGTCCCACTGGACGACCTGGATGCTGCAGTATGCTTGGTGGTAGTGCCTTTCGGCCGTCCCAGACGTCGCTTCAGGCTATAGACACACTCGCGGCCGTGATGCTGGCAACGACGACAGGTAGGTCGGTCTCGACTGCACCGAACTTTGGCGTCAAGGCATGCGTCGCAAGTTGATCTGATCCTGGGGACTGGGACGGGTCCTGCTGCTGTGGTATTCATGATGTTGATAGAGGAGTAAAGTTTATGAGCATCATCCTGTCAATGCAGGCAGACGAGCCGTCAAAGATATATCAAGGGACCCCTTATCGTCTCGCCATCCCCGTGCTGCTGGCAAGCGTGCACTGGCGGAGAAGATGTCGCAGCGGCGAGCTTGGATCCGTGTTAGCCTGCAATGATCAGCCCCGTAAGGTTTCAGACCTACAGGACGTTAACCTTAAGCCTCGCCGAACAAAATTACTTAATCCGCCATCAAGACGCCATGTCTGATCCTTGCGACCACATGCTACCCAGTGTGTGGTTCTCTGCCAAGGCATTCGCGAAAACCAGGGACCGGCGGCATCTATCGCGCGTAGCACTCAGCCTTAGGCCATGTACGCCGTCCTCACCGTCCACGGTCCGCCCACTACACATCTTCGGTCCGTTCGCGATGGTTGTGGCGTTCTGTTGACCGCTATTGTTCGATTTTGCCACAACGAAGGGGCTTTGGTTGAGATGTTTGCCCATTTACAGTGAACGTGGCCCATGAATGTCGGGGTAGGTTAGTCTACAACGCATGTCGCAGAAACGACCGCGTCGAGACCTTGGCTCGTTGCCATTTGCTATATTCGTGACGGCTTGCCAAGTGCATGTGTTTCGATGCATTGCATTGCCCTGGATGCCCCTCCACGAGAGTGAACTCGTTCGAGACGAGCTGCGAACTTCGAGACCAGAAGGCAGTCTAGTCGAGCGGTAGGTTGTCTCGGCGTCGTTGATTGAAGGTGATCCGGAGTAGTGTCGTCGTACTGGATGGAGCCGTGGCAAGGGTACGATGGCAGGGAAGGCTTGTCCACCCGTGGTTCTCCCTGATGCCAGGTCTACCAGTCCACGGCTTCCGAAGCGTCAATTGGTCGAGCTCATTGGTTCGCAGTAGTCTGACAAACGCCACGTGCTAAGGTTTTTTTCTAAATTTGTACGTAGACATCTGCACCTTCTGAACCTGCGGGACTTTATTGAGCACGGTCGCTTCAGTTCAAACACAACGTGTTTTGTGGCAGCGTCACGCCGCGACTTGCTCTTTCAGTACGGGACTGAGACTTGCCGTTGCTCAGGTGCGCGCACCATCGATTGAGGAATGCTCTTGATCGATTACCCCATCTTTGAGAGCGCCAAGAGGCTTGCGCATGCCACGTGGGGAAGTCCGTCTCCTGCGGCAGCTAGCTGGGGAAGACTTCGGATGAGCAGGGGAAATGGCTCGAAGCTTGTTTCAGGAACTTGAGACTACCATAACACATGGCGACGATCTCCCATTGCCTGCCCTACTCGACAGCGTCGATGATGCCCCGTGCTCGTGCGTGCGGTAGGTGGAGAAGGACTTGGATTGTACCTTGCTCTGGCATCTGAGGGTATCCACCATGTAATGTGACCCTCCGGGAGCAGTCCGGCGTCGCCTAAAAGACGATCCAGTCTGAGCGAACTTGTCTGAAGTGATAAAGCCCAAGGAGCGTCGGCAGCAGGTAGGCTGATCTGCCGACGCCACGTGTGGCAGTAGGCCAACCTGACGACACTGCTGGCAGAGCCACCAGACATCATGGCCGAGGGATTTCAGGCGCATGTTCGGTCTAAAGCAATCTCGCTGAAGCGCGAACCATGCCATAGTCACAACGCTAATCTTTACTCCCGTTCCTTCGATCGAGTCGATATCGCAAAACAATCTGTCATGTCGTGCCCTCAATGCACTCGTGCTGATAGTGACGGATCTCGAACAATCGGCGCTCCAGTTGGATAAGGCTGTGTATGAAGCTGATGGTGAGGCACAGCTTATCACTTGGCGCCAGTCGCAATGGGATGCATGTCGTGACACACGTCGTTGTCAATCATTATGCCCAGTGCACCGCCTATTGGACTTTCACATGGAAGTTGCGCCAAGTTGAGACATTGAGGCTGCCCCTGCTCGCTGCCCTGCGACCCCACTAGGCCTTATCACACCCTACACGGCCCATGCCGTGTAGCCATTCGCCAAACTCTATTCTTGGACCACATCCTATCTTGCAGGATCTGAGCAACAAGATTTCCGCCCGTGATCTTCCTCGAGGAGCGGGCTCGAGTTGCGGAAAGAGGAAGTAGGTCCGAATGCTAGGAAGATATAGGTGAAAGCTGTTCCCATCGCACGGCTTGAGGCGATTGTGTCCATTGTCGTGTTTGAAAGCGTCCATTGCAGCAGTGAACATTCCGATCCCGACGAAAGTCAAGACATCGGAGGTCCTTGGCAAAGTATAGCGTACTAGTCTTTCGGCTGGGCAAGTGACGAAATTCATCACAGTCACTTGATTCCAACGAGAAACAGTGAGAGCGAGGGGCGAGGGGCGAGGTAGGCCTTAAGTCATCCCGCAGTATCCGTTATGATGAAAGAGCCGTGTTTCTGCAGCCGTAATATCGGAGATAGCCGGCGGGTAGTGAAGGTACTTCGCATCATCTTCGCTGTTCCAAGCATGTGTCCAAGCCAGTGCCACGGATTGTCTGTGCCTGCCCATAGCTGACGCCATGAAACAGAGAAACGAACAAGCCAATGTGACGCTCTCACAGTCAGAACAGCATTACGTCCTACACCGCTTTTCGAAGCGCTTGATACGGCACACTGCCTCGCGCGGCGGTCAACGTCGGACATCGTCCTCCACCGGACCACGGAGTATGCCAGCGAGCCAGACACGACCGAACAGTAGTTCCCTCCGTCGAAGCAGTGTTTCAAGCGGCCAGGCGCTATGGTATGGGCGGTAGCGGCAATCGTCGCACGCCTAATGGCCAGGAAGTCCTGCGTGTTCAGTCGGTGGCGGCTAGGGAGAACGCGAACAAGGCGCGGCGCATCTGTGCAGGGATTATCGACCCTCAGTCGCACATTATCCATAGTACTACGTTTGGAACAAGTTTCGTTGTATCAAGAAGAGGTTGGAAACGAATGTGGAAGGATAACGTGAGGTCTGTACATCACGAGTGAGAACGTGTCGTCGGAGACTTCCTATAGGGCTGAGATTACGCTTTCGCTTAGTGAACTCTATGCGAGAACGACCTCGGAAGAAATTGCAAGCTGTGCAAGCGACTCTTCAGTGCCGGTTTGGATCTAGTTACACTTACGTTTTGATCTTGTTACACTTACGTTTCTCCCATTGCTATGTCGCTGCTAATCGGTTTTTGAACGAGAATCAAGCAATGTCTCAACCGCAACTAACGCTCTTCGTCACTTTCAAGATCAAACCGGACCGTATCGAGGAATTCAGGCAAGCCCATTAAGAGACCAAGAGACCCACCTCCACAGAAAAGAAGGCTCACGCCCACGTTTGCTTGACAGTCGTCCCGTCTGGGCCGCATGCGCGAAAGAATCCGAATGCCTGTTATTCAACATCTACCAAGACCCTCAGGATGTTGGCAGGTTTCGATTTGTGGAGGTCTGGAACAGCAACTGGCAATGGTTTGGTAACTGATGCCGGGGCAGCTTCTCTTGGCTTTTCGAGAAATCTAGTGGATGGACTAACATGCAAACCCAGAAAAGGAACAGATGACCAAATCGTACTACGCAGAGTTGTGGCCCAAGTCGAAGCCGACATGGGAGGAGGATATAAAAATCGAGGTCATGGAGCGCATCGGCGAGAAATGTTCGTATAAGCAAGCCTTTCTCGACAGTGCCAATAAGAGCGGCTGACCAGACCGTCATTGAGCTCGTGGACTGCTGATGGTGCCTGTCAGACTATCGCGTACACCTTGGCACAGGATGTGAGACGTGACTCTTTGACGTGAATTCGAAGTCGCTGCAGAACGTCATGATATATGCAGCATGCAACCTTTCTTCCATTTGGCACTACAGGCCTAGCCACTCGTCCTGAATTCCGTACGCCGTGATGAGAAAGACATGACCGCTTAGAAGACAAGAGCAGCACCCTTGGTCTTCTTGTCACCACTGTGAAGGGGTCAGTGTTGCTCCGAGACGCAGCCGATCCATATTAAACATACCCTAACTCGAAGTGCTTGCAGCGCTTGAGCGCCAGCTGTGCCTTGGTCTTGCATTGCGTGCATTCTAACCGGAGCACGACTTTCTTCGTAGTCTTGGCCTTCTTGTGAAACACGGGCTTGGTCTGACCACCATAACCGGATTGCTTGCGGTCGTAACGGCGCTTACCCTGAGCGAAGAGGGAAGCCTGAAGAAATGTATGAGCATTGGTCCAAGTCGCATCATCGCTGTGGTTGTCGTACCTTGCCAGCCTTGTACTGAGTGACCTTGTGTTGGGTGTGCTTCTTGCAATCCTTGCCCTTGCAGTAGGTACGGCGAGTCTTTGGTACGTTAACCTATTGCCGGCTCCTATTAGCAACTCCTCCATGATACTCGTGTGCATTTGCCGCAGCGATCGTGCCCTGTGGACGTGCGCATGTCCCAATCTTCCACCTGTCTGTTCCGTATGATGTCCCACTCTCTTGCTCGTGACTGGCAGATCGATCATTCGAGTTTTCCATCTCAATCTTGCGAGGTCAGACTGCATATGCTCTCCATCACGCATTCGCATCGTGTTGTGTCGCTTCTTGCCTCCTTCATCAGATGCCCCACTCTCTTCTGCCATGTCTCGCGTGCAGGCCATCTCAATCCATCCGGAGACACGATCGCATACGGTGGACAGTATTCAGGGCGTCTTACCATCTTGGCTGATTGCTCCGGTTGTGTTGTCGAAAGGCGATGGTTCTCTTGTCCGAGAGTTGTCGTCGAGCTCTACAAATTCGGCGCTGGGAGTGCGAAAGACAAGACTGATGCGGCTTAGCGCCTTGGCAACTGGTCGGTGCGCCGATCGAAATTCGAAGGGTATTTGATGGGACTTTAGCTCAGACACTTTTCTACTACGCATTCCGGCCTTTCCACCTCTCGGGATACTTCTACGAAATAGCGGCAACTGCACTCAAGGCGGCCGCGGCCAATACAATCAAAGCGCGGTTCAAATTCTGTCCACTCCAGACCTTCACAAGGTCCTTCGTCTTAGCATCACTCGGCGCATTGCCAGCTCCAGCAGCCTTCGCTTCCAGCGCTTGAACTCCACTCCACATCACTGTGAAGGTGTAGGGAGCAACACAAGGAGCCAAGACCGCAGCTGAAGCGTAGAGAGCTGCAGGAGAGACTCCAAACCTGCCTGTAAGGTCACGTGCTTTGACAACGATCAGTTTCCCAAGCAAGATCACAGGGATGACTCCGACTCAAAAGGCAGAGAGCTTACTGGAGTACGCCAAAAACCCAAAGATAGCCGAGCAGCAGAGAGCCAGCGGTGGGACGGATTGCTTGCCAATGTGATACATGTGAGACCACTGCTTCGCCTGAAGATCGATTGGCGCCATCTTGCTGGCCTCAACGCCGATGAAGCTGAAGGATGCGATGTACGCTTTGCAGATGTCAGCTGTGTCCTCTTGAATTTGCAATAGGATTGGCGCAGCTTACCAGAGAGTGCTGAAGCGCCAGATAGCCCGAGCAGCTGGGCCATTGGGACGAGTTGCTGTGTCCTGGTGGCCATGATGGCGGCTTGTAGAAGAAGACGTCAGCTGCTGTTTTTGATATGATAGCTCCCAAGTTGTCTGGAGTTCAGATGGCCGAATCGTTCGATGGAGGGATCTAAGCCAGGTCTTGACATTACTGTGATTCTTCTATATTGCTTCGCTCACATCTAGCCATCGAGAGACGATCGCATTTTCACGGTGTGTCTTGATCCGTCGCAGAAAACGGAGAGAACAAAGCCCGTAGCCAATCAGAAGCTCGGGATCTCCAACGCAAAAACTCCGAATCGGTCCACATGTTTCGTACAAGAGACTTTATAGACTGATCTCACCTCACTTAGCAAAGCTCGACAGAGCCAAGGACGAGTCTATGTAGGCATATTAATGTCTCCGCGTTGCCGAGACTTGCATTTTCTTCGTCAGATCGTCAACTATCAAGATGGAAAATACGCTCTACATTCTGCTTTTGAAGGCGTTATGCATGGATTCAAAACTTCGTATCCGAGAACAGGGCCGAGAGAAAGGCGAATGACCCGCTGCACTGGATCGTAGGATAGGCCGCAGTATCATCATCGCGCGTCCCTCTGACGCGAAGGTTCAAAATCTAGACGGCTTGCTCTTGCGAACTGAGAAGTAGCGGTGCGGCGCAGCAAATCGGTGTTCCTTCCATCTCAAGAGAGGCGCATACATGAAATGACGTTGGGCCCGGGTCCAGGGATATAATGAGCAGGTGAGGCAGGAGGCGTTCTCTTCGCTTTGGCATCAAGATACAGATATCTCATCCCGTGGATCTGCGATTACTTGAGCTATGCTCTTATAGCTCGCCTCATCATATCCATCGATTCAAGTCGGCCTCAGCACAGGCATACGATCATCGCTATTGCCTGAAGACGAATTGGCGATGATGTGATGATTTGCAGTCGTTCTTGGTTCGGAAGGACCCCTGTCCTTTAGTTCAAGCGCGTGTCGGATTCGGAATGGCTCTACCGGCGCATGACGACGTCATTGCGGATCTGATGTTTGAAGCTCTGACCCTGGCTCTTGCGTCGGCGACCAGGAGCAGTCGTTGGAGTAGACAGAGAGGCAGAGGGAACGGGAGGAAAGGAAGATAGTCGGGCTTGAGTTATGCCAGGAGATGCGTAGACTCGTGGGCCTGGAACGAAGGGACGAAAACTGCCGCAGGGGAAAGTGAAACAGGTCCGCTCGAACATCAGGCACAAGATGATGTCGAGTGGACGGCGGCATCCGCAGGCACATGCGAAGAACGGGATTGGACGCGTGGAATCGCGTAGTGGTGGTGAGGCTCGCTGTTCACTCCGGCGACGTCGGCGTGACAGGTAGAGGCGCTCCGGTAGTAGAAAGGATTCCGGGCGCAGGGAAGCTGAAGCCGGATGCAGATGCTAGTAGACAAGTAGTGCAGCGGGCTAAGACGAGATGGTCTGTTTAGTGATGATTGATTGCGCAGCGCCAGCAATCAACTTAACCTGCTGCACTCTGTCAGTGAGAGTGTTGCTGCCCGTACGTGAGGAGCCTCTCTGACCAACCCGCAATATTGTCCGCGCTCCATATCGCCCTTATTATAATACTTATTGTATGCGCATCGTTGTCTGCGCATCGCCGTTGTTGCGCCTGCCTCAGCGTGGAAGCGGGTTTGCCTGCCCTGGACCCCCGACGTCATCATTGGGAAGCGCCAGCCGCCTTTTGCACGGGAGACATCACAACTCCCTCCTTGGACACTTTTCGGCCCACCATTGCCCTGCGCTCGCCAACACGCCCGTTACCGATGCTCTCCCCCACCACGACTTCTCGCGCCCTCTGTCTATTGAATGATTGGACGTCTGCAAGTCGGCGCAGGACGGGCAACAGAGGCGTAGCTCCGCGATGAAGTTGCCCTCGACGCCGCAGGACACGCCCAAAGATGACTCCGATCACACCGACGACGGCGACCCTACGCCTACCGAGGCGCCCCCTCGCCCCGCCGTCAACGAGACGACAACCACGCCTCGACCAACGCTGCCGCGCTCGCCACCAGCACGCCTAGCAGAGTCGAGCTATAGCAGCATCGAGGCAGAGCTGCACGAGGAGCCTGCAGACAGTCCGTCTGCCGCTTCTCTGCCCCCGAACATGCCTGAAGCGAAGCGGAAGAAGAGTGATACAGGTAGTGGTAGCAGGCCGAATTTGGGGAAAAGTTCTGCGCAGATGCTTTCTGCCGCTGGCAATCCGTCCGACTTGCGAGACGCGCTGAATGCCAGAGTGCTTGCTCAGACCCGTACGCGGAGGAGTTACGGTCTCAGCACGGGCACCAAGGAGGATTCCAAACGCGTATCGCCAATCCAAGAAGAGCAGGCTACGCACAACGCGCCCGCGCTCACTGCAGTCCTTGGCCCGCAGGAGCCTGGAGGAACGGCTAGTACCGTCTCCACGGAGTCTACCGAATCGAATCGTACTATTAGAGGCAGCGCTCTACCTACTCCATCAGGAGCGCCGTTGCGCACACCTTCCTACCCTTTCCCATATGTGCCCGGAACACCAAGCTGGAGATCCTTTTCCACAGGAGGTCACCAACCTTTCACTGCCTTGTCTCCAACTGTGTCGAATCAGCCCAGAGGTGATCATGACACGCCAGGGAGAAGCAGTGTTGATCCTTTATCTGGAGATTCTACACCAGCAGGGAATGCTGCATTTATGTTTGGAGCCGATTTTGCAGGGCCAGAGGACCCGGCCTATCCAACTCCAAACTTATACGATCTGGTGTTACAACTGAATGCGGAGCCTGGTTTTGAAGCATGGTGGACGACGGTGACAAATCTCTTACATGACCACTTCAAGGCCGAGCGCGCCACCCTCGTACAGCCATTGGATCCTACCGACATCGAGAATGTGCCTTGGGGTCAGAAAGCTACGTTTAGCATGAACGGACGAGAAGAGTTCGCGCATACCATTCCGCTTCGGCAACAAGACTTTCCTGAGCTATCTGGTAAACTTCGAATGCCCGAATTCGCCTTTCGTGGACCGTCAAACGTACACACGCCAGAGGAAGGCCCACAGAAACTGCATCCGGACCGTTTGCGACCGCGTCTAGAATCTCGGCACTCGTACGCAGGTCATGGACGCGAAGTACGAGAAGTACTGGGCACTCTCAATGATGCGCCGACACCAGGCCAATTCAAAGCAAGACCCTCGGGACCAAAGCGAACTGTAACTCATGCGCCTGGTATAGCCGGTGGCGTGGGGCCGGGCAGGATACCCACTCCACGCGCTCCTTCCACGGGTAGTTTTTGCGACAGTGCAAGGAGTGAGCAGGAGTTTAGCACCGTCACTGGTGATACCAGTCCTTACGCAGAAGTCTTTGGCTCCTTGCGATCCTTAGATCACGAGGCTCGTCCGCTTATTGAGGCGGGCGGTGTCAATCGTGTTCTGGATCGCGGCAGGATAGTAATGGTGACGAGGGACTACACGGCCGACAACAAGAAACCGATTGAGTCCAGGTCCGCTCTTTCAGGTAACGCAGGGAGACTGTTTGGCAATTACCGAAGCGTTTTCGCTTCGGAAAACGTTCCAGAGCCTCACAAAGACTATGAGGAGTACGAACAGCAACCTGCTTCTCCATGGGCTCAGTCACCGGCGCCATCTCCTGCCATCCAATCCGACGAGGATGAAAACCCATTCTTCGCCAGTGACTACTACCAGGTCGAAGACTCATTCAATCCAGCTGTCAGTCCCAAAGACTACACCCCTTTTGCTCAAGTGGGCGCAATTGGCGTCGATCATGCATCGACAGTCATTCACCTCCCGCTTATTCACCCTACGCTCTCCAAACCAATGGGTCCCCTACGGGAAACGTCAAAACAGAATTCGACAGATCGCAATAGCTATTTCGATTCGGAAAGACGTGCACCCATCGCGATTTTGACGATACTCACTTCTGCAGTGCCCTATCCCAACAACCTGGCGACCGCGCTTAAGCTGCTTGGGCCACACTTAGCGACGTCGTTTTCTATCGCACAGCAATTCTCCGCAACGCACCTACAAGCGGTGAGTATTCGGCATCGCAGGACTGCGAGTGGCAATCGCCCCATCTCCAATCCTATGACTATTGAGCCAACTGCATTAGACGACATCGTCAACGCGGATCTTGAACAGCCTCCCGGATCAATCTCCGGCAGCATTACCAGCCCATCAGAATACTCTGGCCGCTCCAGAGCTAGTCCATCTGGCTCCATCATCGGGACACCGGGCTGGGATCCAGCCCAACATGGCTGGACAGCAAGTAGATCAGTTACTAGTACGCCCGCATTCACGGGCAGTGAGATGGTCGACAATTATTTCGATGCCAAGAAACGGACGGGTCAGCGCAGTGCATGTAACGCAAGCACCACAACCACGCCCGCAAAATCCATGAAGAGAGGGTCTGGCAGCGTCGATAAGGGTGCCGCCAACGAGGACGAAGGGAAGTCGTCACGTAGCGAGCGCAAGCTGAAGGTGGCGCCAGCGTCTACAGACGACAAGCTTTCTGTGCAACCGTCGGCTCAAGAGCAGAGTCCGCCGCATCCGGCAGAAGCAACATCGCCGTCGAGACCTGCGTTGCGTCCGTCGCTAGCGTCTTTTGCCGAGCTCTCAGCACCCAAGCAGCATTCTCTGCTGCACTCGTACGGCGCAGATTTCCATTCCACTTTCAATGTGTCTCCGTCCATGACTCCGGGCGAGGCTAGAGCTCCTGGGCTGGGTGGTCATGCTCGCAAAGGCTCATACCCCGAGGATATGCCACCGCCCTCGGAACGACTACTGCGGACAATCATTGATTCGGTACCTGTGCAGATCTTCACAGCTCAGCCAGAAACTGGATTGCTCAGTTGGGTCAATTCGAAGTTCTTGATCTATCGAGGACAGGAACCGCGGCAAGTGCTCAACGATCCATGGGCAGCCATTCATCCCGAAGATCGCAATGATTTCCTGCCGGCCTGGCATAGGTCTCTGAGAACTTACCAGCAACTGCAGCAAAAAGTTCGTTTACAAAGATTCGATGGCAATTACAGGTGGTTCTATGTCAGAGCCGCGCCTCTTAAGGATAAACGTCAGAAAGTGGTCCATTGGATTGGAACAATGATGGATTTCCATGAGCAACAGCTTGCTGAATTCTCGTCTGCCAGACAGGCGGAGACCGCAGCATCAGAAGCCAAATATCGCGCGTTGGCGAACTCAAGTCCTCAAGTGGTATTTGCCGTAAATCGGGTCAAAGGCGTTACCTTTTGCAACACCCAGTGGCTTCAATATTCTGGTCAGAACGAAGTGCAGGCTCTTGGTGTAGGCTTCATGGATCATGTCCATCCAGAAGACCTCGAAAAGTGCAGACTCCCTACGTTCGAAGGCGCTACGGACGAGCCAACCAATGTGCCAACCTCTGTGCCGTTCGGGCCGAGACGAACGGCATCGCAATCTGCTGCTTCGTCACTCGACTCCTCAGAGACGGAGAAGGCTCCGTCTAGTGATGACTCTGTTGCTGCTTCTGTTTCACCAAGTTCTCAAAAGCCACCGCAGCGTAAATTGTCGGAGTTGGCCAGCAAGGGTATTTTGAAAGTGGCTCGCGACGCGGACGGTCGGCCTTCGTACTCTACCGAAGTCAGGCTCAAGTCCAAGGACGGCAACTTCAGATGGCATCTAGTGCGCGTTCTGCTTGCTGACCCACTTCTTCATGATGAAGAAGAGACCTGGTACGGCACATGTACGGACATCAACGACCACAAGACCCTCGAACGTGATCTCAAGGAGACGATGGACGAGAAGTCACGCTTCCTGAGCAACATGTCGCACGAGATCAGAACTCCACTGAACGGCATTACAGGAATGGTGAACTTCCTCATTGACAGTAGCTTGACTGCGGAGCAGATGGAGCACGTCAATATCATTCGGGCTAGTACAGAGGGTCTGCGCGGCTTGATTAACGATATTCTGGATCTGTCGAAGGCCGAGGCTGGCATGATTCAATTGAGCATGGACTGGCTATACGTGCGCGCGCTTATTGAAGAGGTCAACGATCTCACGTCGGCAATGGCGATCGACAAAGGTCTGGAGCTCAACTACATTGTCGAAGAAGATGTACCATCTCAAATCAAGGGCGACCGCTTCCGCATTCGACAAATCATGTTGAACATAGTTGGCAATGCCATCAAGTTCACGCAACGAGGCGAAGTCTTTGTCAGATGCTGCCTGCAAAAGGATGACGGCCAACTAGCCAAGAACGAGATGTATATCAGGTTTGAGGTGGTAGATACTGGGCGTGGATTCACTGACAAGGAGGCGGAGTATCTGTTCAAGCGTTTCAGTCAGATTGACGGCAGCAGCACGAGACAGCACGGTGGAACGGGGTTGGGTCTGGTCATCTCGAAGCAACTGGCTCAGCTGCATGGCGGAGACATGAGCGCCAAAGGCGTGCCGGAGAAGGGGTCGACATTCACCTTCTACATCAAGACGACTGTGCCTAGTAGGCATGACCAGCCGCCTCCATCGACTCCAGGAGCTGCAAGTCTCCCAGTATTACCCGCACCACCTGAACCGATTCCGACCCCAACAGCGACTCCGCCCCTCACGAAGATTCCATCCGCGCCATCTGAGAGACAAGCCAAACCATCACCGAAGTTCTTGCCCGAAACCACACAGTCTCCATCTCCATCACCCTATCTAGTCGCATCGCCAGACGCAGACACAGGGTCTCCATCCGTGTCTTCAGCCAGCTCTGATCCATCAGTTCGCTCGGCAGCTCGCACAGGAAGTCTACGATCGGAGCGATCTTCCGTCTCATCTATCGTGCCAGACCCCACCGGATCCATCACTTCAAAGATGACGCTAAACTTGCGGGCTGAGTCATCTCCACGCTCCGAGCCATCTCCATCTGGCACTGAGGCGTCATCAACGACGTCGAACGAGACCGTCGTACCAAGTGTGGCTTCTCCTTCTGGCAGTGCTCTCGCACCACCGATGTTCTCCATTCTCGTAGTGGCACCGTTGAAGTACAGCCGCGAGGCAACCGTACAGCATATCGACAAGACGCTACCAAAGAATGTGCCACATCAGATTACGTCTCGCGAGAGCCTTTCAGAATGCCGGAGCCTGTTGTGCGGTGAAGAGCCAGTCATCTTCACGCATGTTGTTGCAGTACTCCAGGATGTCGAGGAGATTATCGCTCTCATGGACCAGGTTCTTCGGGCAGCGACTACAACGACAGCCATTGTTCTCATCACAGATCTGGCGCAAAGACGGAAGATCATGGAGCAGGCGCCAAACTACAACTATGACCAGCTCGTTGCAGATCGGAGGCTGAGATTTGTCTTCAAACCGTTGAAGCCATCGCGCTTTGGCTTGATTTTTGATCCACAGAAAGAACGAGAGATGAGTCTGGATCGAAATCAGGACAGTGCGCAGCAGGTCGCTGTCAACCAGAAGCAAGTCTTCGATGAGCTGACCCGGAGGCTCGGTAATCGGGACAAGCGTGTCCTGTTGGTGGAGGATAACCGGGTCAACCAGATGGTCATCCTCAAGTTCCTTGCCAAGGCCTCGATCAAGGTGGAAACGGTACTCGACGGCGTGCAGTGCACGGACAAAGTGTTTGCGAATCCACATGGCCATTACTCGATTATTCTTTGCGACCTGCACATGCCCAACAAAGACGGGTACCAGACCTGCAAGGAGGTGCGCAAGTGGGAGAAGAAGAATAAGTATCCTCATCTCCCCATCATTGCCCTCTCTGCGAACGTGCTGGGCGATGTGTACCAGAAATGCGTGGCGGCGGGATTCAACAGCTACATGACGAAGCCGGTCGATTTCAAGGAGCTGAGCACGTTGTTGATGAACTTCATGGACTGCGATCCTAACAAGACACACGAGTTGATGAAGTTGAAGCGGGGACATGGCGCGGGCAGTCTGCCTTCTCTCTTCGGACGATGAGCCGGAAAGGGGGAACGGAGAATACAGAACATGAACCCAACAAAGCACACAGAGATGAAACCGATGCGGATACGACCTGTTTTGGCTTGGCGCTGGCTTGGCGCTGATTTGAGTCAGGCCTTTTTGCACGACCCAAGCGAAGCGTGTCTTGCGCCTCACCCTAACATTTCCGCCGACATGAGGGAGGTGGAGGTGGGCATTTTGCAGACTGGATGATCACCGTTTTAGCGTCGGCGCTGCGAGCTCAGCATTCCATTATTATTATTAGTGTGTTACTTGAATGTGTTTTTTTGTTTCCCTTCCAACTTTTTTGGCTGAAGGTCATTTTTGGCATAGAGACGGAGACGAGAAGGCACGGCTCGAGGGGCGTTTCACTCTCTTTTGATATGCATTTTGGCGGCGTTCTTGTTTGTTAGGGTGCTCATCAAGATCATGATTGTTAGGGAACGGAACGGGAATGGATGGTTAGCGAAACTTTTTTTTTTTTTCTTTCTTTCCACTTTGTAACTGTACTGTAGTATACTGACTGACTGACCCAAGGTGCATGTGCAAGCGGCTTCCCACTACCTATCTACCTAAAACTTCCTTGACCTTACTTTACTTTTTCTAAAGAACCCCTTTCTTCACCCTCCTTCTCCTTTTTTGGGGGAGGGGGTGGGGGGGGCGCTGAAGTTTTCTTTATACCTAATTCCTAATAATACCCTTTTTCGTGGAGGGAGGGAAGGGCATTTTATGTATGTATATAGACTTACTTAGATGAGAAGAAGCGAGGCGATCGGAAGGGAAGGAAAAGAATAGGATAGGATTAGGTAGCATATCTAGCATCTCCCCGACGAACGAAGAAAGGGTTCAAATTTTTTTTGTTCTTTTCCACACACACACACACACACACACATAATATATCTAACTAGTTATGTTAAGTCAGCCTATAAAAAGCTCCGAATTTCTTTGAAACGGACCCATCATCCATCTTTCTTCTTTCTTACAACTTGGAAGAGGAAGAAGAAGAAGAAGCGACGACCTTCTTCTCCTCCTCCTCGACGACAGCAAGCAACATGCCCTCAGCAACATCCTCGCCATCAGCCGCTTCCGTCGCCCAAATCACCACCCCAGCCCGGTGACTGCGCACTTCGACTTCCATCTTCATCTGCTTGATCACGCAGATGACGTCTTCGGCCTTGACCACGTCGCCGGCGTCGACCAGGACCTCGACCAGTTTCCCGCTCAGGGGCAGCGTGATGTGTGCCGGGTTGGAAGGGTCGCCCTGGGGGTGGGGGGTGGACAGGGCGGAGGCGGAGGCGAGGGTGGAAGTTAGGGTGAGGTGGTAGGGCTGGGGGGATTTCGAGGCTGGGGTCGTGTAGTGGATGAGGGCGGTGAGGGCGGTGGGGAAGTCGTTTTGGTGGAGTGTTTGGAGGGAGAGGTGGTGCGTTTGTGCTTCTCCTGCCTTTTCTTCCTCTCTGCCTCCCGTGGAGGAGGTGGGTAGGGGTTTCAGGACGAGTTTCCAGGCGTCGTTCTTCTTGAAGAGGGCAGGACCGGCGGAGGAGGACGTGCCTCCTACTGCTGCGAGCGCAGCTGAGGGGGTAGAGGATGGGACGAGAGCGTGGAAGGGATCCTTGACATCGGGATACTGCCGACTCCGGGCGAGGAGTTCGTCGTGCTTCGATTCCAGCCATTGGGTATCGCAGTTCCCGGCTTCGAAATCGGGATGCGCGACGACAGCGCGGAGTAAGGGGAGATTGGTCGGGATGCCGGCGACGGCGGTGTCCTCGAGGGCGCGGCGGGCCTTGCTCACGGCGTCGGGCCACGTGCGCGCGGTGATGATGATCTTGGCGAGCACGCTGTCAAAGTCCGAGGTCACGATCGCGGGCGCGGGCGCGCCGGCGACGAGGGCGGTGTCGACGCGCGTGCCGACGCCCGAGGGGAAGCGGAAGGAGTGCAGCTTGCCGATGCTCAGCGCGTACTGCTTCGCCGGCTCTTCCGCCGTCACGCGCAGTTGGATCGCGTGCTGGCGCGGGACGAGCAGAGCGTCCTGTTCCAGACTGCCCAGCCCGATCTCTTCCAACGAAGCCCCCTGGGCCAGTCTCAACTGCGCCTTGACGAGGTCCTCCGCACAGATCGCCTCCGTAATCGTGTGTTCCACCTGTAAGCGCGGATTGATCTCCAGGAAAAACCACTCCTCCGTCGTCGGATTCACCAGAAACTCAAACGTCCCCAGACTCAGATATGCCAACCCCTGTGCAATCCGCACCGCGGCCTCAATCACGGGCCGCACCACCTCGCGATCCGCACACCGACTCGGCGCCACCTCCACGACCTTCTGATACCGCCGCTGGATCGAACATTCCCGCTCCCACAGATGCCGCACCCCGCCCCGCCCATCCCCCAGGATCTGCACTTCCACGTGCCGATACCCCTCCACCGCCGCCTTCTCCACAAACACCCGCCGCGACGCACTCTCCTCCACCGCCCTCCGCACCGCCCCTTCCAGTTCTTCCGCCCGCCGCACAAGCCGGATCCCCCTCCCGCCACCCCCATCCACCGCCTTGATCATGACCGGAAACCCCACCCGCGAAACAAACTCCCTCATCCTCCTCATCATCATCACCTCCCCCGTCCCTTCTCCTCCCCCCTCCTCCTCCTCGTCGTGAAAAAACCCAGGCAAAACAGCAACCCCGCACCCCTCCGCCAACTGCCTCGCAGCCACCTTGTCCCCCGTGCGCCTCAGAACCGCACTCCCAGGCCCCACAACCAACACCCCCACCGCCTCCAACCTTTCCGCGAAAACCGCACTCTCCGACAAGAACCCATACCCAGGATGCACGGCATCAATGCCATACTCGCGCACGATGCTCACGAGCGTTTCGATTTCCGTGTACCCGGCGGGCGATTCCAGGCGCAGCGCATGCTGGGCGTGGCAAGTGTGCGAGACGTCGTGGTCCGTGTAGAGGGCGTAGGTTTCCAGGTGTAACTCGCGGCAGGTCGTGAGGATGCGCGTGGCGATTTCGCCGCGGTTGGCGATGAGGATCTTGTGGATCCGTCGTCGTCGGCGGGGTGGAGGTGGGTGGTTCCTGAGGGGCATTTTTGGAGGGGGGGATGTGTTGGCCGTTGTGTATATATATATATATAGAGATATATATCTATATGTATAGATATATATTTATATGTACAGATATGTATTTAGTTCGACGGTTCACACGGGGCCGTCGGGTGAGATTGCCGGTGAGATTGCTATGTTCCGTACAAGTGATGTTGGTCGATGCATCTCAGAAGGAAGACGTGAAGTCAAGTCCTCCACCTCTCTCTGCCTCGGCTGTGCAGAGCTTCAGCTTCCTTCACCCAGCTTCAATCTCACCAATGCCGAGACACCCGTCGTCACACATGGACAGCCTCCGTGCGAAATGGGCTATACGTATGTATTATCTTCACAAGTAGCATCGATATCATAAGTCTGTCTCTTAGGCTGTCTATAATCATCCGCTAAGCGTCATGGTCGTCATCTCATCAGGTCATTCGTTGCAACCAAAAGACGCAATCCCCAAAGCCATCCACACCCCATGAGTCCTGAAAAAGACCAAAACGCTTCATTCATCCATCCCTTCGAGAATCCCATCCCTTGCTGCGACTAGCGCCGATGTCTCCGTCTGCTAGTCCGGCTATCATCATCGCGCTCGTCATTACCTCCCGTGATGGCCTTGAACAGCCCGCCCAGTCCGCCCTGGCCCGACAGCAGTTGGTTGATCTGGTTCGCCAACGGGTCCTCCGCCTTCTTGTTGCCGTTCTCGTCGAAGCGATCCGGGAGTACTTCCACCTCCTCCGAATCCTCCCCGCGCTCATCTCTCCGGCGCTCGTGCTTCTCGTGCGTCGCTTCCGGGTCGCGGTCGCGGTCGCGGTCGCGGTCGCGGTCGCGGTCGCGGTCGCGGTCGCGGTGCGAGTCCCCATCTCGCTCTCTCTCCTTGCCACGTCGCCTGTGCCGGCGATGTCTCTTATCCTCGCTGTCGCTGCCGTGTTGGGGTTCCGCGGGATCTCCTCGTTTGGCGTCGTCTTTGCGTCGGCCTAGCTCGGGCGAATGCGTCACATTGGATTCCAGATCAAATCTCACGCGACTGGCAGACCTTGCGCGAGGCGTGCTTACACCATCTGCAAAGAACTCAGTCAGAACAATCAAATACACTTAATACCTCAAAAACGAGACTCCCGGGACGTACCCGCTGCCCGAGACTCGCGCTCATTGTCAACTTCGCTGGGCGCACTCACATTCTCAGGATCTGGTCTGCCTCTGCCTCTCTGATCGTAGCCAGGATCCTGGGGTCCATATCGCGCGTCACCGGCGAAGTTCTCGTTCCGGTATGCATGTCCTGGATTCGCGTCGCCATCACCATATGCATCATGTCCGTAGGGATGTTGTTGAGGAGGCTGGTTAGCCCACTCCGCTGGATTATATGCAGGATACGAGTTTGGCGACGATTGAGCATGAGCGTAGGGATCGTCTTGTGCCTGCTCTCCAGTAGGTGGCGGCGGGAAATAGTTACTTGTTGGATATGCGGGTTGTTGCTGGCCGAAGGGAACGTTTTGGTAGTTGTTAGGGTTGTATGCTGCACCCTGGTCGACCATTGGGGGCGGCGGACTGTATGGCTCGTCGCCGTAGCCCGGTCCCGGAGGGGGCGGTCCCTCACGATCGTAATAGTCATCTTCTTCTCCTACACCCACAAGTCAGTCATCATCCAAGGGCCGAAGGCGTGAAGACTTACTTCTTCTCTCCCGGTCAGCTCTGCTGCGCTCACGACGCCTGCCAAGCTCATGAGCGGCCACGCCAGCAGGGCCAGCAGCAGCCCCCATCTCAGCAAGGTTGCGTCCGCGGGAGTGGCTTCTGTCACGGCGTCGTCTCGTGTCGGGGCTGCTCCCGCTGCTGCCACCACGGCGACGATAGAGAGCTGGCTCTTCGTCGCTGTATTGGCCGTGGCGCTCGTCAGGATAGATCGGATCGTGACCGTAAGCTATCAAACCCGGACCGTCAACACTCCTCCTGTCCTCCTCTGGGTATGGAGCTGGGACGGACCTACTCCTTGACCGGCTTCGGCTGTGCCGTCGCCTCCCCCTGCCCATTTCATCTTCAATGATGGCGTCCTTCTTGGCCTCTTTGTTGGCCTTGTTCTTCTCGTACAGCCCGGCAAGTGCAGCTCCTCCAAGACCAGCAGCAGCAATCGGCACACCTTGTCGAACACGAGACTTACTACGCTCTCTTCCTCCGCGGCTGCGCGAACGAACCCTCTCCCAGATACCGGCAGCCGCAGCAGAGGCAAGACCTGCTTGCGCAATGCGACGGTTGCGGTGGTCTGGATCGCGATGCTCTGACGTCTGTCGATCGGTTCGGTCGTCGTCCGAGAAATACCCGCTGCCAACACTGTGTCTGCGTCTGCGTGACCGGCTTCGCCGGCGACCACCTTCATTAACAATGACCGTCTCCTTCTTGTCATTACGGTTCTTGATCGCATATCCAGCGAGCGCAGCCACTCCAGCAACGGCGGCAAGACCGCCCAGCTTCTGAGCACGTGACAGATCCTGGAGGTTCTGGAGTGGACCGCCGCCGCCGTCCTGAGAGCGGGAACGGGAACGGCGCTTGCGCCTGTGCTGTCGCTCGCGGTCTCGCTCACGGTCGCCACTACGCGACCTGCTGCTCGACCCACGTCTGAATCTGCTCATGCTTCGAACCCGTGTGAGTGCTTCGGCGCCCAGAGCTCCTACAGCTGCACCTCCCAGAGCGCTGCGCCCGCGTCCGCTAACGGGCTCACCGTTGCTCTTCCGGTGGTGTCTCAAGATCTCTGCAGCGCCAAGGCCAGCAATCGCTCCTTCGGCCAGATGGCGCTTGTGGCGCGGATCTCTGTCGTCACCGCCGCGGCCGTTGGTCTCACGACGGACGTATTCGTAGCTGTCGTCGCTGCTGTAGTTGGATGCGCTGTCACGAGGCCGAATCTCCGTCTTACGTTCGTAGCTATCGCTTCGTCTTCTGCGCTCCACCACACGGCGTTCGTAGAAGTAGTCCTCTTCAGGCTGTTTCTGAGGCTGTGGCGTAGGTTCTTCTGGCGTTGGCTCCGGGTCGGGCTCCGCCTCCGGCTCCGGCTCCGGCTCCTTTCTAACAAGCGAACGACTCTCGTCTCGAGATTCGTCAATGTCCTTGCGTTCGATGAATTCGTAGCGGGGCTCCTCCCGGCGGATGATGATCTTTTGAGGTTCCCGGCGCTCTTCCCGAATAATGATGGGTGCCTGAGGCGCAGACTCGCGAATGATGATGGGCTGTGGCTGAGCGAAGTATTCGGTGCTCTTGCTGTACCTTTCGAGATCGTAGGGTCGCTCACGCTGCGGGGACCAGGAGCGGTCTCGCTCGAAACGGAATTCGCGCACGCGCTCGGGCGAAGGCGGGGAGGGTGCTCGTGCAATCTCCGTGTCTCGCTCTACCACACGAAACTCGCTCCGGGGGCGCTCGTAGTCGCTGTCGCGCTCTACCACGCGGTACTTGATGTCTCGCCGGGGCGGATCTGCCGAGCGCTCGGACCGCTTCTCGATGAAACGGAAATCTAGCTCGTCTCTTTCGCGCGAGGGCTCGTATCTCCGCTCGGTGAACTTCCACTCCACGTCGTCGTCGTGTGAGCGGTGAGTCGTGTGGTGGCTGTAGTGGCTGCGCGGAGGTGGAGGCGGATCGTCACGGCGTTCTCGCTTGATGACGATCTTGTCCTGGACTTGGTCGTCTTCCTGGTGGACAGCGCGGGTGATGGACTCGGGAACCTGATACCGCTTGACGGTGGTATAGGTGCGGCGGGGCGGCTCCTCTTCATAGTCGCGCTCGATATCGCGCTCGCGATAGACGGTGCGAGTGCCTCTGGTCGACATGGCGCCGACGGTCAGGCTGTCGCCCGGGTAAGCGTAGGAGGAGCTGGCGGGGCGAGTGTATTCCGGTCAGAACAGAAGCAGGTCTCAGGCTGGGGTAGAATGGAGGTTTCTGAAGGACGGGCCGGGGCGAAAGGCTGGGAGGCTGGCGGCGGGTGTAGGTGCTGTGAGTGGGTGAGGTGGTTGTCGCTGTCAGCGGGGTTGCGCGTGCACTGCGAGGTGGAGGGAGTAAGGTAAGGTATGTGGGTGCAGCGCTGCTCGCGTGGCTCATCAGCCGATGACGAGCGAAGGCGAGGTGCAGGCAGCGTGTGCGACGCGAGGGCGCGAGTGCGCGAGTGCGAGGTGCTGCGGCCGTTGTGGTGGAGGAGGAGGGGAGGAAGGTGGCAGTGAGGGTCGCCGGTGAAGGGGCAGGCAGGCAGGCAGGCAGGCAGGCAGGCAGGCAGGCAGGCAGGCAGGCAGGTGCAGTGTGCTCCGTGAGTCGAGTGACCAGCCTCTCGTGTCGGATGGAAGCAGCGGTGCAATAATGTGCAATGGACAGTGCAGTGAGATGGGGATGCCGGTTGGCGTCAGGTTGGCCGCCCGCAACTGCCTCTCCCACTCTCCCACTCTCACGCTCTTGTCTCGTCTCTGTCTCTCGCCGACTCGTGCATGGGGAAGTCGCGATGACGTTCGAATGTCCGTGCGTTTCTCGGCTCCCACTCCACACTCCAACCGCCCCGCCCGAAAGCGAGAATGTACTCCGATGATGCCGTCACGGTCGTGTGTCCGGAATGATATTCCGTCAAATAACAATGTCAAGCAGACAACAGCAACATTGCAGTGAAGAAGACGTTCCGAGTTCGCCGGAAGAACTGGAAGGCGCATCATCCAGCGGCAGTCATCGCCGTCGTTCGACCATGATTCGACATGTGCCAGGCACCTTCCCTGTGTTCCTCTCTCCTCATGCAATGTGACGCACCTCGCGTGCACCACACACGCCACGCCTCAACCTCCCCCATTCCTTCATTCGCACGGTTTCGGTTTCAGAAGCGCCATCCTGGCCAAATCCCTCCAGCTGCATTCGAAGCGCACACTACTCCTCCTCACAGCTCAACTGCAGCTCTCGGAGCCCAAGATATGACGCCCAAGCTGCATTCTTTTCACCCTCTGAGTCCACGAGATCCCGCTCACGTGATCCTGACATCCGGGAGCTCCCTGTTGTTGATGTTGGGTAGGTACCCAGTCGCTCCTTCCCAACAGGGTAAGTGCCATGCTTCGAATCTCGACGACACGCCTTGGAGGGGAAGGTAGTGTGGTAGGAGGGGGAGATAAGGAGATCGAGCCCAGCAGTCCTTTGCCCCGCCTGAAGCCCCTGTCGCACCTCATATCACATGAGAGCTCGTAGTGGGAGCTTGCTACCTCAGTTCAGAGCGAATGTACTGGAAGTCTTCCAGCATTGACTTCATAGAGGAGGAGCCTGGTGCAATCAGCCGGCTCATACCACCTCTCGATCCCTCTTCCAACTGATGGCTGAGCCTCCCCTTTCGGCGTGCGCATCTCCACACACGGACGTACAGGTCCACTCGCCATCTTCTTGCTCTTCGCCATCTTCCTCAATGATGACCGGCAGGACGCGAGAGTACTTCCTCTCCCGAATCTCTCTCCGTCCAAAGGCAACCTGACAAATCACGACCCCCCATTCACACTACCTCACCGACGCCCTGCGCTTCTCCCAAAAACCCACCTCTAAACCTCGCGAGCATTTCCATTTCCAGAAAACCTCCCTGTCATGTCCTGTCCTGTTCAGACTTCCCAGCCCCCAGGTCAGACTGCACGACGAGCGAGGAAGGAAACCGCTCACCCGCAAGCACCACCACACCACCCAGTCAGCCAGGAACCAGGACCGGCCAGTCAGCAAGCACCCTACCTTACCTACCTAGTATCCTTCAACCCCCTATCTATCTATCACAGAGGAGCCGAGGCACGATGCTCGCGAGCTGTAAGGTATGTAGTAAGGTATCTTATCTCCCAGATCCAGAACCCGACGGACTGGGCGAGTCCATTCATGGAAGCAGAACTGTGAAGAAACCCGCGCTGCATTGGGGAGACTTCGCCGGGGTGTCTGTCCCGTTCGAACTGGGTGTGTGTCTTTCTCTCTCTCTCTCTCTCTCTCTCGGAGACTACAGGGGAACTGTTATTGTTTAGACACGCAGCCCGCGCGCGGGTTCAGGGAGGAAGAGTAATCATAAGTGCTACATACGAAATCATATCTTCTAGAGATCCAAGGCACGATGTGACGCTGTAGAAGAGTTCGTCCAACGACAGATATTGCTTACGTGCCACGCTTACGGGAGATTTGAAAAACAGG